CATAGGACTTGTCACGTGTCGTAAGTGAATAAGCTAAATCAACAATTATATATATTATTGAAGTATGTAAATATCCTATCCAAGTTCATGAACATTAAAATCATTAGAGGTGGCGGTATGTAGTCTTTCATCTTATGCTTTAGATCCTTGCTTTCGTCACTCAGAACGTTTTGACTCAGAGATCTTTGAATCACCAAGATATCTGAGCAGGGTATCTTGTACTTGGCTACTACTTTATGATTACGTCTGGTTGTGGGAAACTCCACGGTAGTCACTGTCTTACCTTTTTTGTAGATTCACGATTTCTCAGGGCAGATAAAGTCTTGTTTTACCGAATTTTTTTTTTTCAAGATTAATAATTATAAAAATATGCAAACTACGATTAATTGTGCACAAAAATAGAATAGATTGTACTGCTGTAATAAATAAGTAGTTGGTGGATAAGATCATCTTGACTATCGTAACATCAACAGAAAAAATCTCAAGATGCAACGAGGTTTGCATAACTTGCCTTTATTTACTAAATAATTAACTCAATAATATAATAATATTTTAAAAGGTGTTTCATCATATTACATATTAAGTACTTCTATATAAAAAATTAAATAATTTCTTCTCACCGTGTATATGATGTTCAGGCAGAAACGATTCATTGTGAAGAGAAACTGTTAACTAAAATACTTTAAAATATAATAAATCTTGTTTTAAAGTTAAACGATAAATTTTCTGAAAGATTGTGACAAGTGGATTTCGAGATTTACTTCTAGGGATTTTTGAGTGTTACTTTTGTGTTAATAATTGGTCATGGTTATCGTCTCGGTGTCACTGTTAAACATAATAACAGGTGCATTTCAAGTACAGTATCACTTTCAAAACCATTTTAAAGGGATTTAGAAAGTCAGTATTGTTCTTAACAAAAAATTTACGAATCTTTTGTAGTTTGATTTATACTTCTCGATCACCTGCCGAGTGACACTTCAAGACGATCACCTTTACCATTTCATTGTCTTTTTATCTTCTTATTTCTTACCATTTTTAAACGCGAAAGTTGACAAAAGATATTTTTTCAAATCATAGTAAATGAAAAATTGATATTTTTTGTATAAAAAATTCAGTACCACAAGTAGAGGTAACTTGGATAATTAAAAAATTGCATTATATCGAATATAAATGCATCCAGATGTTTGAGGCCATTGTCCCGGATGTCACTGATACTCCAAAATACATCGCCGTGTGATTGGATCTATGTAACCAATACTTAACAGACTATACTAGTTCTTGGAAGTTGTATCCGAAAAATCTACCTGCTTAAATCCTAATTATGAAAGGGATCTTTTGAATTCTCTAAAAGGATTAAAAATTTTCGAAAAACACAATTATACATAATACTAGGATTTTTGTACTAATTAAATTAATCAAAACATGTTAGATCGAATCTTTTAACTAAGAATTAAAATAACAAAAGTTTTTTATACAATATCAATGAAAAACCATCATCAAATAATAGGATAAGATGATTGTTGAGTTAATGACATAATAATTATTTGCTTATATGTCGTACTGTTGAATAAAAATGACATAATAATTTTACAATAACAAAATATTCATCAAACTATCGTTTAAAATAATATTTATACATTGTTAAACATAATTGTTTGTATACTTGGCAAAAAATTTTTAGATAATTATTATCAAAAAAAGTCACTTTCAGGATACTCTTTTAAAAGAATTCATTTCATACACGAGATTTAATTATTCAGTGATCGAAGTTGATCGATAATGATGTTTTTTGCTCTTCTAAATAATTTTTTTTTTTTCTACTTCACCGTGAGGACGTTAGTCCTTTGAATGTTACCTTCGCTAAAGATTCATTAAGTTCCCCAAGACTTGAAGGGTAAGGTCTAAAAAATAAGAGTAGGGATATGGTAATGAAAACGCGTAGGATAGGATGAAGATGGAGATGATGGTACGTTTAGGTATGTCTGTACCTCAGAAATAAAGGCAATGAATGATGCGGCAGGTGCGTCGAGGTCCCAAAGTATTTTTAATGACTTCTGAGACCTCTCACAGACCCAGGTCTCATATTCACAAGCACCTGTGTAGCTTCTTAAGATAACCAAGATCATCCACAACCTTCCCAGCATCGTTTCATTGCATTTAACAAAATATTTGACCCTCGCTCCCCAAAAACGGTTTCATTTTTTTTTTGTTTTTTTTAATTATTCAGTTTTATTATAATCGTTTATTCTCTTTATGTTATGCCTCATTATGACCAAAAAAAAAATCTGAATATTATATCGCTGGCAGTTATTTAATTAAATAATTAAAAATTCAAATAATATCTTTAAAAAAAAATCAGACATGCAAGTATACGCCACTCAGATATTTTTAGTTAAAAAAAATTATTCAGACTAAAATGTTCTCTTAATTAAACCTAAAAAACCAACAAATATTAGAAAATTTATTTAATTGTTTTTATCGTCATAATTTTATCACTTTTAAATCGAATTTCACGTTAATCGAGTATAATATAAAAAAAAAAAAGTCTGATGATAAAAAAATAAAATATTTTTTTAAAATGAAAGATTTGAGAAAATTTGAGGAGGCTTGAAACGTTTTGGTTAGACAAGTAAAACTGTAATAAAAAAATATCCTTATGTGAGGGGGGGGGACGTAAATCTACACATGATAAACAATAAAAATATCTACGTCTAGTTTTCTACGAAATTATCGGGCGTGACCTTTCCCACTCTTAGTTCTTCGAGTGTCGACACAGGTGTGTGGGCCTGAGCTCAGGCGCCAGGACCCAGCAGGTCGTCTTGTCCTTCGGCTCCTTCGACGCGTTAGTGAGAGGTAAGCCAGCATCCCCAGATATAAAAAAAATAACCAAGAGAAAGGGAAAAAAACCGTCAAGCCGTTCAGGTATTAAGGTTCTTCTCTTTCTTTGATCTGAATTTACGTTGTGCTCCCACACACCTGTGTGATGATTCTTAATCTCAAATGTGTGGTTTTAAAACTCGGCATGCCACCTTATAGATTAAGATGATTTTTTAAACGTCATCGATTTTATTTTTTGAATGTTCTCACGGTTATTTTTTTGAAATTTCAACAGTATTTCCTTCCGAATTCCACGTAGTTAATTCTAGACTTGCAATTATGGAGCACGTCTTGCGTGACTATTAGATATACCATCATAATTTACTGATAAATATAAAGAAAAAGTTATTGAATTGTGGGAACATGCCAAAACAGTCGAAACTATGTACTTAGGAAGTATAATTCTAAAATATTTATGCAACGACGCGCATTTCTACTTCTTTTTTTTTTTGGATTATTCGTTTTTTCGGGTTTTCAGTATATAGTGGACAGGTTCTTCGGACACCTGAGACAGGTGAAGACGACACCCTTTAGCCAAATTGCTTCCGACAGGACAATAAATGGATAACAATAACCATCCCAGATGACTTTGCTTTTGTACTTGATTATAGACTAACAATTATTCTGTTTTTTATCTTTCATAATTTTGTTGAAAATCTTCCTTTACATAATGGAGATAATGGAGATATATTCTACGAATATTTATTTAAACTTTGTCTTTATTACAGGTATGAACTTTAAAATTGATATATATTTCAAGTTAATCTTCTTACATGAAACCACCTGACAAGTTGAAAATCAACTTTGAAAATATAACACTCGAAATAGAAAAATTAATGAAAGAGAGTCTGATGATATTATAATTACAATATTCAGTAGTTGTTTACTAGTTTATTTCTATTTTCATTTAAAGTTCAAATTCATAACTTGGAAGTAGCACATAGATTCGGTATTGGTGTTCAAAGTAATTTGTCAGTTGCCGGGAATTTCCGAAGCAAACAAAGGATTGTCGTGTACTCTCTGTTGACAATGGCTACCACCTCACACCCTTTCGCACGAGTTTGACGGTTCAAAACCATCTCCAGCTCTCTGGACCATGACATACGCAATTTCAAACATGCATTGAATAAATTTGCTACCTTGCTCAAGTTCTAAAACGTGTAAACCTGCAAATATTTATTCTTGTAACTCCAATTATAATACATCATTATATTGATACATTTAAATTTATTGTAATTTATCATTCAACTTTTCTTTTTTAATTATTTCAACCAAACTTGATAATTTTATTCAAATTTCAGTGAACCTTCCCTTAGAATTATAAATAAGAAAATCAGTAATTATATTGAAAAAAAAAGAATTATGCAGGCTTTAAAGATTTTATTCTAATGGGAAAATGCAGGGTCCATGTATGAAGATCACTTGATCGTAATACAGGCGATGTTCAGGAAGAGAAAAGGAATCTCTCTCTCTCATCTCCGCCCTTATGGTGCTGTAATTGAAACAGCACGTGTCACGGAACACGAGCATGGCCAAACTAATGGCGGCTATTGCGTTATCAGACACGTCACAACCAGAGAGGGATATCATATAGGGTGTGTGTTATATTCTGCTACGTTGAATATAGATTTTATATCTCAACTTATCTGCGTTTCTATATTCACGTATATTTACAAACCCTCAACTTTCTTTTCTTTTATTATTTGTTTCTTTTGTTTAATTCAATCAACATTTTTTATAGCAACAACGATATTCTCATTGATTTGTGTACACGATTATATACAAGAGTAGAACTAAAGCATATGTAGGCTTTAATTATTGAGCTTGACACTTGAACAGATGTGGCCTCAATTTATGCATTGTCAAAATCATCAAATATTTATTGATTCCTTCATTAAAATTTTCTATACACTCATTTACGATTTAATAGATACATTTTTAATTAAGATAATAGTAAAAAATTCTGCTATGCTTATTAACAATCAAATAATTTAATAAAAAAAGCAATCTCAATGAATTCTTAAACTAATTAATATTGATTGAGATTGTTTCATTGTTTGACTAGTATTTAAATAAGGTTTAGAAATTTTTCAATTAAAATTGATTTTTGTTTTAATGGCAAGAGGACAAGAATATCGGGGTCAGAGAGGAGATGGCAGTGGATGTCAAGCGCAGAATTGTACCAACACAGGGGGTTAGGATTAGCTGATTGGCGTCGACGAGGCCATCTGGCACCAGTGTATATTCCTACACGTTATACGGACAGCTCGTCGACCGCGTGTATGCAGAATGGAAAGCACCATCGTACAACGTCCACTCGAACGACCACGACAGCTGACGCAATCGGACTTATTACACCCCCGAGTATTTTCTCTACTCTTGTATCCTACAATCTCCATCCATCCATACAATACATCTATCGAGAAGACAGAAATAAAAAAAAAACCAGCGGAAGGAAATGATTTTCTTCAATCTATGGATTAAATTGGTATGAATGTTTACATGATAAAGGAAGTTATAAAATTCCAAATGTACAGGTCTTTGGGAATTTTGAAGAAACATCTGGAGAACATACACTACCCTTATTGGCGCACATGTTTTGCAGATATTAAGGGGGTTTTCCGAACCACATGCGAGAGTCTTCTGTCATCTTATCTGGTTGCAATTAACCTCTTGTAGGGGTTTCTACCCCTACCCAACAGTTGTATTGTATGGTTTAACTACTTGTATTCAACTATTGTAAAGATACTTTTCAGCTTTTCTAACAACTTACATAGTTTATTATCTTTCTAAAATATATAAACAGCTTTATGAAAATGTGTTTCACTGTACCACTACTGTCAGTATATCTGGAAGATGGTATAACATACGTAATGCAGCTTTTCTGATTGTATATACATAAGTGGGTAGGTATGGTTCATGTTATTGATGAAGATGGTTAATATATTCTGGAGATTCTGGGAAATGGTGGAGAAAAAATATTGAAAAAACTCGAGACTGAGTGTATTGGTTAACAGTGATGCCATTGATCGTCAGAGAAAAGTATGGGAGGATGAAGAAATTAAAGTGGAAAAGGTTGAGAAAGATAAAAAATTTACACATATATGTATTGAGTGTTGTCTTTGTTAATAATCATGACTGATGCCGTTGTTCTCTTTCAAAGTATTTTATGTAATTACAATTATTTATTGTCACTTTCTATGTCTCGTTAAACATACCAAGTTTTAATTATTTTTATTGTTTATGTTAAATTAATAATTAACTTTTGTTGTATTAATATTAGTAATTAACTAGATGATGTTTGGATTATACGTCAATATATAGAACATCTTTAGTAAATTCCATTTTAATTGATGAATAAATTTAATTTTTTTTTCGTCACTTATAGCACTTTTATTTTTTAAAAATAAAAAAATATCCCAACTTATATATTGGGTTTCTATGATAGATTATATAGTAGCATGGTATTTTATTATTCTAATCCTGATTTCAACGTTCAATCAGTCATTCAAGCCAATAGTCACGCATTCACGTAATTGAAAATACTATCAAGAGTGACAATGATTTATAATAACTCCATAGAGAATTTTTTATTCACTATTTTAAGATATAAATTAAAATTAAGGAAACGGAAATCTTCAAAAAATAGAGAAAATACTTGAGAAAGACTGTCTAAATTTCTTCAAGGTTTTTGTCTCGTTAAATCGTGACATTTTAAATCGCGAGTACGTGATTTAGGTTAATAATCGGCACGCGACTGGAGTATATATTCTGGGTATCATGTATAAAAATTTTTTTCTATTAATTTAAAATAAACAAAAAAAAAAGATAAATAAAATTCAACAATAGGAATATAAGCAAGATGAAGGCAAAGTAAGGAGAAAAAAGAAATCTCCTGAGAGAAGGGAGCAAGAATTTGGAGGGTATCCTTGAGATATGGGTAAAATGGTCACGGACATCTTGGCTGGATCCTTTTCCACCTACACATATAATGATCAAACGTGAGACGTTGGGTGGGCGAGTGAAAGAAAGAACGATATAAAATGAACAAGAGATGTCAGAGATGCAACGCCAAACTCTTGGACGGCTGGCGCCGTTCTGTCGCTCCCCACTTTCAAGTTTTGCCAACAATGCGTGCACTTACCCCCACTTAAAATGCGCGCGCCGATGCACTGAACGCACTGACTCCTGCCTTACGCCCCCCTCTGCTGTGGTTGCCCGACACCAACACTGGCCCCACGCGTTTAGTCCAGTTTCGGAGTCAGTACATGATTGTACGTCATCGTAAGAACATTAAGACGTTTGTTTTTAAATCTACTATTAAACTTAAGAATTTTACAAACTCATGACTAATTAAAATTGGATTATAAAACGTGAAAAGCACCAGAGTGACAATAATTATAGTGAAAAGTGACTGTGAGTGTAGTTATTTAGGATTTAAAAGAATGAGTGCCCACATGGTTGAGTCGACTTGTGAGATACAAGCATTTATTAAAGGTGAGTTGAAGATAAAAATAAAGTTTATTTTTAGTAAATGCAATCGAAACAATTTTCTTGAGTATGAAAAAGAATTAAATGAATGGAAGAAAAGAGTGAATAATAATTGTTACGATAGGCGCCAGTCAGTCGGGACGAGAATCGAAGGTAGAGTCTCCCGAGTGGCCGATCGTCGAGAGGGCGACAAAGATGTAGGAATGTACTAGGAAAAAGCATATGAGTGAGATAGACATCGGCGCCAGCGTGGGTCGCGGAGTCGCGCAGACATACAAGAGACCCATCGGAAAGCCAAAGCACTAAGAACAGAGACTCGACCCCTTGACCGTTTTCTTCTTCATTCTTTGATCGTCTAATGATTGTTAAAAAATTATCAAATTTATATAAATCACACTACCGTCATTAAACTTTTTTTTTGTTTTTATCGCTATCGTCATTCCTCATGTTGAATAAGTTTTATAAGACAATCATGGTTCAACCATCATTAAATCTCGATATTGAAAAGCAAATAATTGATATTTTGAAATGATATAGTTGGGGTTTTTTGCTTGAAAAGGGCGGAATTTAAAGCAGTTTAGGGGCCTGTTTGTTTTTTATTATTAATTAAATGAAGGAGTGATGGTTAAGCATGACTTTTATCGACTTCCGGAAGTCTTGAATAATTATCTGGTTTGAATATCTTGACATCAATTACACGGCAGACGCACCCAAGGGCGTTACGAAACAATGATTGTTCCGGTTTCGTATCATGTGATCGTGTGGATGCACTTGTCGAGGATAGTCTTTGAAGATAGGGTATTATATTCTTGTTTGGTGTAAAAGAAGGGTGAGCGATGGGCAATCAGTCAAGCAACAAAAATTATAACGGTCAGATAAGATTGCACCTGTGTGAGCTTTTATTCTCCCCTATTTATTTCAAACGTCATCACTCAATAAATAGCTATCATTTATGTGTATACACAATTAAATCATCTTCTTAATTAAGTCTTCACCTACTCTATTAATACAAAACGTTATTAATTTTTTTTTTTTAACTATCAACTTATGTACAAATAATACAAATTTTAAACATCAATAATTTGCAATATCTTACACTAGATATATTTTTTAAATATTAAAATTATTTTTTTATGTGTTTTGTAACAATGGTGATAGAGAAGTATTTGATTGAATTTTTCTCTAATTATATTCGATTAATAGCATTTTTGAATTTGCAACTCCCACGTGCAAAGAAAATGAAAGAATGAATAGTATGGATGAGTCAGAATAAAAAGAGAAAGACAAGTGTAAAGGTATAAAGATCACGTAGGAGTAGACTCGCGCGTCGTCGTCTCTTTGGCACAGCTGGTGACCGTCTCTCGCCCACTCTAGTCTTTAAACTCACACGCATATAACTCCAGCACGTGTCTCCTTCTTCTTCATTTGCTGCTGTTGATGCTTGTTCTTCATCTTCTTCTTCTTCCTCCTTATATTTTCTTTTGCTTTTATTTCATTTTTTTCTCTTTTATTTTCGTCTCTCTCATCAGCATTTTCTTCTCGTGTTCAACTTCAGTCTTGAAGCATCTGGTCAGCGTCTTCATCTTACAAATATATTTGCAGGTGGTTCACTTCCGTAATTTTATTCTTATTACATTTATTTTTGTTTTTATAAAAAATATTTAAAGCTAATGAATTTTGATTATTTTTGTATATTATGAAGTCATAGAGTTTTCAATTTTTATTGGTAAATTCAATTTATATTAATTAATATTTACTTTACATTCAAGCTGTTAAAAAGCACTTGAAATTTCATTACACCTCGTCGATACCAAAATCAATATGAGTAAATATGAAACTCGAAAGTGGAATTGATAATAACTCGATTGATTCTCTATATCAAGTATTACACTGTATGGATAATGAAAAAAAAAATAATTTTAAAAACAATATTTAAAGACTTGAAATATTTTTAAAAAGAAAGCCCATTGAAATACATACATTATAGAAGATAATTATAAATTAATGTAACTAGAAAAATACTATTAAACGAAAGAAAAATGTCATAAAGTGCATTATTATTATAAAATGAACCTTAGACCCAGTAGTTCATGGCCTAGAAAATTTTATAATTCAGTTATGTTATTAACACGTGTACTTGATATTTTCTCAAGTTTACTTAGCAATTTATTTCTATATTATTAAGTAGTAATACATTTTTTATTTTTGTAATTTAGACATAACAATATTCATTATCAATAAAAAAAATAATTGCACTTGTTATTTAATTCTTATTGATTATGTATGTAAGTTGAAAATCAAGTTTACACTCAACTGAAGTATATAACAGATGATGTTACTTCTTAATTTTTATCAAAAATTAATGGTAACATATTTGCTCTTAATTTAGTTTGTATTTACATTGAATTCTCTCATTTATACAGATGTTTTATGAGTTATTTTTAATTGCCGGAAGCTGTTAAATATTGCCAAAACGACACAGATTAATTAGCACGTGCTGGAATAATAGAAAAAAAAAATCTACATAAATGTGATTCTTTAGGATATAACAATTTTTAATGGCTCAAATGATGAAACAGTTGACCCAGGTCATCGTGTAGTACACTCTAGGCCATCGACCAGTTAACTGCGCAGTACAGATTATCAATTCACGTGTCTCATTTCAATGAGAATGACTAAACGATTATTCGATATGATGCAACTAAAATATATAATCTTAGTCCTCAATGAAAGATAGTAAATTTTTTTTCATCATATTTTCAATGATCTAAATGACGACAGTGAACAAAAAAAATTATTACTGAACTGATAATGTTTTGGTCATTGAATATCAGAAGTATGCCCGAAGGCGCCAACATGATGATGTTTACAAAAGCAAAGAGCGCGTGTGAGAGAAAGAGAGATCGATCGTGAACTATCTCTATGGCGCCTGTCGCTGACCTCAAGGACCCTTACGATCAAATCATCGACTCTAGTTTGCAACATTAATGCGTACCACATCATTACTGTATTCATATTTTTATTTTTTCATTTAGTAAAATTTAATACAAGTTACTTTAGTTATTTAATTGCATATATTTATCTTAACAGATGGTAGACAGTATAGATAAATACTTGAATCTTATCTTTAAATGATAAGAGTTACACCAGGTGTTCCTTAGGGTGTTATCTCCTAGTAGAATTGGTAGTAAAAGACATTGAAAACACCAGGTGTTGCTTTAAATTCATATTTTATCTTTTTCAAGTTTTGATTTTATTTCTAATATTTTCCTATTTTATTGAAGATATATTTATTTATTTTATTTAATTAACATTAAATAATTTTTATAATTTTTATGTATTTCAGGAGATGCGATGTCTGGATCAGAGAAAGATGCCGGCTTTTGTAGTGGTGGTGATGAAGATGATATGTCAGGTCTACATTCACCAAGTGCATCAGAAGATAGCGTTGAAGTCCAAGTATCACCAATATCATTGAGAAATAAAAGAAAATTGGTAGAACCTCGTAAAGTTCATGATCAAACGGCTCCATTGAAAAAGAGACGTTTTGATCGACTTCAGTTATCAAATGATGAAGAATTAAGAACGACAGGATCATCCTCGCCATTTAGACCATGGAGTTCTTCGAAAAATGAAGTCAAAAGAATGGAAACGGATGTACAAGTGTCAAGTAGAGTCGAGAGAAGGCCAGAAGACTTAAAAAAAGAACAATGGTTACAAGGAGAAGAAAGAAGGAGAAGAGAACAAGTACAAAGAAGGCATGAAGTAAGAATTCAAGAAGAAGTTCTTGCGCGGCTTCATGAATCAGAGGTACGATGTGCTGCATCTTCAGCTTCTTTTCATACATCACAACGTCGGCTTAGGCTGGAAACACCTCCTGTATCATCGTCTTCTGTTATTTCACACCCTCGATTGCAAGAGGAACCATTGGCCTTAGTTCTCAAGGGGGAACCACCAAGGGTTCCAGTTCATCCAGGTGTAAGTGACTCTTTCGAACGTCCAACCCTTTTTTCAACCTCCGAACACCACTCAACCTCACTTCCGCACGTGCAAAACCACCGGACTTTGTCCAATGACCATCCTAGGCATCAACCAAACACTTCTCAGCAAAGGAATTATAAAAATATGACCAGGGAAAGGAGGATTGAGGCTAATGCGCGAGAAAGAACACGTGTTCATACCATTAGCGCAGCTTTTGACACACTCAGACGCTCCATTCCAGCTTATTCACATAATCAAAAGCTCTCCAAATTATCCGTACTTAGGATTGCCTGTAGTTATATCATGACTCTAAGTAAAATTGCCAATTCAGATGGTAGTGATAGTAGTAGTGGACCTAATCTTAGTACTTGTGTTGATTTAGTATCTAGGACAATACAAACTGAAGGTAAATTAAGAAAAAAAAAGGATGATTAGAATAAGTTATTTGTTATGATCATAAAAAAAAAAATGTATGTATCAATAAACTGAGAACTGGTGTCTCAATACATTTATGCTCAATGCAATTGAATTAGTAATGAGTAAATAAATAGATATAGCTGGGTTGATGCTTCATGTTTGTCTCATTGTTATATACTTGACATTTTTGAAAAAATTTCTCGTAATTAATAAGTATTTTTTTTAAATTTTACCTTAAGCCAATGGAACAAATAAACTCAACTAATAGTGTTTGACAATATAAAAAGAATTTTCATAATACGAATTAGAGATACAATTTTTAATAAAACATCTTATTAGACATTTCATTATAGATTTAATCATAATGATGATAATAATAGTAATAATTAATAATAATGATAAATTGTGACAATAATACAGAGTGAAAGAAATTTTTTTAATCATACTTTCATTTCAAGTTCATTAAAATGTGACTTTTTCTCAATGGAAGTTGATGAAATAAATATTAACTCTGAGTGATTTTTTTGTAGTGATTCATTAATTATATAATAATTGTTAATACATATTATATGCTTCCAGTTATATATTGACCGACTGATATGCCAAGTACAAACACATGTAATTTTCGTATCTAGTTTCTGTCTTTCGGTGTATGTGTATAATAGAATAGGTTTAGTTAAAATAATGTACATAATGTGACAATTAAAAAAAAAAATCGTCAGTGACGGATGAGAAAAAAAAATTTGGTGATATTTTGAATAATCTATTTACATTTTTTATTATAAATTTCTGTATATGTTTATACATATTTCAACATGTATACATAAAAAAATTCAATGTAATCTTAACTGTACTATAAAATATTTTATCCGAAATTTTGAATATAACTACGAGTAACTTTAATCGTATGATAAATTAAATTAGTACGATTTTTAATTTCTTGTTCTTTAATGCACTTATATGTACCTTTTTTAAAATAGATATTATATTATTAACATTAACAATAATTATAATTATTATAATACCATTGAAAATGGCCGCAAATTTCGATAAAAATGATTTGAATAAAGAGTGATGTTTAATAATTTAAAAATGCATCGTTGTTATTTTATTTTTCTACTCTGTAAAAAATTCTGTTGTAAATAAATTCAATTCTGATTACGTTATCATTTTAGTATTCAAACAAAAATAAGACAACACATTTAGGTACAAGTGTAATGATAAAATGTATGTACTTAAACCCCACGTGGTATGAATTGAGTTCAGGTGTACTTATATTTTAAAAGATAATTTCAAAGAATCTTAGATTCTCGATCTTGATAAATATTATATTTTTTATGTGACACTAAACTTTACTCTGTGAATCATTTGTTAAGAAATCCGGTGATTGTACGATTAGATATAGGTAGTTGGTTATTTCTTTTTAATTTACGAATTAAAAATCTCATTTTACCGATAAATATATATTATAAAAAAAAGAGAAAAGAGTTTATATAAAAAAAAAGATCAATTTTTATTAAACCTTTAGTTCGAGTGCACAATCATGCACGATATAAGGAATTAGGTACAATCGTCTTTCAGAGCCGCTTATCGTTAACGCTGCCGTTAATGGTTGCTTTCAAGACGTTGGTCTAATTGGAAGTTCACATGCGAATAAGTACTCGTAGTCTAGTGATTTACGCAACTGATTTATATCACAAATGAACTTGCTTGATAACAAAAGCTTAAAATCGCTTGACAATTCATTTTTTATTTTAATTCAATTCAATTCTATCATTATTTTAAGTGTAAAAATAATGATATATCACAAATAAAAATAACGTAAAAATTTCATTACCAAAGTCACGCCTTCAAATGCTATAACTTATTCATGTTCACCTTGTAATTTTCCACTCTGGCTTCTTGTCAGTGAACTGTCACATCATCTTCGAAAGTATACTTTCAAAAACAATATACCACAAAATAACGTCGAATACGTGAAGTTAGATATTTTGTATGAAATAATCATGTACAATTAATAAATATCAATCTCTTATTAAAATTTTGATTGGAGGGATAAGAAATTAAATAGATTCAATGATTATAAAAAAAAATAATTAACATGATAATATACTTGTAAAAATTTTATCATTGTAAATGTAAAATATTTTAAAGTTTGCTGGTGAAGGGGAATAATTTAAAGTGCAATATTTTTACTCTTTTTTAATGCTTTCATATATATATATATATATATATATATATATATATATATTTTTAAATTTATTTACCACAAAATTTTTTATTTTTGTTGTTGATATTTGTGTCTTGTTATTTGACCATGTACGGGCAGGTGATGTAGGCACTTCAATGATGAGATAGAAGAAGAAAGAAAGTAAAGAAGCAAATGATAACGAGAAGACACCCAAGTTAAATGAACATCTGCCGTATCAAGTGTAAGTTGCCTAAAGTAACACCATGGCAATTGCAAAGTGCGTTCGTTGATAATACTTGCGTTTTCACCGGTTTAATAATCAAGATGAAAATTAAAAAATTTTAATGTTGTGTGTCTTGGATCCCAATCAATTAGACAGATGTAAGAGAAATAAATGGCAGATGTATGTCACAGAAGCTTCGTATAATTATAAATAAAACATTTTTTGTCATATGTGAATTAACTTATAAGGTGACAGAGTCCAATATAAAAACAGGCGCGAGACAAGTACATAAGTAGAAAGTTAAGGGATTCCCCCTTTTTTTTTTAAGTGACGTATACCACCTGCATTTTAGGGGATATCGATTTCGGCCACTCCAACCACGATCATTCATAGCTATTTGACTAATTGACCAGTTGAATTACTACAATTGTAAGCATTACATGTATACACAATAGATTGATAAAATTTTGATAGTAATTTTCCCGAAGTTATAGCTGTATTCATCTCAAGTACTTTGTATTGAATTGATAAGTTACGAACTAGTAATATTTTTTCAATATTATCATTGTAATTAATTAAAATTTGAATTAATATAGATTATTATTAATGCATTATATACAACGGAGAGTTTTTTTCCTCTATTGTGCAAAAAAATATTAAAAAAGAAATACATGGTAGTTGTTAAAAATATTAAGATGAATCGATAATATCAGTTTGCTGTTAATCACATCGAAGTGAGCAGCTTTCTTTTGATAGGCGTACGAAAATAATGAAAAAAAAAAGAGGAAAAAATGTTTTGTCTTCTTAATATATTATTTTGGATCCTTTACTACTTTGGATAATGTTGCACCTTGTCGTTGGCACGCAAGTCACCAATTTCGCCAGTTTTGGCCATCAGAAGTGAAGAGAGAGTCGCGATACAGGTTAACTAATCAAAGGCAGGTGTTCCTTGATACCTTTAAGACATGTCCTCTTCATACTTTCTTCTTATTCTTCATTTCTTACTTTTGTTATTCATTTTTTCTTCGACACTTTTGCTGTTTCATTTTTTATTAAATTTTTTTTTTGTTTTTTTTTATTAGGGTTTACGGAGGTCCAATAAAATCATCATGCTGGAGGACATGGAAAGAACCAAAGAACTGGTCCAAGGAATTTGGAATAATCAACTATAAGAGAACGTTGTGGTAGTTTGACTGGAAAACAAGAGCTGGAGTCTTAAGAATTTCGTTATCATCTTAATAATCATGGATATATAGCAGCATCGGTGGGATGTTGGCGCTGCCATCCGATATCGCATGTCGTGAAGTTTTTTATCGGATGAAACCCATAAGTAGTGTAGTGGAGAAGTAGCTACTGTACGGTTGCTACCGGTTTCGCCAGTTCACCAACACCCTTTTGTAAGATTCAGCTACTTGGAGACACACGATCTTCATTCGATATATCTTTAATCTTTTTTTCATAATAATCATCAAGTCAATTATGTTACTTCCTCAATTTTATGTCACTCAAGGGACTGTTTTCGATGTTATATTATAATGTTCGAAAAATTTTTCCATTACTTAGGAGTATTGCACGTCATACATTTTGTTCACTTATGTTAAGACATTTTAAAAGAAATAATGATTAAATTTATTTAATAAAAAATAATAACTATTTTATTCAATTATTAGAGATAAATAAATTATTAATTAATTACTTTACACTATAGTTTTGTTTGATATATAAAAAAATTTATTAAAACAAACGGTAATTTTACTTTCAGTATTCTTGACATTGAAATTCTTATCGGATATTTTTTAATTCTTTCCAAAGGTATGATCACACCGGGATTTCTGTGGTTTCGAGAACAAGCACGTGTATGCTCGGTACTTAAAGTCGTTACGGCATTTAGGAGACACGCGAAGCCTTGAGAATAAAAGACTTTGCGGCACCTGCTAAACCACTAGCAGGTGCATCAATATCATTTTTGTGAGCATTACTTAGTTATCAGCAACAATTTCTTTCACATTGAAAATTTTAATCCAGATTAAATCACAATTGTGATATTTGTAAATAATTGTCAAGCATAACAAAGAAATGTAAAAATTATGTCTTTAGTTGTTAGCATTCTTTAACGTGTACTCGGATTGCAACTGGCGCCAGGATTCCGCGTGACACGTCGTGTTATCCTCCCTCTACTTTGCTTCTTCTTCTTCTTCTTCTTTTTTTTAATTCTCTCATCGAACGCAACAACTGCAAAGATACTTCCTCATTAAAGACCAGCTTCATCGATGTCTCACAGTTGGATATCCAAGTTAACCTTTTTTCTTATCCTCTCATCATTGATCAAAGTAAATTTTCTCGTTATGTTGTAGCATATACATTCAATCATTATACGATTGAAAAAATATAAAAAAAAAAAACATTTAACACGTTGAATTCTATCATTTAGTAACTCATTTAATAACTCAACAAAAAATATTTTTTTACTTCAGTGGATTAAAGTTTTAAATAGGTAGTGACAAAAGATATTCATAGATTATTTTTTCCTTTGAAGGGTATTAAACGAAAATAGCAAAGAAATAGTAAAGTACGGAATGACTCATTGACCATCAATTTGAAGTATTCCCTCAAATTCTCGGACTATCGGTTTAAGCTTTTAAAATCAGTTTCAGCTGGCTCATTACGCAAGAGGTATCATAACGAAGAACCCAAATCTCCCGTAGAGTAAGGAGGATTTTTTTTCAAGTGTTTTAATGAGTCATTGTCTTGACAACTGACCCAAGACTCTTGGCAAATTCAAGTCTTTGGAGTCTCTCAACTGTCTAGAGAGACTTAAGTGCAGTTGAAAAGGATCAATTTGATACGGAGGTGCTAGGGTCCTTGAGGAAGGAATTGTTACCTTGGTCCAAGAGGTCTTGGATTTCTTGTCTTAAAACCAAGAGACAATAGATTTTACGATTGGTAGGCAGGAACTGAAGCTGACTAAAACGGGGCGAGAAACGTAATGGAGCTTGTCTGTCAAGAGTAGCCTGCTTATCGAGGGGTTGATTCTTTTCTTTTGCTGTTGATGGAACAAGATACACGCATCAATTCATCCTTTCATTTTATCCTAGTGAATTGACGCACAACTCCTGTACTATAGATCCCCAAGTGTTTTATGACGTGGAAACTGACGATTATTATACTCTGATCTAAAAGTCACGTGGCTCGGAAATGGACATAACGACGGAAACGAAAGTTGAAAGACCAAAGGGTCCAGATTGTCTCAGAAAATAAGTTTTAGATTTTTTACTTTAAACGATGAGTCATCATCACCTACATTAAATATCCTCCAATAATATTAATATAATTACAATGAGAAGAAGAAAATAATGTCACTTCTAAAAATTTGACATCCGGTCTAACGAAAAATAGAGAAAAAAGGAATTCACAACATATCCCATTTGATGTATTTTAAATAAAATAAACAAGAAATTTTTTTTTTTTTCTATTTTACACGAGTTTATTTCCTTGAGAGCTTGCGCGCGGCTGTCGTTTCTGATGTATTTACGGTCACGTGGGTGTGGATTCGCTTATAGTTGGTTACACACTCTTGCTAACATGGTATAGCGTATCTCAAGTATGTGCGAGCGGTAAAGTATCAACGTTGCTGTATATAGGATGCGACAGTACGACGCCAGACGAGCGTTGAATCCCTTCTCTGTGTCTTCCCGTGGCTATCGTAACCCTCTCTCCTTACTCTTCTTCTCATGTTGTTCCTTTCATGTTACTTGAGAGGGTCCAGAGGCTAGTGATATTCGAGGATGATACATCAGTTACAAAAGGACATCTTCTGTTTGACTTTTTTCTATATACAATATTATGATCCTATTACTGACAATAATTAATTAATTAAAATAAATACTGATTTAACTTCCGGATTAACTGATAAATCCAAGTTTACATTTTTGGAACTAGATATCCATGATGAGACTGAGTAAAGGCAGAAAGTCAATGAGACACGCTCCCACAGACTGAGCTTGGCCATATGCATTCCAAGAGTAAGAAGAGGTCCTTCTCTTTTCGTGCGGCAGACTCCTTTTATGGTTACTTGCTGTATAATTCATCGTCCAAGCGTCTCTTACCACTCCTGACAACTGGACAACTACGTACAGTAACGAGAACCTGATGGACAAGCATAAAAGAACGTGAGAAAGTCATGGAAATTGTTTATCTGATTAGCCAAATTTAAATGCACATTAGATTGCATTTTTTCCTCCGGCAAATTTTTAGACTACCGGAAATGGTAGATAATAGAGTATATAAGATATATCTAAAGAAAGATGAAATGAAACGAATGGTAATGATGATGCGTGAGAAGGTATGCGAAAAGATACTGTAGCAAGACTTGACTTGGCAGCTTGTCATTACCCACCCGGAGTCGGTTAGTAGAACGTGATAATATGTCTGCAACAGGTGTATCAGTAATCCCTACTGATGCAAGTCGTGAGAGAGTTTTAAATTGATGATAAAAAAAATGATAATATAGCCTTAAAGGAATTCTGTAGGACTAGATTATATCTTTTTGTTTTTTTTTTTTTTTGCCATTTTAATAACTTGTTCTGAATAATTTTGTTCATATTTTTCAAGCAATGCTTGAACTTTCACTAAGGATTGATTTTTTTGAATAAAGAGATGAAAAGACGTGAATGTGATGTCGATGAAGAGAATACAAGAAAAAGAAAATCAAGAGAGAAAGAGAAAGAAACGTATATAAACGGCCTTCCAACGCCTTATTCGACATCCAACGTGTAATTAGGTAATTATTTATCGCTACGTCGAGGTATTTTACTCCTCGTTACGTCGTTTATCTTACCAGGTAGTAGCGTTTGAAACAAAAAAAAAAAAATTTGACAATTAATAAGAGTCAAAAAAGTCTTGTATAACTGTTTTATTTCCTTATCTTTGATTAGTAAATTTTTATTTTTATTAACGAAAAATGATATTTAAAAATTTTTCTATATTTTTTAATTGATATTTTTAATAAAGCTAATTAAATATTTATTCGACGTTATATATAATATTAACGACTAAAAGAGTATAATACTTTTTTTTTTTATTAAGGACAAAAATCAAATTACTTTCTCTGAATCACCCCCTATAATGTAGCACGTTGCATTTTTGCTCTCACCAAAGTTTGGTCGTCTCGATGGATGACAATAGTCGTGAGATAAGATTTTAACGGCCTATTGTTTCAAGTCTCCCAGTTTCTTTTTTATCCTTCTTTTTTGTTTTTGTTTCTTGGGTTTGTTTTTATTAATGGTATAGTTGCTAAGGAAAATTGTTAAATCTTTGCTATAATTGTGGCTGAAATAGCGGTAACAACAGTTAAATGAGAATAATACAAGTGTCTTGATAGTTTCAATGTTCATACCTTCTGTCACATTGGATTAGAATTAACTTGACGGGTCGTTGGAATGGTCATTGGCGCCGTTAAGACTGCAGGCAAACCGCCAGACAGGTGCTGCTATTATACATATAGTAATTGTCATCCAGATAATCTCAAGCCCAAGTTTTCGCACAGACAAAGATGCAATAACACATTCCTTTAAATGATTAATACTAATTAATATCAGGAAAAAGAAAATAAATGAGAATGAAATTATCTGTGACATAAAAGAGTAGAAAAATAAAATAAAATTGAAGCTTCCTTGTTAATTTATATCATGTTTCAAAGTAAATTTATTGAAAGTGTTTAAGAATACATTAACTTACTTTTGAATGAATAATTTTTGCTTGTAAATCGTTGAACGTCTTTTAAAATGAACAATGATGAATTGACTAACAACGATATCTGTGAGAATAAATTGGAATAAAAGAATGATAAAATTTCTTGGTAAATAATGATCGATAGATAAAATAGGAATTTTTTATATGATTGATAATATCACTAGTTGGGAATTGAATTTTTCAATTTTCAATATATTTTACTTTGCTATCAGGAGCTCATGATCGTATTGAGAAGTGACTTTGATAAAACTTTAAATTTTCTTCATTTTAATATTTTTATAATTTATTAAAGTTGATTAAAATAACATTTGTTGTTACTTTGCAGCTTTGACAATTGATAAAAAAAATAAAATGAAAAATATATATATAGATATATATTTAATATCAGTATATTTACAGTATTATAACAATATAGAAATCAATTAAAAAATTCTTTTGAAATTTTTAATATTATTTTCAACAGATACATTACATGCAGGTATCTCAATAATAATAAAGTCAAAGAGGTATTCAGTTCATCTCAAATCGAAAACTACACAATCATTTTTACACTAACAATAGATACAATATAGATAATAAGAGTGTATAATAATACATACTGTTGTTGATCAATTTCACATGTTATGAAAATTATTTACATTGATATATTATCGTTATTATGATTATTATTATAATTGTCAAACCCACATGATATACTTAATAATGAGAATATGTCATTTTTAAATAGGAATAAATGAAATGTAATTTATGGAGAAATCAAATAAAAAAAATTATATTATCCTTATGAAAACACTCACATGTTAATGTAAACATAAAGAATCTTAATTATTACGGAAGAAAGATTGTTATAAGCAACATACATCCATTAAAGTAAAATTCAAATTACTTTTTCATTATCTAGATACTTATTTATTAACTGATAGTGACGGAACTAATTATTAAATAACATTTATTTCGCTGTTATTTTTTTATTTGTTTATATATTCATATATAACTAAATTCAATAATAAAAATATCTAAATTACAATATAATGCCGTTAACTGGCATGAGCTTTTGATGGCCACGAATATAAATTATTATTTCATTTTTGTTGGGTTAAATTTTTAATTATTATTATAATGACTGTTTGTTTTTTTCAATTCTATTAAAAATTTGATTTTTGTAAACATTTTCCATATATAATACATGAATTGTTGAGCCTGTACACGGGAATGTTTTTTAATAATAATAGTTTTTTTTGTTAATGTCGAGCGTACAATTATTTACATCATTATCAATTGTTCTAAAAAAAAAATTGTGAAAATCATTAAAAAATAATTTTATGACTAAAATTATAATATTTAAAAATGTACTTTTTTTTATATGATAAATGTGTCACATTTAAGTTGTTGTCACAATCCCGTGATAAATAAATGAAATATTTAATATTATTAGCGATTCTCGTAGCTCTATACCGGGTCATACACAATTATTTATTCATGATTTTGGTAGTTAATACAAGTGATAATCGATTAAAATTTACGGTATATTATTAATTTTTATAGCGTCATTGAAAGGCACGAATGAATATTAAATCGACAGTAACGCTAACGGTGAAATGATTAATATTATTTGTAACTTTTTTCTGTACGTGGCCATTTGAAATAACTGAATTTTACTGTTTTATTGTTCTTTTAATTACTTGATTTTTATATATAATGATAATAAGATAAATCATCTTACATAAATTATGATGGGCTAATTAGTTGGAATACTAAGAGCTTTATGTAATGCTTGTTGTTGTTCAGTTGTTAAAGCTTGTATGCACGCTTGAAACATTGTTTCATTACTCTGAAATAAATAAAAAATAATAAATATTCGATAATAGAAATAATATTAGTTGATTTTCTTACCTGTACTTGTCTAACAATACTAATAATTCGATGAATAACCGGACTATCACTTGGAACGACCTCTTTATATAGTGCTTCAGCGAAAAATCGGATCAAAACTCGTAGATTGTCATTATTAGGCCCTAAAACTAGTGGATGATTTGCCTCAATTAAATCACAAAGGTATCCGTAAACGTGTGGTGCCTCATCTTCATCTTCTGTGACTGGTAGCCAAGATAGCCAGTGTGGTAGCATTTCATCAACGTTAATTGCTTTATTATTGTATTTGAGAATTTTTGTTACAGCAGAAATAGCATTCTCTGTTGGATTAATATTCTCTGGTGTTCGAGATTCTGGATGATTAATAACTTCAACGAGTCTTGGTAATGCTTCAGCGCAAGCTTGAGCAAAAGCTTCGCCTCCAAATTGTCCTAAAATACCACAACCATAGGCAGCAGCTTGTCTGACTTCACCTGAACTATCTGTTATATATTGAAGCATTGGCCTCAAAAAATATTCTTGATATTTAACACAACTTGGTCCACCATGTTCTATAACATCATCAAAAACACACAATGCCCATTGACGATCAGACCAAGATCGTTCAGGTGCTAATAATTTGACAAAGTGGCCACAAATTTGGTCAAAATACGGATAGAATGCTGCTTTATGTGTAATAAAAAGTGCATGTAAAATATCAGCTATTTTATTAAGAGTATAAAAATCTTCATTATCTTCATCTACCAACTGTTCTTCGACTACATCATCGTAATCTTCGTCTTTACGTTTTTCTAATCGTGCAACAGCTCGTTCAAAATGTTCATTTAATAATTTATCAAGAATTCGTAAAATCTCTGCCATTTGTGCTGCGTTTAGGCATCCAGCACCTAATAATTCTATACATTTAGCTAAAGAAAAAAGTAGTTCCAACAGCACTTCAGATTCTGGTTCCGAGTCTATCGCTTTCAGAAGTTCAGGACAAATGTATGCCCACATTCCTTCCAAGTATTGAGGGCCTTTAAAGTTTAATTAATAATTTATTATTTAATGTAAAAAAAATTTTTATTTTGTCAATTATTCAAATAAATAAATTTAAATAAATGTTTGTTCCGTAACTAAGACAAGAAAAAATAATTTCCTTCATGTCAACTCTCAGGAACGATATATTTAGTAATTCTTTGTGTCAGAACGACAATAAGAAAAACTAAATCAATTATTTTTCCATAGATATGAAATAATCAAAAATAATTTTTAAAATAATTGTTTGATAATAAACTTTATCTATGGAATGATGTTATTGTATAATAATTTGTTTCAAGTACTAACCTTTTATTTGTGCACACTCAAGTAAACAAGGTAAACTTTCTGCAGCCGCTTCTCGTACTCCGTCATGAAAATAAAATTTTAACATTGGTACCATAAGTCTAACTACTTCTTCAGCATAATCAGCAAAACCTTCTTTTAATTCTCTTGCATAACAAACTAACATTTCACAAGCAGATGCTTTATCTTCTAAGCCTGCAGTTTTAATACCAAAATTTTGTTGTTCTCCTAAAGAAACGAATTGCCAGTCTAAATCACCCTCAACACCTTCCATATCTTCATTGTCGAGTAATGCAACTTCTGGCTTCATCGAAGCAGTTTTTAAAACTGGTCCCATTACTAATGGTAAATATTGTTCGAACTGTTTGCCAAGAATTTTACAAAGACGAGCCCATGCAGATATTAAATAACTTATTTGAGGATCATCATCAGGTAAGTCACCTTCAGAATGAGTTGTTAAAAGCATGTCCATCACTTCACTTGCATCATTAAGAAACTTTTCCGGCCCAACTGCTAATCCAATTAAACTGACACATTCAATGGTTTTGCCTCGAAGCATTTTATGTTCTTGTTGATTAGCATTTTGAATGATATATTTTAAACACGGCATTAAACGGTCATAATAAGCAACAAATTGTTCTTCACATGTATCAGCTACTGATGCAATTGTTGTAACTACCTATTATTATTTTTGGACAAAAAAATTATATTTAGAATAAAATTGTGATTTTTTAATATTTGAATAACAATGATATACCTGTTCTAATACAAGCTTTGTTCCTTTTTCAACAAGTTCTTGAAATTTAGCTGTTAAAATAGATTCTAACTTTGCCATAATAGCATCCAAATAAGGAGTAAGTATATTTTTAGGGCAATCTTCACTAAAGTTAACAAGTGCAGCACCTGCATGAGCTTGAACTCGTGGATTTGTATTATCATCTAGCACCATTAATAAACCAGGTATTACTTTATCATGAAATTTTTTTTCAAATACTGGCGCAAAATCCGTTGACATTTGTCCTATTGCATTACAAGCTGCATATCTTACTCGTGGATGCTTGAAAAAAAGGATATTTTAAATTGAGTAAAACTTGTATTGTTTAGTTATTTTGAATTGATAATATAATTTGGTGGTATGTATGTTTAAAAGTCATTGTCGAAATAGATAATACTATTAGGACTCTTTATACTTGAAAACAATTAATACAGTAATTTAAATCAGTTATTATCAAAACGATAATTTTAGAAATAAATACTATATATAAATTATTATTCCACAAACGTAACGCTGTAACAATATTAATATTAAAGTAAATGCACAGCTGACTCAGTTTGTGGATGAATTTGTCAATCATAATAATAATAATAAAATATACTCACAGGATCTTGCAAGTATTGTATAATTCCATCCATAATTTGTGATAAAATAGCTTCCATTTGTTTATGACATCCTTCTCCTACTGCAGATATAGCCATAAGAGCGGCATGTCTATATTTCCAATCGGAATTGGTTAACATTCTTGGTATATTATCAACGATTTGGGGTAGCATTGTTTTACCGCCAAGTCCACACGATAAACGATCTAATGCACTTTCCGCAACAACATTATTACAATCATTATCGTCTTCAACAATTTCATCGGAGAAACTCCATTCTTCATCATCTTCTAGATCGGTCATCATTTCTAATACTAATGGTACTAGAGCTGCTATATATTTCCCACCAACTTTTCTAACCATTGGTGGTGCAGTTTCTGATAATGTAACAAGAACTTCTAAAGCTAATTGTCGCCAAGAATCGGACATATCTTTGTTGGAAAAAATTTTCATACACATTTCCATGATATTTTCTAATTGTGATCGAAGAAATTTTGGTGTAGATTCTGCTAAATCAATTAAAACTTTAAGTAATGCTTCGTCTTCTCGTTTTTCAACTGATTGTGCTGTTACTTGGATTAAAGCCGGTAATAAATCGGAAAATTGTTTTTGAATATTTGACTCTTTATCATGAAGAATAATAAAAGCACCTATTGCCCGTACAGCTTGGAAACGTACCTGAAAATTTATCAAATTTTAATATATGTAATAAACGTAAAAATTCATGTTAGCCTCGTATCTGTCTGTAAAATAATACTTGACAATTTACAGTCATCAGAAAGCTTTATTATTATTGGAAGAGTATGTGTCGAGTAAAAGAATAAAATATGTCTCTTTTTCGAGTATCAATCTTCCAAAAAGAATAACAATTAAATGAATAATTATTTGTACTTACTTCATAATTTGTTGTATCCATAATTGATTGCTGGAGCATTTGTTTAATAAGATCTAAATAGTTTGATTGTTGATTGCCAAAAACACCAGGAACAGATCTGTTGGAGTAAGTAATTAGTATAATTGTGTGTATTTATTTGTGATTAATAAAAGAATGTACTTACGTAAAAATACGAAGAGCACTTTCTTTGAGTGCAGGTACAGGGCTATTAGCACATTGAAATAAAAATTGTAGAAACTCAGGCCATTGATTATTACCATCATCGTCAATTAAATTTCGAGCAACTTCAGCAGCAACCTCACAAATTTTACGTCGTATAGTGTCTGATTGTTCATTTTGTACTGATAACAATACTTGCTTTTTTAATTCAATCTGAGATTCTGGTGGAATCTGGAAAAAATATAAATATATAAAAAGAGATTGTGAGAAATGATCTTGTTATGTATGAAGGGAAAACAGACATAAACGTATATACCTTTGGATAGAAATCGACAAATTCTGCTGAAAATAATCGACGTAATAATACTGCTGCCATAGCACGTATTTCCTCTGCTAGATGTGGATTGCATATGGAATTTAATAGGCATGTAACCTTACTTTCCAATGGTAAATTTTTGTATGCTTCCTGAAAATAGATTGATAAAAATGAATAAATAAAAATATAATTGTATATAATAAATGTAATGTAAATGAGATAAAATATTGATAATGATAATTAGAATAAGTAGATAATTAATGATGTAAATATAAATGTATGAGGAGCATTGACGAGTACATGTAAATTTGTTGGAGCAGAATAGCTACCATGCGGGCAAACATCATGGCAGTGTGATGTATAATTAATTGGTGATACTAACTTGAGTGTAAAGTTTGTTAATAAAAATAATGTATAGGAGTGGATAAAAAAAATAAAATTATTTGTTGAATTACCTCAGCTTGTGTACGGACTTCATTATCGCTACTTAAAAGTGTATTTAATAGCTGATTAAATTGCTCGTGGTCTGCCGCCATTGTCGCCGAGATACAAAATGAGAGAATGCGAAACGCGCATGCGTTGTTTTAATTCTTCGTGTTTATCATGCTTACCAATCTCTCAACCATGGAGTCTATAGTTTCTTCATAATATGTATCGAAATAGGATATGTATATTCACTAGGTTGGTAAATTGACAATAATGTACCGATAAAAAAGAAAAACACAATTAATTAATTAAAATATTTTTTACATAGTATTGAAATAAATAATAACAATTAATAACAATTTTAATCATAATTATTGAAATCTTGGTCTCTTATGAATAAATAATATTATTGAAATATGTTTGTAAAATTTGATTTTTAGATGGAAAGGTAAAGTAGAAAATCGTTAAATTATTTAAAATGTTAGTTGAAAATGCTACCGCAAGTGGCGCTTACAGCGAAAAGACCACAATATGGCCGTCAACGTACAAGTGTTTTGATAATGCCGTAGCAGGCGCCTCTTAGTGGTGAGCATTTTGCTCCGTAATGCGCTTTTGAAAAATGACTTATGAATTCCTTATAAAAATTGACATCAAGTGTCTTTATTTCAAAAGATTTACCAAATAAAATCGGAGCAGCTATGCTACGTAAAAACCTAATCCAATAAATTAATTATATGGAATAGTTGTTTATTAGTATCGGTTTAAAAAAACGATTACATAATTTTAAAATGAATTTAATTAATCTATGCTATGTAAAGAGTAATTTATCAATATAATTAATTAATATATCCATTGTATTTAAACAATCATTTATATCTTGGATAGATAAAGCAGATTTTTAATAATATTGTGTGATTGATGATTACCATCAAAATACACTAATTTATCGAATTATTTTTCCAAACATTTGTACTTTACGTTTTATGATTAAATTATGTGCAATTATGAATTAAACAAATAAAAAGTATTAACTGTAGGTTGTTAAAATAATTGCGAACAATTTTTTATTATATATTAAAGCTCTTTTCAAAAAGAGATAGTAACAATTGTAACGTATTATTTACTAGTTACTAATGGCTAAACGTTCTTTACTCCGTACATATGTAATCTAAAAGATATCTGTAGTTCATCGATAACAGTGGATCAAATAGAAAAATATACTCTACTTGAGTGTTAATTACACACTAACGTTCATTTAATGGCCAAGACGTTGCAGAAGTCAAGAATCAATAAAAATTTGCATTATAAAGTTAGAAAAATGTATTTATACTGACAAATGTATTGAATAATAGTGAGTTGTCGTAGTGGGAATATTTTCGAAAGTATTCGCGATTCTATGTAGCAAATTTCTCTCGTGAAATAGATAGAAAGCAAAAAATGGGGTTAGGAAAATTTTGGCATCGTTCAATAGTAATTATTGTATCAATCATTCTTTTATGGCAGTTTGCAAAAACATGGAACTTTTTTTATACAGATGTGGCTAATGAACCTCAGGTAATTATTATTTCTTATCATTATTTTTGATATAATACATCTTTATTTATTAAAAAATAATATTCCTTTGAATTGCATTTCTTGGATATGTTTTAATGTTTATGTAGAACAGCTACAGGTAAACCAAAATGATAATGGATCTCTGGATACGAGGAAAGATCATATGGTTCAAATAGTTGTTGTTATTGTTTATTATGAAGCTCTCTGCCCAGATTCAAGAAATTTTATAATCAAACAATTAGTGCCAACATATCAAAAACTTCTGGATAATGTTGCCATTGAGTTGATTCCATATGGAAAAGCTACGGTAAATATGTGCTTTTCAATTAACAAATAAATTCGTTATCATTATCAATAAAAATCAAAAATGTATTTTACTGAGTACTACACATAATTCTGCATATGCATGTGATGAGTTTACTAATTTAATCTAATATTTTTACAGACGACAGATCTTCCAAATGGTTATAAATTTACTTGTCAGCATGGGCCACGAGAGTGTGAAGCGAATATGATTCATGCTTGTGCTATAGATATAATTAAAAACCCCACCGTTCAAGTCAATTTTATAGCTTGTATGATTGAACACAATCTCTGGCCCATAAATATTACACGAAATTGTGCAGAAAAAATGCATTTAGATGCCGATAGCATATTAAATTGCACAAAAAGTTCAAGAGGGCCTGAATTGTTGGCAAAATATGGCAGAATGACTCAATCATTAAATCCTCCAGTTAGTTTTATACCAACGGTTACTCTCAATGGAGTAAGTAAAACATTAAATTTATATTAATTGCTATGATTAATTTGATCTGTAACATGTGATCAATGTAAGCCCTGTCTGTTGGTGCACTGTTAACACTTGTCAATTTTATTCTTAGAATTCTTATGATCAAGCAGCTATTTTAGCAAATTTATTGAAAGAAGTTTGCAAACATTTCAAAATATTACCTGCTGGCTGTTTATAATATTTTCTAAAGATTAAAGAAAATTTGAAGAAGAAAAATTATATATATATATATTTAAAAATGAACTTTATTTACGTTGAATAATCAAGAAGATGGTGAACTATTTACAATTTGTTATTGATAGAAAAAAATTATTCAATAAATTCTTTATTGAACATAAGAAGACGAAAATTCTTCAATAATGTTAAAACATTAGAAGGAAATTTATAATTAATGATTGAAGCTTTACACTAAAACTTTAAATTACCTCTAATTTCAATCCATAAGTTGAAGACTATCCAGTTTTTCACTCGCATAAAAACCCGCTTTAACTTGTCTTCCACCAAAAAATCGGCCGTTTAAGTCAACTACTGCTTTAATTGCACTTTCTATTCTCTTAAACTCCACAAAAATACGAACTGCTTCTTCTGGATGGGCATCAGGAATCTCGTGAATTAATACTCTAGCTACATCTCCATATTTAGTATTACATTCATCTTTGACTTCTGGTTCGAGATCTTCATCTACTTCTCCTGGTCCAACCATATTTCGTAGAAGTACAACCTTAAAGAAATATTTTTTTTCTTTACATTTCTTTTTAATAATTATTTCATCAAGATGAATTATATTTTTTGATAGAGAAAATCGATCCTCATCAAAACATACTGAAATTAAAAACTTACCTTGCTTGGACTCTTCATAATTTCTGTAATCGTTGGTTCTTCAGTCGGTGCTTGAGTATTAGAAGGCGGTGAAGGAAATAGAGGTGGTGGAGGCATTAATTGCTCTTTTTCACTTACAATTCTACCGCCACGTTTACTTGTTTTTTCAACTTGTAAGGCAACAGACATTCCTTGTTCTTTTTTTCCAAGACCTTGACCCTCTTTAAATCCATATTTTGCCATAATTTTTGCAGCAACAGATGAAGTTGTGTATCCAAGTCCCGGAGTCGTGGTAGTTCGAGTTGGGGTAGACGGAGCAGCTGTAATTTCTGAAGACTCTTGTAGTGATGGTGGTGGAGCTATGGCTGCTCCTCCGGCTATTACTCTTGATGTTGGAGTTCGTTCTTCATCTCTTTCAGGGGCAATCATTGTGCCAGTTGGTGTGGGTATCTGAAATATTTATTATAGTCAATTTATTTTGCTCTTCTGGGCTATTTTTATTAAGAATTCCAATAATTTAACTACCTGTGGTTCTTCAAAGCGACTCGTATCTCTTCTACGTTTCCTCTGTTCTGCTTCTTTGTCATATTCCCTATCATGAATATCTCGTAACTCTTTCACGACTTTTTCATATTCATTTGGCCACATGGGATCATATTCATTAACAACATTCCAATCAAATTCTCCGGAAATAGCTGTGTTTCCTCCGGTACTTGGAAAAATGCTTGAATTGGAGACTTCTTCATCACGTTCAGCATCTCTGTTTAATGCTTTAGATTTTAGATCAATCACTGGCGGTAATACTGTAGTAGCTTTCCTGTATTGTTCTCGTTTAGGCTATGAATTATAATGAATAATATTTTTCAATTATTGACTCGAACAAATTTTTATCATGAATATCTTATTCTGGCTTGTAAATTACCTGCGTGATCGCAGCTTTTTTCAACTGTAATTGTGATTGTAGAAGTTTAATTCCTGATGACCATCCAGCAACTTTATCTGAAGCTCGATGTTTGTCAAAATCATCATATAACGACATTTTTATAGAATTGTACGATCCCAAAATTGTAAATTAAATGAAACGGATGTTAATTTAATAAAAAAAAAAGCACAATTATTATTACAAATGTAACGATTGAGTTGAGTAAACAGACATTTTTTGATAATAAATTTTTAGGTTGGTTTAGTTGTTGTTATTCTACCATGATTAGTTGTGTGGCTCCCTCTTAGCCGGGTAACAAATTATCTGCTGTCGATAATCATGTTTGTACACATAACGATATTCGATAAAGTAGAAATTCTTCGTTCCGATAATATTTTTGAAATCATTGTAAATTTTAATGACAATATTAACACTTTTATATTAATTATAAGTTAACTAAAAATAATCACATAAATAATTTTTTAATACTTAAAACAATAAATAATGGAAATTTTAACAAAATTTTTGATTGTTTTTATCAATGCAATCTTATTAAAATAATAATTAAGAATAATTAAATAATTACCACTCTTATTAACTTAATTTATTTAATTACAACTTCAAAATTAATGAATTTTTAGCTCTAGAATTTTTTAATTTATCTACATCAGTAAATCAAATTATCGTAAACTTAGTAATTAGCATAATTACATTTAAAAAATTTATACATCGTAGATAAGCAATTATTAATTATCTTAAAAAAAATCATAATGATACGAATAAATTATTACATGAGGTAATTTAACGCTCCATCCAATAAAGATTGTCATGACAGTTATTATGATCGAGAATAAGCACATAAGGGATATTTTCGACTAATTATATTAATTTATATTTTTTATTTAGAAAAAAAAAAAAAACTAATTTATCAAATTGAAACTCAATTAAGTCGTATACACATAAAAAAATCATCTCTCGACATAAAATTTTCTATTTCGAATCATTTATTCATATGTTTGTTTATTTTAAATACTTCTACCACTGTTTGAAGTGACGGTAACATATATAGTACTCATGAATATTTCAATGAAAACAAACTCGTATTTTTAAGCGAAGATATTCGATCTTTTATAGATTCTAATTAAAATAAATTTACTTAATTACCATACACTCACGTATATTTCATGATTTTTATCAACGCCAATAATTTGTTAATTTTTTTAATTACCATATGCATTAAATGTTTCTATCAATGATTATCAAGTAAATCATGAAAGTGGTAGTTGAATAAATCTCTCGATAATATACAACAAAAATAGATGAATAGAAAAAAAAGTATAAATAGGAATAGGTTTGGTCCTAATTTGAAATTTATGTAGTGTTGGGTTGTCTATTTAAAGCCATTAGCACACTTTACGAATAATTTCGAATGTTTTATTTGGATGAAACATGAAAAATAGACCATAAATGAAAGAATTTTTCTAGCAATTTTCGAGTCTCTCAAGAATAAAATTGATCTCGGGGAAGCGGAACTTGACGCTTGAGTTGTAACATGGACTGCGGTGTTATTTATTAATAGGAAAGTTGATGCAAGCCGCGAGGGAGTGGCAACACGTTAGAAGTGAGCACTCAGAAGCTGTAGAATGAATAAAGCGAATGCTGAGTGCCGACTCTTCTTTCGCGCGTTCGTCTCGCCGCTGAGTTTCCATCGGTCCGTCATCCTCAGGGCTTTGGTCTCTTCTTCTCTTGCCAGCAGCAACAACAGCAGCTGCTTCGTCCTTCTCTCTTCTCTTTCTTTGCACCGTTGGCGCGTAGTTGCCGCATATCTCACTTGTTGGTTGTCCTTGTCAAACTCATGCGGCTTCGAAACGGCCGAGTGAGGCACTGCGGAGAAGAGTAAGAGGAGAAAAAGAAGGACGAAGAGGGGAAGAAGAGAAGAGAGGGAGAGCGAGAGTTGGGCGAGCGCTTTGTCGGCGCCCGCGGCAGAGATCAAACGCGCCGACTACCAACCACCTCCTCTGACCCCGCTGGTCCGTTGAACCAACCGAACCGTAGTCCCGCTCTGCCCCTAACTCTCCTGCCACCAAACTCATCGACGCCCCTTTCCGGCAAACCGCATACTGTCGAGGAGACCGGCAAAACCGACGCGCCAACGTTACGGAAAGCGGCCTCGCGGTAAAACCGTATTATAGGCTTCCCTATATCCTGCCCTACGGAACGGCCCACAACAACACACCGCTTCACCCAGGCTCTGCCAATAAATACCATCAGCTTGTCTTCCTTATTTTCTTTATTTTATCCGCCAACTGCAAAGCTAATCATTTTCTTGATAACATCATGCACCCTACCTATAATACTGAATTAAATGCATTAATGACACTAAATTTGGCCAATAATTAAAATACTCAAGTTCATTTCATGCATTATAGACATATCTATTATCCTGTTTCGATTCAACCGATATTACTCTTCGTGATTCATGCGTTTACCAATTCCCAATACAATCTAGTTTCTCAATGGCCGTGACCATTCGTGGTGCCAATAAATTCGGAAAATTGTTACTATTCCTTTATAAATGACCAATTCTTAAATTGCATTTCAAAAAAAAAATATATCTTTTTGCATACATTTGGTGATTCAGACAAGTGTTTCACCAATTTATCAGCATCATCTAGTCTGAGTGGGAAGAGCATTCATTGTATTGCGATGCAAATCTATCTGTAATTTTCCATTTTTCAAACTTCTACTGATAATAACATAAAATAATACAATAATAGCATAGTATGTATGATTGTATACGTTGTTCAATTCCATACTGATGTTTTGAAGTCTTAAATTTTATTCTTCTTACATTTGAAAGCCCCTTCAACTTGAGTCTATTGGCGCTGGAAGGAGCAATGTTATTCTTTTTAAAAAGTCTTTCTTTCTTTCTCAATGTTATCAGTTACTCCTTTCTCTTTTTCTCACTTATTCGTTTCTCTGTTGTGTGTGTATGACCATCATTCGTTTCAGCCTGTCTCTCCTTCTCGCTCAAAAATGAGACTCGCCGCCGACTTTCCGACAAAGGAATAAAGAAAAGAAACAACTAGCCATGCTACGGCTGAGGATGGCATGGCAAGCTGTGGCACGGTATGGTATGGCGGGCCTTTAGCCTTCTCTTGTGCAGTAGAAAGATGAGGAGAGAGGGACACAGGCGCTTACCACACCAGTGGCGTAGTCATTCAGGTCCCTCTAGAGCCCCTCTTTACATTTATGCTATACATAAACTATCACCTTTGTACCAATGCATCCTACACCATATATATCACCCAATTTTTATCTCTACACTTCGGACAGTCGTAGGTCACTTTAAACTCGTCACTTTTATCCTAATAACTTCAAAGGCGGCTGCCGAAGAAGCTAAAAACATTTCTTTACCAGCTGGACACTAAAAAAAAAAAAAACATCTTTAATCCAATGCTTTTAATTTTTTGGGATCATGTCAAGCCAATGGAGTTTTTTGGTATTTAGTGGATTGTCATCAAAATAATTTTTGTGACTAGACGCTATAAATAATTTGATAACAATAGAGATGTGTGGTTTATTATTATAGACTTATAGTAAAGCAGATGTAATGTTGAAGAATCACATGGTGGTTTATTGGATTCTCTTTTTGGGGTTTTAGCTATTGCAGTAACATCTGCTTTGAATTACTGATGATTGAATGGTTAAAGTGCAATTAAATAACCATTAGAAAAAGATGGTAATCATGTTTTTCTTCAAGCTATAATGAGCTTGGGATATAATGAGAAAAGACATTTACTTTTCATCATACTCGAAAATACATACAGTATAAGACTAAATTTGATTTTATAATGAGTTACCAAAGTTTCTTTTGAAATTTTTTTATCACCGAAAAATCTAATGCAAGACTCTCACACACTCTTTGATGTCATTTCATCATGCGTTTATTTTTTACCACATTATGTGGACCCTTGATGTTGCTTAAATTATAAATAATGATTGATTGAAGCTTTTTAAAGTCAATAAAAATTTACTGGCACTTTATTTTGTAATTAAATATTTTTTCTTTCGAGATAAAATGGTTATTCAATTTTCATCAAATAATTATCATTACTTTGGATGAAAAATAAAATAATGATGATAATAAAAAAAATAAAAAAATGAAATTGGTGTTGTGGCTGTACACTATAAAATTGTCTATCCATCAGCGTATTTTCATTCATGCCTACGGGAATTGCGACGCCCGTGTTCCTTCTGAAACACCGCTAGGAGATAATAGCATACGGGTACAGTCCACGTTAAGAATATCATCTCCACTAAATCAAACCTTTTTTTTTTTTATCATTTTTATTTCTTTAATGTCCTTTTATATACAATTTTTAACGTAGATTAATTTTTATAATTAGAATGCATGCGTGTCTTTCTTCGCATTATATAACAGGTTTCCCTAACACAGTAAATTATTCTGGAAATTTGAAACTTAAAATATTATATACCACAATCTCCAATTCCACCACTAATTAAGGCTTCAAAAATAAAAAATTGCCCTGATTAAATATCAGCTTCACTTTCTTCTTCCTTTCATCGTCATTTTTATTTCTTTTTTATATTTTAAATAAAAAAAATATTCTTATGTATAATATAAAAATTTATTTATATCATTAACAAATCGGTATAATCTTGGTTTTGTGGCGGTGCTTAAAAGCTTATTAATTTGATGAATCAGTAACAAATGTAGAGTTAGTTGAGTTGGGTTAAGTGATGTGGAGATGATATTTTTTAATAATAAAAGTTTATGTGTATTTTTGACAATGATACTTATTTCTTGTTATTTCCGTCTTGATTGTTATTTCTTATGAATATAATAAGATAATAAATGATGAAATGAATCGTCAGAATAAAAATAACTGAATAATCCTCGCGGTTCTCGACGCCTCTTCAAAGCTAATCCCCCAACCCGTTCTCTGACTTGTCCCAGTCGGGCTTTTGATCCTTCCGTCGTGGTTTTCCAAACGCCCCGCGAGAGTCATGTGGCACGTTTGAGTTCATTGAGGGCTTTCGTCCGTACAGTAAACATCTTGTAAAAGTAAAATACATCTAAAGACACGTTGTTTTATCGTTACTATATACATACAGACATACTTAATATCTTCACAGGAGTACTTTTTATTTAATGAAAAAAGATATGTCATTTTTCTTCATTTTTATGCATTTCTTTTGTTTCTTTTTTTTTTATTCAAAGAGTCGTCAAAAAGCTCTTTTTGTTGGTTTATGAATTTTTACCAAGAGCTTTTATAGTGTTTTGAATATATACAAAAGCTTTTTGAACGATTATTATTAACAAACGTTGTCTGTTCAAAATTTTTTGTCTCTATGAAGATCAAAGAGTTTTCTTTTTTTAAAAAAAAAAATAAATTTGTCTCGAGCTTTTAAATAACTTCAAATAAAAATTTTCTTAAATTAATGTACTTGATATAAAAAATAATTCCCTCAAAACAATAATAATAAATAAATACATAAACAAATAATAATAATTATACATTTAATTAAAACTATAAACTATTCTTCGGTGTATTTCTTTTATAATAAAAAATAGTAATACTTTTATTGAAGACATTTTTTAGTATTATTCAATAATTAGAATTTAATCAATAATTAATAATCAATGGCATAAATAAAAAATTAATCACAAAAATCAGAGACAAAAAATTTAATTTAATTTTTTAATTATAAACGAAAATCGAAATAATTATAATGTAAATATTAGAATCGATTGTTCGGAATGTTTAAAGGTCCTTCAAGTAAGAAAGAAGCATTGGAAAAATTTCACTAATTTTTTCGATAAAATGATTTAAACTATTTGAAATAGCTCTCAGCATATTTAAAATAATTATCGTAACGATCAGATTGGTTTAATTGGGGAGTAATTGTTAAAAAAGGAGTGGATAAAAAAGGAAAAAAAGTTGAGGGTTCTACGGTTGAATAGTGACAGTCCTGAATGGTTCGGGTGGGGCGTGGAAGGAGAGCGGGAATTACGGGGAACGTGCGTTTAGGCGAGGACGATCTCTCGTGGCTGTAGTCCAGTCAAGCTTTGGGTGTGCAGACAGAAGGATGGTTGACGGTGTCTAGTGTTGATAAATTAATTTTAAAATAAAATTACATAATAATTGTCACAAATTATCATCACTTGGATCAAGCAATATATTAAGTAATATTTTATGCAATATATTATTAAGTATTATTTAGTTTTCGTGTGTATTTATAACGATTTTTAGAAAAAAAAAAAAGAAATCAAGATTGACGTGATCGAGTGAACTTAAAAGAAACAACATTCGACTCAAAGTGATTGATCGAATATCTAGTAGAGAACGCATAAATTAACGACTTGAAATAAAAGTGTTGGAATAAAAGAGAAAAAAAATAGTGGAATAAATTTAAGGGTGTTTTCCTTTATCAGTTAACAGGTAATTAAGTGTCAATTAGTGCTAAAAAGTGAGAATTGACGTCCGTTAAGTGTCACATTTTGAGTGGAGTGAAATTAAAAATTGTAATTTATTTTTAATTGAAACGAGAAAATTGAATCCTGGATTTTGCAATCAAGGAAGAAGGAATACGACGTGATAGAATATCTGTCACAGTAAACAACAAACAATTTCCGCTTTCTTACGTATGAAGGTCCCATGGCTACCGGATTGGTGAAGTGGTGGCGAGCAAGATTCCTCGCAGGCTATAAGCCTTTTTCTGGTAAGTTTATTATTTTTCTTCATTATTGTTATTACTATTACCGTCATTATAATAAACAATTATTTTTCACTATCAATATTTTATTTTACTTCCAATTCTTTCTGCTTTTTTATTAAACATTATCATCAACATTCTTAGTAATTGATGTTTATTGTTCAACTTCTACTTTTATACATCGATAGAATTTTTATTCCGTTTTTCTTGAATCCTCTCAGTTGTTTTTTTTCGTTAATTGCTTTTATCGATTATTTCTTTATTGATTTTATTTTATTTTATTTTATTTGTCAACGAACAATTAAATATTGGAAATGTAATTTACCCTTAATACATCCTTGGTATTAATTTATTTCAACTAAAACTGAATGAATAATTCATATAATTTTTTTTCTCAAGAAATTTATAGATCAATAAAACCTCTTTCTAATCCTGAAATTAATGGAATTGACTTTTCTTCTTGTCCATCTTTTTCCAATGATAATAGTAAACAATCTCTGCAATTTATCAATGATAAATTGAATTTTTTAATCAGTCATTATAAAGCTATCTGTTTATCACTTATTGGCTCTACTAGACTTTATTGTTCTATTAAACTTGAATTTATTTGGGTTACTCTTGACCTGCAAATCGATCGAGGCCACAACTCTACGAACATAATCTTTCATTCTCATTGAAATTTAATTGCAAGCCGTCTTCGCTTGTCAGTTAAATCTTGAATTTTATTCTATTATATTGACCTTCTTGATATGGTTTTATACTAGGTACTACAGCTACTGCTACCGCTTATCCTTTCTCTCAATATTATTTTTCTTTACTTCTGGACTAAGAAGAAGACGATTGCGTCGTTCCGGATATTCTTTCTCTAGGAATTCCGTCTCCGATCGCCATCTGGCAAGTCGTAGCATTTTGTCTTTCTCTATCTTTTTCTTTTTCTATCTATCTCTATCTCTCTCTCTCTATGTCTTTTACTCTTTCTTCTTCTCTCTCCGGATGTCTCGAACAACTCTCTTCATCATTTTATTTTCTCTTGTTCTTTCTCTTCCTTATGTCGGCACGCTTCGGGCGTGTATCGTGCACCGTAATCGCTTTAACTTTTGTAAGTAGAGCCGTGTAGATTTGTAATCAAAGACAAGCGTAAAGAGACTATGCAGACATTATTTTACTCAAGAAAATTCTTTAGGGATTAATTCATACATAAATCGTTCAACTTATCTGCTGAAAAATTTGAAGAGTTGCTTCTAGAAAAAAAAAAAAAATTCTGTGAACTGTGATTTCATCAATAAAACATTTTTTAGAGTTATGTTATTTTGATATTGTTATGAAGTAATCAATTCTTTAGAATTTTTTAGTTTGATGAAGTAGCACTTTTTTTTACATATACAACATCAACAAAAAAATTGTTTTAGTAAATATTTTTGTGTTATCATTTTTTTTCTTTCATAGAAAATCATAAATTTGAATTTTATTTGAACATTACTCCGTTTTTATGTTTACTGAATATTATAAATGGGAAATATCGAATATTTTACAAAATTTTTCAAGATAAATCAAACTATTATTTTGATTATTGCTCTAATTTTATCTCAAACCATAATTGATTGTTTAATTAATCATTTTAATATCAATTTTATCTTTAAAATTATTCATCCAACTCCACTTCTATAAAGTAATATTTCAACTTCAAATGATATTAGAACAAGTCATTTTAACTTTCTATTAAAATTTCCTGGTAGTTTCTTTACACTAATCCGATAACATAATAAATAATAATGAAGTTTAATGAAGTGTGATATTGCTAAAATCAACTTCCAAAGAAATTTACACACAATAGATTTAGAAAGTAATCAAATTAAAGTACCTCCAAGAAAACAACCCTTTAGAAAGATGTTTATTATTTTAATTAAGCCTTCATAATACTTTTACTCATTAAGTAAAGCAAAAGATAATGAAAGTAGCGAAAAGATGCTTTTACGTTCAATACAACAATTTCCCATCGTATGATCACTTAATTATTATGTTTTTTTCACATTATTATTCTGCATAGAAAAAATTCAACTTTGATATACTTTCTCTTCTCTTTTATTTTGTTGTGCAAACACTGAAACTTAAGAGTAAGTTACAAAGTAATGGCTCTCTTCCTCAATCTGCAGTAATTGAGGGGCGAAATAAAGGGGTTGGAAAGATCTCTTTACCCTTTTTGCTCTTTACCCTCTACTGAATTCATTAGCTCGGGTTATAGTCAAAGGGTGACGCTAACTTTTTCTTTGTCTGCTTTTTTTATATTTTTCTCTTCATCCCTTAAATATTTCTTTTGTTTTTATGCTTTCCAGACAATTAAATTGTATAAAATTCCGCAACCATCAAATAAAGTCGTTTAACATTCCTCCACTATCTTACGCAGTGTATCAAAGCTATTTCTCCTTGGAAATAATATTATTAATTATTATTATTATTATAGTAATATTATACATGCCTGTATCATTTTGACATATCCACATGGACTTATTTACTATACTCATTCACACCAACAGCCAACCATTTTCTTGTTGTCGTCGTGTTTGCTTTGGTTTTTACTCGCACGTACGTTCGTACATCTCTCTCCTTCCTTCCACCCTGGGTTGTATTTATCGAGGGGTCCCTCTACTCGACATTCCGACTAGCCAATGAACCATGCCTTACTTCCGCAGTTAGCATTACACCGTTATCTCTCCGAGTAAGCCAGAAATAATTATACACCCATGAATTAAAGACTTGAGTTGGCGTACAATTGCCTAGATATGAATCTAATATTTGGCATAATAGATTTCGAGGAATTAGAAAAGGGTAATGAAAGATTTCTAATCAATTTTATCATATCAATCATTCAACCATATCAGTATGTAAACAATAAAAGTTCAAATATGTTTGTTATTATTATTATACTTTAAATATTTACAGTCGTTTAACCCTCTAATGATCATCGCTTATCTTTCATTCATGATTTGCTTTCCATTAGATAATCGTTCTAAAAATAATCTCTGATTTATTTCCGTAGTAAACAATCGATTAAAATCATCTTATCCTATTAGTTTCCAATCAAACTCATTATCTTTTTATTGTCAAAAAAAATATCTAAGAAATTTTTTTCAATGATTTATCATTGCCAATACTTTGATAAGAGAATTTTTTTTTCAACTATTATATAAACATATTCATTTGAAATGTTTTTAAATTTATTAAACAATTTGATTTTAACTCCAATAATTAACTATCAATAAAAATTAATTTATTATTAAAAATCATAAGTATTTGTTATTTATTGATTATTAATAAATTTGATTTGATTAAAATATTCTATTTATGTAGAAAATATTGCTTTAGATTAAATGAAATTTTCATATTTTGGAGTCTATTCTCCCTATTTTTAAACCCTAAGGCATTATTATTTATTAATATTCTATTCAGGAAGTGGGAAGCATGTTTTATTGCTCCATTAGATATTAAAAGAGCGAGTACACAGTATATGAAGTAAAAACTCGTTTACTCTTAATCTTGTTTAAATTGATGTAGAATCACTTCTATGATGAGTTTTGAAACTTCCGGAAGTAATAAAATTTCTACCTCAAATTCGAAGGTTTGAATTTCCAAGTCTGAAGTAATAAAAGATAATGAAGCATACGAAGAAATCTTGTAGATATAATAAGAATAATAATAATAATAATGATGAATAAAAAAAAAAACAAAAAAACATTTTTTCAAAGTGAGAATTGAGAAGCCATCGCCGAAAATTTATGAAGGTCGGTGGTCAAACGCAGGTACTTGAAAAAAACTTTTTCGACATTTTTATTACACATTTTAGGGCTACGTCTTTTATTGTTACCGAAACTAAAATGTTTTTAATGATTTCATACATATTATAGCATTACGATTTTTTCTATTATTTCCATCATAGTCTGTGCCATTCATTTTAACAGTTTTGTCTGCTGAAAAAAAATGTATATATAAAAGTCAAATTTACTTTTTACAAGTGAGATTTAACTACTGTGTAGAACGAAGCCAATTTTTCTAGTGAATACCTTCTATATATATCCTCTTGTACTTTTATATGCGTTACATAGAATGCAATTTTTTTTTTTCGTTTTTTCTTTTAAAACGTTTTTAAAAGAGCCATAAAAAATTGGGGTAATAGTAGATCAAAGAAAGACGAATAAAACAAGGCAATATCTTTAATATTTAAAATCATCAACTTGTAAATATGATTGGTTAAATTTTTTTTCAACATATACATTCAAAGAGAGCATTATTTTTGATCTTAGCTTTGAAGTATACATAAAAAAAAAATTCTAAAAAATAGACAAGTAATTTGATTTTTCTGCCACGATTAATCTTTCATCAAAATTTATGTGGCTTTAAACTTAAATTATTAATTTTTCTATTTATTAATTTTTTTTTTTTTTTTAGAATGAACAAATAAAAAGAGAGAAGATAGATTGTCGGAACAAGTTGAAGAGCATTATTAAGCGAGCACTTTTTATATCAATGCTGAATATAAATTGCATATTAAAGATAGAGTGTTGTTGCGTAATGTGTCGAAGGATAATAATAATAAATAATAATAATGAAATTAAAAGTAGAAAATAAAGATGAGAAGTAGGAAAAGAAAGGGCCTGACATGACGAGTGGAATTGGCCGTAATTAACAGAAATTCTTGGAATAGTAAGCGGCTGGAAGGTGAGCTCCTGGGGTACGCAACTCGTGCAAGAGAATCCTCCTTGAAATTCCGATCCCTTTCAAAATGGTCCGGCAAACAAGCCGACTGTCGCCGCACCTTTTTTCCTCATCTCCTATCTCTCTCGGTTACTCTCTTCTTTTTCTCTCTCCCTCATCACCTGAAAAAACTCTATGCATTTTCGGTGCCTCAAAAGTTCCGGTTGTAGTTTCCATCATAAATCCTTCTTTCAAGGGTCGTCTGTGCGGCATCTACAAAAAGCATCATTCTCTGCTCATAACGACTACTCTAACGAGGAAAACTTACCCTCGAAAAAAATATCCCTCCTGCCCGGTCCCTTTTTCATTTTTCCCCTCTCATCACAGCGTGATTCTCATCCCCCTTTTTTAGACAACTCTCCCAATGCTAGAGAGCTTCGATCAGGCTGCATTGTCCGCCGCAGGCTCTTTCGCTCGATTGGAAATGTACTGTCCCGACGGAAAAGAGAAAATAGAAACGATGAAAAAGGATCAAGAAAGATGGAAATAACTTGGTGTGTGGTATTCCATCGTTCTGAGATTTCCTATTTCTCATCTGAAAATTCTCGAGACTTTTTTCCTCTTTTTTATCGTCATTGTTATCTACCGTTTCTTTTTCTTTTTTATTTTTTTTTTATTATTATCGTTTTTTAATGCAAATATATCTCGTAAAAGTATAAAAGTTCAACTATAATAAATTTTACGTAAAATAAATAAAGTGAAAATTTATTTTAGGGAAAAAGTGTTTTAGAGAATAATATTTGGTTATCTATTATATTTTTCTCTCAAGAGTACCAAATTATATTTTTCGTGATGATGGGAAAAAAATGGTTTCGTTAAATACACGCGAAATAACGTAAATAAATATTTATCTTCATAATTTAAGGGGTAGTATTATGGCTGAAGTTATAAAGCAAACTTTGACTACGTTTAACAAGTAAACAAAATTAATCCTGGACCTTTTGTATGCGAACATCTGTAGTAATTTAGAACTCTATTGTGTGAGATACTCTAGATATTCGCTAAATTTTTAGCGAAACCTTATAAAAAATTTTTTGAAATAAAAACATCCTATTTATTTCTAAATATTTTTTATTGAATAAATCAAATATGTGAAATTCCATGAAAATTAAATGGAATTTTAAAATTCATTAGTTGATTTATAATTGGCACAAGCGACAATAAAAAATGACTCATTAAAAAGTAAAGTTTAAAAAACAAATGAGCTGTGATAGTAAAGAGTACATGAGGAATGATGATGGTGAGAGTTTGAGAGAGAAGAAAAGCTGAGATGGATGAAGGTTGGAAGTAAGCAAGTAAAGAAAAGAAAAAAAAAAGAAGAAAAAAGAGAGGAAGATAGTAAAATGTTTGGTGGGAGACTAAAGCGAAGTGGAATAAGAAGGAAAAGAGAGGCGTTTGGTCGGGTCTCTCTTCCTGGAAACCAACAATAATAGCGGCTTCGAGAGAGAAAGAGAGAAGAGTGTTGCCTTCGACTGACGACCGTTGCTGCATTTGCTTCTCGGAAAATACCTAGATCGTTTGTTCAACAGCGTTGTTAAATTTCTCTGGCTTTAAAAGTTTACTTACTGTTTAAATTTGTAATAACGACATATTTCCACCGTGTAATATCTCGTCTAACCCTCCAATGTTTGCTCAGAATTTCTTGAACAACCTTACTCGTATATGTTTCTATGAATTTCTTATTGTTATGTCTTATGTAATACACGTGGCCCTCCAGCTAATCAATCCTTCCATGAATAAAAGTAGAGAGAAAAAAAAAAACCCCCGAAGAAAAAGGAAATGAAGAGAAATAAAAAAAAAAAAATAATAAGAAATAATTTCTTAGTTATTTCCTTTTCCTTCTACATAATTTTCTCCGTTAGAATTTATATCTCTGGAAAGTATAGCTATATAGAACGACTTAAAAAAGTTATAGCTCACGAGATGGAACGTGTTCGTATTTCTTCAGAGTTCCAGAGAGTGCCTGAACTCTCTTATTGGTATCCCGCTGCGTTACTCGTCTGACTCTCTTGAATTTCTCGACGTGTACAAGAAAATGTGTGCCGCCGTTGTGGTATGACCGCAACTCAGTACTAAGTCCATGTGAAGTTCAAAAAACATATGTGTAATACCAATATATGTTTACACAACACACAAACTTGTAAAAAAGTGAATTACAGTAGAATTGCCTTTAAGTTACGAATTCTCGAGTATCCAACCAAATGAAAAACATCTTTACAATGTCGTATTATTGCATTTTTGTATTTTATTTATCAACTTTAACATTATTATTATTATCATCATTAATCATTTATAAATAAATACATTTTTATTCCACAACTACTTTATTTATTCATTCATGTAGTATTTCTTGAAATACTAAGTAGCAAATTGATTTATAATTTTTTCCACTCATGTACACAATATTTAAATTTAAGTGATGATCTGTAACGTACCTCTATTTACGGTACATTATTATTTTTGTTGAGATGTCAACGTTAGGTAGAATTTCATTCATCCATTCATTCATTCAAAAAGAAATGATTGGTTCGATGTACTTTTGAAGACTTTTAAAAGCATGAAGTTTTGAAAAAATTGATTCAAAGTGAGATTAAAACCATTAAAGAACTAGGTACAAAACAATAAAGAGCTTGAAATATCTCAAGTCACTTGGAAAATGTTGTCTAATCCTTGATTTATCGTTAAGTGACGTCGTGGGAGATGTTTAAAAGACAAGCGCAAGCTTTCTGACAGTAGAAGCGGCTACTTGAAAGGCTTCAGAGAAAAATTTCGAAGAATAACGTGCTATGCACGTTCAACGAATAGAGTAGAACCTGAGAATATCTTTGTATAATGCATGATTAAGCGAGACTATAGTAAATAATCGAGACGAGCAGTAAATATCAGTCTACCTTTCCAAATTTTTATCTCTTTTTCTTTATTTATTTTTTAGAACAAATTTTTTTATGTTGAAATCTTTTATCACTTGGTTTTGACTTAAATGTTCTGTTTTTGAAGTGTAAAAATAATTGTTATTTTTAAAGATGAAAGAAATGTTGAGAAATGAGTTTAATGGATCGTAAACTTTTTCAGTTGTTGGTGGTATAGCAGAAGGAAGTGATTCTGAAGAATTATTGACAGCAGGCGTTGCAACGCCTTGCAATAGTTCTCCTTTACCATCAGCGACGTCACCTCTTGTACCGGAAACACCACCGATAACAGTCCACAACTCTGTTTCTTCGTCAACTGCACCAACAAATCATGTTGATGAACAACCGCCTGTTTCCAATACAAGACAACTCAGTTTTGAGGTAATAATTTCAACTTTACTCCATTCTTATCACCACTAAACAATAGACTCTTAACAGAAATCATTACATTACTTATTTTCTATTAATTAAAAGAAAAATAAAATTGAATATTTAGTTGATAGAAAATTGAGTTAAAAGTTATTAATATTTTTAATTTTTATTATGTCAAAAGAATGTCATTAATCTTCAATACCAAAAAATGCTATTTATTCTCCATTAGAAAGGAGTTTCCATCCACTAGTTATAAGTGATCATGATAAATGAAAGAATCTATTGCTCAGAATGTGGTTGTCACAAACTCTAAATGCGGGCAAATCTAATAATTAATGAAATTTCAGGAATTCGAATGTGATGTCTCGGTGGCAGAGGGTAACAGACGTAGACAAGAATTTTCTTTTACTCTCTATGATTTCGATGGACACGGGAAGATAACAAAGGATGACATCGCCGGCTTGGTGACTACTATTTATGATACCCTTGGTGCCTCGATTCAAGTTCCTCCCTGCGGTAGCAAAACAATCAAAGTCAAGCTCACCGTGTCGCCGGACAAAAGTATCGGACAGGGTGGATCTCCTGCTGGTACAAAATCCTCCAATCTCCCCTCAAATGTCGGCGCAAATACGTCATGCTGTCATGTCAAACCCGTCAACTCATGCAGTCACGCGACACACGCAAGTCGGAGGGTTCCTAGAAGGCGAAGGGTCGTACGAAATCGGACAGAAGTGAGTATTAAACATTTAAATTTCATTTGCATATTCATAATCAAAAAAAGAAATCAATTCAAACTAAAATTTTAGAGCATTGATATTAATCATGGGGGAGTAGTGCTAAAGTTTATTTATTTTTTTGATTATCTTTTATCAGCAAATGATTTTTATCAATCATTTCTAAGTATTTAATAATTTAATAAAAAACAATTGTTTGTATGAAACTAAAAATAGAATTTTATTTCAGACTGAACGAGTAATAGAATCTCATAGTGAAGATGATGGAGACAATGTTCCAGTTAGTCAACTAAAACAAGAAGAATTACGAAGAAGAGTAGGACCAGTACCTCATTTACCATCACCTTATTCAAATAGCTCAGAAGGAGACATCAGTGATGATAGTGAAATTTCTCCGACAATAACACCTCTCACTCCACTAGTATCAAACCATCGCAAGCGAAGTGGGTCAATGCAACGACAACAGTTGCTAGAAATCATTCAAGCGAATATGGAGAAGAATAACCTCAGTTTCCATGCATCTAGGTAAGGATCCTGTTGAGGATGATTAATGTTCTTTGTAGAACAGCTATTTTTGAAAAAAAAAGAATTTATTTTATTTGTTTATTATGCACTTAACAGGAAACGACATCAAAGTGAACACCTCCGCGTTCCTCTTCAACGTTGCTATGCTGAACCAGTGAGCCCCTATGTTCAAAGGAGTAGACCACCATCTGCGAGTCGTCAACCTCCAGCCTATCACAAACCGGTTCGGGAGTATTCTCATCATGCCACGTCTCTTTCTAAACTACCTGCCAAAGGTCGAAGAAATCAGCGCAAAACACGAAATCATACATCAAATCAGTGCAACGTTGACACTACGCCCACCATCAAGCAACTTCGTAATAATCTTCAAACGACTCCGGTTACTCCGAATACCTTGAACATTGACTCAACTCAGAATAACCAGAATATTAATAATACTCATCTAAATAATGATATGAAACGTAATGAAGCACAATTTCAGTCACAATCTGCGAGTAAAGCCAGTAAAAAACACCAGTTAAAACATGCCACTAGAGAACAAGATCAAGCCAGAGCTATGGAGCAAGTAGTTCGTTGGCTAGAGAGAGAATTTTCGCAAAACACTGTTGCTAATACTGCTGCTGGTCGACGTCATGTTCATGAGCACATTCACCATCACTATCATCATTATGCTGAAGCATTAGTTTAGAAAATTTATACTCCAGTAGAATTTAATTTTATTGGGTTGATGCAAATAGCCTTGAATACCAACTTACTAAATAATTCCAACAAATATATATTGGCAACTAGAAAATGTGTTTTATTCATCTGAAATTTTAATGAATGGGAACATAATAGAGAATTGGTTACTAAAAAGCATTTAATTTATTATTGCATCAACTCAATCAAATTTACCTTATCAACAGACTGAAGATTAAAGGCCTACTTATAATTATCATGATATAAAAATTATCTAATTATGTTTGTAAAAATTTTTTTTCGTTTTACAATACTGGGTATTGTATATTTGATCGTGATTCAGAAATTTTTTTTTAGATAAAAATTATTATTGTGAAAAAAAATGTATTTTGAGAAGAAATTAGTCTGCAAGGCCAAACAATGGCAATTATTTTTTTGATGATCATGTGTTGAAATGACAGATTATTTCTGCTTCGACTGAACATTAAGAAAATATTTTTTGATTAGTCTCAAAACAGAGTATTAATAAATATATTTAGTAATAAAGTAAACTATAATAATGGTAATTATGATAAATAAATTGTGAAAATGATGAAAGATAATAATAAATGAAGAGATATGATAAATTAGTCCTGGCTAATTTGTCAAAAAAAAACCAGGGTATGTAATTTTATATTGGACTTTGTAATCGCTGTAGATATTTTGTGTATGTTCAATTTTTTTCTATTGATATTTATTAAAACACTTTTTTATACTATATCTATTGCGTTGTCAATCAATAACCCTTAATTAATAATTCTTTTACATTGATAATATTGAAATTTTTTCGGTGACAAATTTATCTCTTAATTATTATATAAGTTTATACAAGTTTCTTTGTGTCTTAATTTTTCTTGCCAAATACACTGTGCAATCGATAGTAATCGATACTTTTGTGGCCCACATAATTAAATAATGTTTTAATCATTTTATTTTTTCATGTGCAATGTTTTTTATTTTTATACTTTATTTTTAATACAGGATTTTAAAGCCTGTCATCATGCCAAGGGCACTCTGAGTCATACACAACAATATAATTTTCATTTGCAATTATTTATCTGACGTAATACAGTTTAAACAAGATTAATTTATTTGTTTTATTACTTGCATGTGCTTTCAATACAGCTAAGCTTACTGTAAAAAATTAGTATAATAATTCATTAGCATAAGCTATCATACATGCTTGTGGGAATTACAACAATGAAAAATTATTACTTTTTCAAGTAAAAAAAAAACAGACTTTATAATAATGTAAATTAAAGCAAAAACTTGATAGACTTTCAACAAAGTTTAATGTAAAATTTTTTTTTTTCAGTGGCTGTCATTATTAGTATTTATCATTATTAATATTATTATTATTGGTATTTTTATATATTATACACACTCACACTCAGAGTGTCCAATAGCTCAAAAGATAGTCAAATTTTATTCTTCTTATTAATCTCTATAATGAACTTAGTAAGAAATTTGGTGACGTTTAAAGACTTTATACATTTTTCTTTTTTTTCTAAATTCCATTTTCGTGAAAAATCTGCAGTGCAATAATACGAAATATAATATATAAAAAATGTATATATATAACTATTTTTCTTTTATTTAAAATAATAAACAAAAAAATTTTTTATCCTATAAAAACATAATTTTTTAAGAAATAAAATAAAAGCAATTGATTAAAGTAAAATATTCCCTCTATATATAATGTTTATCTATAGAAATATAGTTTGACCATAGATAAATTGCAAGAAGCATAGTTTAAATTCTTTTCTTCAGAGAAAAAGATATAATATATATATATGATATATAAAAAATAAAAGAAAATGTTTGATAATAATCTTTTTTTCTTAATTTTGTAATAACTTAATAAAAACGTTGCAAAGCTTTCATAGTTTAATATATCGCGTATAAAACAAAATTATAATTCATTTGTGTAAATCAATATTTCAAAAATAAACAACTCTTACTGTTGAAACATTTTCTTCAAGTCAATACATTACATATTAAAGGCGTTGATAAAACTTATAAAAAAGTTAAAGGTTAAAATTCCCTTTCGTTAAAAGTAGGTACAGTTGTTATGATTCATGAGTCATTATGTATTCAATTTCATTTAACGCTGCTACTACCGGACAATAAAACTCTAAAGATTAAAATTCTATTGATTATTTACTATCGATTTTCAACTAGTATATGTGTAGCTGCGTGATAAGAAACACAATTACAGAACTAATGAATTATGTTATGATTTCATTATGGGAGAAATGTACACTGCACTGAGAAAACATAACTTTTCAAAACTGAAATTACATTTTTTTTATATACAATCATTTAAAAGAATGGAGTTCAAATAAATAATGATTATTATTCTTTTATTTCAAGAGTCAAATATTAAGAACAATTCACATGATTAAATGTTGCTTTAAATCGTTTAATTTATCTACTTTCTTTCTCATTTTTTGATACAAAATTTCATTATTGCAAAAAATGATTCCATTAAATAATAATCTTCAAAAGTTATACATTTTTCTCAGCATTATATCGAAGTATTTCAAAATAATAACCGCACCTTTTTAATTTATTTAATGTATTATATTGGGCCATAAATTTTTTATTACTGCTATCATTTTTTATCGGTCTTGAGCAGTGTATCTTTAAAGTGATGTACACAACAATATCTTAATTGCCAATCTATCAATGACACCATTGATGTTCAATTATTATTATTAATGTTTACTTTATTCATTCTTATTAATAACTTTTCATTACTTTACTTTTTTTGTGTACTACTCTTAGTTCGTCTTTCATCTGTTCTGTTGTACAGAATCACTTATATATTCCAAACTTATATTTGTACATAGTTATATCCAATGAAAAGTGAATCTTGAAACGCAGTAAAATTAACGATTCACTTACATCAAAAATAGATTATTGCAGTGCATTTAATGTGTGATAAAAACTTTTGTAGATAATTATTATCTACCCTAAAGATTGTTTTTTTTTCTAATTATTTATTTTCAATCTTCACACATTTTATGACTTGCTTATAGCATGAATAAGATCCGAAACGCGAACAATATCAGCAATGTCGTTGAAAAAAAGACAACTATTTGGAATTTACATGTATATTGGTCAGAATATTTAATTATTAATTATTAATAAATTAATTTTTTTTTAGGTAACTCTCTTTTTTTCTCTCTCTCTCTCTTTCTCTCTTTCTTACTCTCTGAATACCACTTTAATATCATGATATCGCCGATGAAAACAATAATATTTATGTATCAGTGATTTCATGATATAATTTTATACAGGCCATCTTTTTAACATGACATTTGCGGGTTATATAATGATTTTATATCATCCACATGCCGGATCTTGATGTATTTATATTTCAATAGTATAATAGATGAATAGGTTTTACGTTCTGCTACGTAATGTTTTTCGAGAAGATGATTCCTCAGCTGTTGGGGTCCCAGTTGTAGTAGTCACTTTGCCACGTCTCGTTGTGCTATTACTGCTCACCTCTTTTGTTTGTTGTGTTGACCCTTAAACCCGAATATCACTATCTATTTGTCCATTCACCTTTTTTTTTTTGTTTACATTTAATTTTGAGTTTCTTTTTACACGCGAAAAAATTTAAATACATTTTTTGAAATCAATTAGGTCCGGAAATTTTGAAATTTATCTTAAAATTGGAATATATTTAACCAATATAATTGATAACATCACTCACCACGTGATTTTGTTCTCGAAGATGCGTTTACATTTGCTGTTGTTGGTTTACGAGGTTTTTTAGGGTCCGGTTTTTTGGAATCTGCGGCCCCTTTACTGCTATCTCCGGAGCTGGTATTGTCATCCATAGAATTAGCTTTGTTTCCTCGGTTCAAAACACGCTTTGAACGTGTAGGCACCTTTGCCACGGATTTAGCAATTGCCAATGCTTTATTTGTAGTACGTTTTTTAACGCGGTTTGATTTGGAAGATTTTTTGTCGGAATCTTCATCAGATGAATCATCTTCCGAGGAGCTCGAAGAAGACTCGCGTTTTGATCTCTTACGTTGTCTTTGCTTCGGCTTAGTTACTCCTTTCCTCCTTTTCAATTGAGACTCGTCTTTGTATAGAGATAAATCCACTGAAATAAAATTCATTGAAATGTATTTATTGATTTTTTTTCATTCATTTCATTTCAATGAGCAAAAGTATTAAATACTTACATCCATCTGGATGCTCTTCCGTAACGCTTGGTTTTTCTGAAACCCCTGCTTCAACATCTATGGCTCTTTTCAAAATATTCTCCGTACGTAGTAATTCAATCTTTGTCAATTGATATTTATTTTTATCAACTTTGTTTAAATTTAGGTTCGTTAGTATACAGTCGAAATCTAAAAATTAATCGATATTATTAGTATTGATCTATAACTAATCTCTGATTAAGCAGATAATTCAATAAAAATTACCAGTTACGTCATAAAAATCTGGTGAATATATTTCACCGTTGTTTTTATCTTGTGATAGCCAACGTATACGAATACGTCGGCTAGACTTGTAAATATTTTGCATAGCTTGACAGACATAAAAGCTACCTTCTGCATTTCGTACGGCTAAAAATTCGTTTCTAAACAAATAAATAAATTCATTAAACAATTGATCAATATTTAGTCTTACGAATAGTATTTAAAACTCTTCCACAAATTATTTTTAAATGAATTCAATCAATAACAAAATTAATATAAAGTAAGAGTGTTGAAAGAGTTAAATTTAGATTTTATTTCATACTTACTTGTAAAATACAATAAGTTTGTCATCAGGATTTTTTGTAGTAGGTGCTTTGTTTAATGTTTTAACAATTAACGCAATTTCTGGTAATGGACTTTGATAAGGTTGAGTTTGAACACGATTTCTTTTAGGTTTGCTTCCACCTTCACCAGTAGCACCTTTTAAATCTTTTAATTCCCTTGATTTCCGTTTTGGAGCACGCACTGGAGATGAGCTTTTTGGCTCAGATTTAACAGTTGACGTTGGGGAATTATCATTTGAAGGCTTTGTGGGGGTCGTTGCTTTTACTTTTTGTACAGCATCTGTTTTATCTAAAGATTCCTCCGTTTTTTGAGAAGGTTTAGGTTGTGGAGATACAGCTGTTGAAGTATCAGGAGATGCATCTAACTCTTTAGTCCCATTGTTGACAGGTATTTTCTTTTCTTCAACTTTAGGCTGTACAACTGTACTCACCGCTAAAAGAATAAACAATTACTATCATCAACTAATATGACATTTAAAATAAACTTACGTGTAGGATCATTGGTTGTAGAAGAAGGTTGAGGTTCAGCTTTAACTTCTTGACTATCCACTGGTGCTTCAGGACTAAAATTATTGTTTCTGCTGGCTTCTTGACTCTGCTTAGGTAGAGCTATTGATTCTTGATCCATTGCCACTTTTATTGCTTCCAGTCCATTAGAAATAGCTGATTTATCAGCTTCTGATTCCCTTTCAGTATTATTACTAGAGTAAGGTGTCTGATAAACTTGTGATCTGTGATCCTGCACTAAACTTAGAGGTTGACTGGCTGGTTGTAGAGTAACATAACTCAAATTACTACCACTTAAAGGCTTCATAGCACCAGAATCACTTCCTGGTACAACTTTTTGCGCCACAACATTCATTGGAAGTATAGGGTGTCCCGGTGTGGGTGGTGTAGTTCCTACTCCTGGCATGGATGACTTAATAGCCGATGTACTCATGCCCCAAAGTGCCTCAAATAGGCACTCTAATTATTAAAACCTGTTCAAAACATTTATAGATAAATGAATAATCATATTTTTAATCGTAATACCAATGATTAATACAACGTAAGCATGATTAGACTTGTTAGTGGATAAGTTTCATGTGAAGTGATAACGTTGGAGTGTTATGAAAGCATACGACGTTGGCGGCGGGAAGCGGAGGTGGTAGGGAAGAGTAAACATAAACATGGATCAAGTATTTGGTACTTTTTCATCCATTTTATGGTTGTTGAGGTTAATCAGTATGGAAAACATTTAAATACTTGTCTCACCTTTGTATTAAATAATACAAACAAGCGCCTATAGGTAATCTGACGATGATGTAGCTTCGAAGTTGTTGGCTAAGGCCGAGCGCCACGGTTAACTCATCTTCTTCTGGACTTTTCCCGCGTATAATTCCCGCTCTATAACTACCATATAAAAAGCACACCACGATACATTGTAATTATCTTCAAGTATTTTAGCTTAATACAATATGATGTAAACAAAATATAAAGAAAACTACGCGTTTATCAAAAGCTGTGGATTTACCGCACGAAAAAAACAGGAATGCTAAGACGTTAGATGGCGTCGGTCCTTGGACGCCGTACGTAACGCGATCCGTTTCATGCGACCGATGTATCTAATTCTGTGATTGGTCATTCATTGCAGTTACGACCGGGTTTTTATGTATCGAAAGTCGTTACCAATTGACCAATGAATAGTCTCTTTACCTATACACATTTTATCGACCAATCAGGAAGCAGCTTTCAAAAAGTAACTAGACTTCCCGTCTTGTGAGTTTTCATACAGTACCGGACATAAATGCTGTGTGATTTTCTATAAGACGGTATAGGAAAATCACATGTATAACCTTTGAAAAATTAAACAGCATTTATGTCCGGTACTGTAGATGTCATCATCAATCACAATTTAATGTTGTGCTCTGAAAACCTAAATGAGGTTAAAAAAGTTTTTTTTTCTGATTTTTTAACGGGCTTACTTGTTAAAAATAACAATCACAAGTTCATTAAATTAGCATAAAAGAAAATATATATTGGAATTTTTTCCTACAAAAGTTTATGGACTCAAGGTACGTTTTTTATTATAAAAATAATATAATAAGAATTATGCAAGTGGTTAGTATTAAATGATGAATAAGTTGTATTGTTAATATATAATAAGTAAAATTAGCTCCTTATTTATATTTTAAAGACAAAAAATATTTCGTAATGTAATTATTGTATTTAAAAGGAATTAATTTATTTTATAATTATAACATTATATAAAATACTTAATATAAATTTGTTATCAAAACATTCCTATCTTTTGTTCTATACTAAATACTAATTAAGGTTTTTTTTTAGATCTATCATGAATATTCCACCAATTCAACAAACAGGCGCTATGCCAATGGGCCAAATGACTCAACCAACTAATCCTCAAATGGCTCCAAATCCTCAGCAACAAGTTCAACAACAAACTTCATTACAACAACAGCAACAACAACAGCAGCAAGAAAAATTCGATAACATTTCTAAAGTTAAATCTTTAATTGGACCGTTAAGAGAAACTTTGTCAATTGCATTAAAAACCGCTGCCAACACTTTAACTCAAAATAGTTTAGTCGACATTGGATCCTCGAAAGGTACTGATTCATTAGATCATCGTTTTAATAAGAATATGGAAGAATTTTATTCAATTTGTGATCAAATCGAGTTACATTTGAAGACTTCAATTGAATGTTTATCTCAAAATGCCAGTTCTGTACGTTATCTACCAATGAGTGTAATTACAAGAACAGAAACAGTTTCAGTTCAAGAGGGAACAGCATTGACCTATCCACAATTTTTGATGACTGTTAAATCCCAAGTTGCTTATGCTAGAGAAATTCATGATACTCTCATGACTGCAGCTCATACGATAGCTCCAACTGAATAGCTTCATCAAGACTGTTAGTGAAATGGAAGAATATATACATCTTTTTCTCATTAAAACAACATAAAATTTAATTGTATTGCATTGGAAAGTATTGACTGGATTTTAATCACAATTGTAAAAATGTTTTATGTTGGAGATGTTTTACGATACTTTGATGATCATAGTTCGTACAATAGTTGTTAGAGAAGAATTTTTTTTCTAGCCAAGATTCATTAAGAATTTTCATAGAATAGAAGAGAATAAAAGAATAAGAGGATCATTCTCATTTCATTAAGAATAGAAACAAAAAATAAATAATTAAATTAATTACAATAAAAGTAATTGCTTGTATTGTATTTTTACAAGCATGTCAATTGCATCAGACATGATATTTTTTGTTCATCAGCTTTCTGCATTCGTAAAACATATAATTTTTTATATTTTAACTAGACGTTATCGTATTAATCGCGATGGTACAACGTATAACGCGTATGGCTAAATACTTCCATTTGAGGAATATGATTGTTATCGATACTTCATTACCAAGCACCCTTGGAAGTGCAAATGGGTGGCATCAACTTTAACGAGTGCTGTCATCATCTAAACATCTACATGAAAAAAATCTCAAGATATCTTGTATACACCTGACGTTGATGAACTCCGTTACACTGAGTTATATTGTTGCTCAAGCAAAAAATAGAGTGGGAGGCTGAGCATAACACTGTGCACTCACGAGAAAGGCGTACGATTAGAAATAATTATGTAGTAATATTTTTTATTTACATTTCTCATGCTCATAGTATAAATATTCATATTTAAATGGTTGAATGTAATGTAAATAATTTTTTATTGTTATATTTATAGTAAAATTGTAGTTAATAGACAATAATATATCGTTTTCTATGAAAGAAATAATGGATATTGTTTGTTAGAAAGATGATATTGATGATGATGATGATGATGATGATGAAGGAGAAAAAGTGCAACATTAGATTATTTAAATGTCTGTATAACAATTTATTCATTTGGATTCATTATTTAATGTGAAAGTATTTCTTTCATTCTACGATAAATTGTATTAATTTTTCATCAGTTGTGTTGGAAATAAATTAAGAGAAAATAATTTTTTTTATTTCATATTTCTGGCTATTATTAATGCACATGGTGCTGTACAGCTTTTAGTCGGTTATAATAACATCATTCTCTCAACGCCTCTCAAAGTAATAACGCTATTTTTATCAGATATGTTAAGTATCTATCTATTTTAGTGTGTCAAACACACGACACGATTTCGAATTGTAATACCATTCCACCCACACTCGGGATACTAATTTACAATTACAAAAGTTCTTTCCCTTCTTTCTAAATTTCTTTTCCTTTGATAATAAAAACAAGTTTCCTCATCGATTCTTGATTGATCTTTTTTATGATTAAGCTCCATCTAATTGATATTTATTCAATCAAATGATAAATAAAGGTAATATACATAAGCGTGAAAATATTAAAGTTAGCCGCTAGATAATCAGAGATAATCAAGATCATGCAGCATCAATCTTTTCTATCGAGAAATAGTTGAATCTGGGGGGAAAGGCGTGCAGGAAGAGCTACTGACAGTTGGATTGGTGTTTTGCCACTGCGCGCCGTTCGACTATTCAAAAAGGAAGGACCACCTCTGATCACCATATTTGGTTAACTTTTCCTAATATGGTAACGTCTACTTCTAAATATGGCAGCCGGGGACGCCCTCTTGCCGCCAAATGTAATCCTCCGCGCAATATTTTATTGTTAAAATTGGAAAAATTTACTCAATATTGTGGAAATTTTTTTTTTTCTAATGAACAATGGACTCTTAAGTAATTTATTAAAATGATAATTAGCATGAGTATTGATAATAAGTTATTTGAGAATCATTAGCGGGGACTACTTTTTAACGGCGTGAGGTAAAAGAGTGGGGGATAAACGTGTAGTTGGATACGCGGAGGCACCACGCTCGCACGTAGGTCAAGTTACGATAGTCAATTGGTGTTCAGTTGGCGGGGAGCGCTCATATGGTGCGCATCGTTGTCTCGTCAGTTGCCATAGATGGTCGATCACGTGGCAGTAAGACCGGCGAGTAAAACGCGAAATCACGAGGAAGAGCCGCGGGGCTAGTTAGATTAGATGTGCGCGAGTCCGTGATGGACAACCCTAGCGGCGGAAGGGACAATCGGTACGCAACTCTTGGATACAACATGGGCATGATGGGCAGCGATGCTGGCGCCGAGATGTACGGACGTCCGTCCACTTCTCAGCTGGCCGCTTCGCAGTTGGCCCGTGGTGGCGCCACCATGATGAACGCAGCCGCTGCAGGAGGTGGTGCTGGGGGTGGAGGTACTGGAGTTGGAGTGCAAAGAGGGATGAAAAGATCATCATCAGATGTTTGTTATGAAGATGGTAATGGTGGTCGTCAAACCATGTCACAAAATCAAGGTATGGGTTTACCTGGTGATTGCGTGCCCGATAATCTCGACGAGTCTTTCACGAATTTGGGTGCTCCAAAAAAATCTCCGCCTTCTAATGGCAAGAAGACCAAAGGAAGAGTTAAAATAAAAATGGAATATATTGACAATAAACTTCGAAGGTACACTACTTTCTCCAAGAGAAAAACCGGAATCATGAAGAAGGTTTGTACAAACTTTTACTTAAGTTAAATCAATCATTGAAAAGAGAGGTAGAGAAAAAGAGAAGAGAAAATGAGAGAGAGAGAAAATAAGGCAAAGGTATTTAAAAGTTATCATTAAAAGTTGATCTCAATTTGCAGGCTTATGAGCTGTCAACATTGACAGGGACTCAAGTGATGCTGCTGGTAGCCAGTGAGACAGGTCACGTGTACACATTTGCTACGCGCAAGCTTCAGCCGATGATTACAAGCGAGGCGGGAAAGGCTTTAATTCAAACGTGTCTCAATAGTCCGGATCCACCTACTTCAGGTTCATCAGGTGACCAACGAATGTCGGCCACTGGATTTGAGGAGACAGAGTTGACCTACAACATCGCCGACGATGAGCAGAAAGTAAGACAACTGGTCTACGGCTCGCCCCATGGTGGTGCTTTGCACGCCGGCTATCCAGGCGCGGGAGGACCACCGGGTTCTCAACACGGGCCACCCCCGCACGCGCAGCACGCTCAGCATGCACATCTAATAGCGCATGCTCATGCCGGCTCACCAAGTTCGCATCTGGTGCCGTGCTCGAGTCCGGGACCAATGTTGGCCGGTGGACCTTATCAGCAGTCATGTCCATCTCCATTGCCGCCCCCGCACGCAACTTATCATCCCCACATGTCGCACTCGCACCCCCAGCGGTAGTTTAACACAATCAAATATGCTTAGAAAATTCTCGTGAGGTGCTAAAAGTGATGGTGGTACCGCGAAATTTTAAATTATATTGTTTTAATAAAAATTATCATAAGTGATTGACGATTCAATGATCTATAAACTTAACTAGAAGCAAATAACCATCAGTTGATTTGTGATAATTTTTATTGGTAACTCATCTAACTTTCGTAAAACGAGATTATTTTTTTAGTCTTTATATATATATACGCGTCAAGCCCAAAGACCTATGCTACGATGCAACATAGTTTTTTTCAACAAAAAAATTATATTAATTATTTAAATAATTAAATCATATAATTGGAAATTATTAAAAGAAAAAAAAAATAATAACGTCAAGTACCGACAGATTGATTGATTGAAGTCGCGTGTGATTTGATTGTACAGTTTTGTACCTTGTTTATTTTGTTCTTCAATTATTTCTAATATTATTATAATTATTATTTTATTACAACTCTCATTACTACTTTGATGTTAATTATAATTAATATTTTTTCTATTTTTATTCTCTTTTATTTAAACATATTTATTAACGTAATTTTATGTATATAGTTCGAACAACATCTAGAAATTGAAAAAAAATCTAGATTTTATTTTCTATTAAAGTAGACATAAATGTTTCATTAAAATAAATTAAAAGACAGATTGTTAGTATCAGATGAAGTTTATAAAAGTACGTACTTAAATGGAAAAATCTAATGACGAAATTTTTTCGAAAGCTAAGTCGAAGTTATATAGTTAAGAAAAAAAAAAACCATGTAAAACCGTCTGGAAACTGGGTGCGAGTACGAAGGGGTGAAACGAGTGCACGCTTAAAAAATTGTTACACAGTATTTTTATGCATCGTTTTCCTGTTTTTTTTTTTATTTATTTATTTTTTTACTTTTTATAAATTGCATTTTGAAGTTTTTTTCATTATTTTCTGTATAGTGGCATGTGTAGTTGGTTTTTGTCTATTATATATATAAGTCTCATTTCTTAGTTAGAAAATACTTTAAATCAAAATTCATATTAATTTCTTAAATAATGAAAAATTGTCTTAAATAATAAGCATTGTCCAATGTGACAAGATGAATTTTTTAATCCGTCCAGTAATTATTGCATGCATAATGAAACAAAAAAAAGAGTTATTAAAAAATCAAAAATACGTACTTAATGATAAATTATTCGCGAAAAAAGATAAACTACTTAACTAATAAATAATATTAATAATTTAATAATGAAAGAAAAGAAAAAGCATAAAAGTAATTGAAAGTAAGGAAGAAAAAAATACGTACCCTTCCCGCCCCTGTTCAACGAATAAAGTACAAAATAACGGCGATTAAAAAAATATTAGATTTTATATGATAATGTTAACTTTTAGATAATTTTTTCAAGCCTTTTATTGTATCACATGTGTACATATGTACTGTAAAATACTGTGATAATATTTATATTTACATTTATACAATTCTTTTAACAATACAACCGTAAATTAGTTAAAATGCTTTAGAATTCATTTTAATATTAGTTGATGATTTATTTGGAAAAAAAAATATTTTTTGTTATATAAAGAAAGGTTTTGTTGCATTTTGTCGTTGTTTATATATATATATATATATTTACATAGATATATATTGCTTGGACAATGTCGCATCATGTGTGTTGTATGTGTTTTGATTGCTTTTAAACTGAATGTATGCTATAAATATTAATGCAAATCCTATCCACTTATCCAATTTCTCCCTTTTGAATCCAAAAAGGTAGGTGGTTGCTTGTATTTATTTTCTGTCTACAGTTAATTAGCTGCCGCTGATGTGTTGTAATGTCTCATGAGAAAAGTCGTTTTTCTTATTTAGTTTTACTCAACAGTTTTATTTTTATATATTTCTATTTCTCTAGAGAGATGCGTTAAACACCAGATTTTTCCACTTGGAAAAAAGGGCAAAAATTTAATTTCGTCACTCGTGTATATACAAACCGAGGCCTCTTACGGATAAAAGTGATGTCTGTGATTGCTAAACTCTGGCCTGGAATTGCATTGCACGGCGGTTGCAGTGGGTAAATGATTTTTCTATGTGGCTAACAACAATTAGTGGCAAACTATTCGAATAGCGATCGTGTTAAAATGCGGAGAGTGAAAAGAGGCCGGGGAAAACGTGTTCAAAGTTGTCTAATAACACCAGCAAAATGATGGAAAAAAAATATATAAATATCTTGGATAATTTAGCAATTGTTATTTATTTATAAAATAGAAAATAGACTGAATGACAAGGATGATGATGATGATCATCATGATGATGATGGATCATAAAGTATCAGGTATAAAAGTTCATAATTTAATTGGGATTAACGAGTTAACGAGCTCAAAGATTATTCCCTTGATGCATCCTAACTATAAAGTGCATCCAGGTGTGCACACTTGCGTACAAGACGCGTAAGGAAGGTGGAAACCAAGCTCCTTATACGGTCACCTTTGTCAAAGCCGGCTCGTTGCCATATAGAGGCAATGTTTCTCTTGTCAGACACTCTTATATAGGAGTTACTTACGAGTCAAGAATGCTGCTTTTTATCGCGCAACTTCCACCATCACCATCTCAACTACTCTGTATTATACTCTGCACTACTGAATTATACCAGCACGGTACCAGGACCAGGAGATGAAGCTGAATATCAGTGCGGGCTTTTTGGCTTTTCTCTCATGTGTGCTAAGAAACGCGGCATCGAAAACTTCAGTGATTGGTTGGCTATGCTGCTCAAGTACCGTTGTCTTGCATCTCAGATCCAGTCTCATGCTTTTTCTTCCCTCTTTACTTGTATCAACTACATACGCATTTCACCATCAGCAAAACTCATTTGTTTATTCATGCAAGTCCATTGTCAATGCTGTCGGCCATTTTGGATGTATTAGACGCCTACAAGAAGATGGAACGTTGTTATAAAATAGAATAAACTAATTGTTGTTGATGTCTTGACTCTGATGGATCAAAGTCTACTTCTTTGCTCATTCACTTCTTAGAAGGCGTATAATTGAATTGATTTAGCTTATGAAGTTTAAGGATATTTATTGGAGTGATTTATTAACGATCAAGTGACTTATTGCTTACGGAAGCTATGGTCTTTGATGCAAGAGGGTAAACATTGGTATAATCAACAGAGCGTAAGCTCGTGAGAATTATTTCTCCAAGTACATCGATGCGTTGGGTCGAGCGCGGGATTACCTTATAAGGAGCGAACAAGGATGCATCTCTCCCCGCTAGGTTACGCGTGCACATATGTTATACGCACGTATCCGGGGGGACTCATTTGACCAATTCGTCAATTGCAATTCGCGAAAGTCATCTTTTTTCATCTACCTGACGATCATACGCCAATATATATAAAAGTATATTTATTTTCTCCTTACTTTTATTTTCATTTTTGCCCAACAAAAAACTCTTGCGTTCATCTGTCCTCTTTTTATTGCATTATTTATTTGTGCTAATAAAATATATTGTGACATTGAGGGTGCATTTATTTAGAAGAAGATACAGGGTCTGAAGAAATTTATGAATATTAATGAGCTTTGTGTCTTTGTGTGTTGAACAGGAAGAAGCAGCATCCCCACGGTCTGATACTTGTGCCAATGATAGTGAGGGTGACACCAGTGATGGCGAGACTCCAGAAACTAAGCATTCGATAAAAAATCATGCAGGTAATTTAGGGGATTTTTTTTGGTTTTATTTTGGAAGAAAAAGAGGAGGTAATTAAAAATGTTGATATAGGTAAACAAATTATTAACCTGGATATACTATAATTGGATTTATCAGAAATTCATTTTCAATTTAAATTAAACTGTTAATTAAAATTAATTACCATAATATATTTACGTTATTGAACTCATTTTTCGTGGAAAAAACCTGTACTATATATTTTTTAATTCAATTTTATCATTAAAAAGTAAATATTTGAATCCATAAGTTAATTTAATAAACTCCAAACAATTTTGTTATTTTATAAGACTATTTATTTAGCCAATTAATTTCGATACATTTTTTTTTCATTTTAATTGAATCCCTTTTTTCGAATAAAATCTTAAGAATTCTTTTAATTAGTTAACATTTATTAGATTACATAAAAAAAAAAAGAAAGAAAAGTTTTTTCATTGCAAAAAAAAAAATGAGCATGAAATATTTTTTAGGTTGCGTTACAGTTAATAATGCAGAAACGTTTTAATTGAGATATAATTGCAAGAAAGTTTGAGTAATTTGGTAAATTTATGAATAAAATTGAACTCACGAAAACGATCAGCAGCTTTAAAACCAATATTTTCATGGAGGAGAAATAAAAAAATTCGTGCCTGATGAAAGATGATTGCATACAAATGTTATTTATTGTTTCTTCCTTGTTGAATATTTATTGATGTGTTGTTGATAAGAAGACAATTGTATACTAAATGCAAAATGATAATTCAAGTAATGGAATCAATTGTATAGCGGAGAACAGTAATGGGAGATAACGCGTGTGCAGGAGAGTCTCTTGGCCATGGAAAATCGTTAGAGTGCCGCGGGGGTACTTAGAATGCGAAAAACGTGCGAGCGATGACGGGGTTGCCCGTGTAAGGGGAGTCAGTAAGGAGTCGTACGGTTCACGATGACCAAACTAAGACGACAACGCGATGCCTAACTGGGAAGTAGGATCCGGTCGAAAGCCGCACTCGATGCAGGTGTACACATAAATATCGATGCTAATATACCGTCGTGGATCCCGGCCACGCCGCGAGTCCAGGCAATGAACACGTTCGGTTATCTTTAACTGTCTGGAACGCCATGTTCATTTTATTGCATGCCACTTTTTCCTCGCACCAAATGCCAAGACTTTTCTTCACTTATAACTCGACCACTCGTTTGCCAAACTGATGAATATCAAACATTGTTTTTTTTATCAGACAGACAGATCTTCCTCTATCATCACCTTGTCTTTTTTCTCAGATTTATTTACCTTCCTACAACATGCTAGGCTTTTCACCACAATCATCTATTTAAATCCAACGGTCTAAGACTTGGAAAATAATTTATCACTGTCTGGATTTATAATAAATAATTGGTCATACTCAGAACAATTGTTAATTGCTATAAATAAATTATTGCTTATGGTGATACTAAGGTTTATCAAAAGAATTTACTAATTGATAATTAGAAAGGTGTTTTAAAAAATAAATAAATGTATGCAAGTCAAAATTAATCATAAGTAATGGATATTAAAAAAAATTGATATAATTATATCTGATGTTAGGCTTTATTACCTTATTAAAAAGCTCCAAAAACAGCTAATAGTTGATGCTCTCTAGTTGGAGTAGTTAGAAATTTCTCTCAGAATAATTAAAATAATTTTTGCTCCAAATTTAAATTAATAATAGCAGTGATGTGTTTCGAATGTGTTAAACAATAATTCAAAGTCATATTAAGAACAAAGAGACATTAACAGTGTCTTATAATCGTACTTGTCCCTTTGTACTTGATTACTAAGAATTTATTACATTTTACTTTCTCTGACATTCGTCACAATTAAAATTAATTTGTCACTTGACTTTATTCGAAGCGATTGAAAAAATTAAATTAGTCTATTATTCTTCCATTACGTTTAATTAATTAATCAATAATCAATTTTTGGTTTTTATTCGAATCAAGTAATCATACATTATAAATCAACAGAGGCTTCATAAAACCTCTTTGGAATTGGAGAGATGATTGAAAAAGGTATCGATTGATAAATAGTCTAGTTATTATTATATATCGTTAGGATAATTTTGGCTCTGACTAAAATCTATTTTTTCTTTGATTCATTTATAGGAGGAATGCCATCATTCTCAGCAGGAATAATGTACCAAATGCCACAAAATGTTATGTACTCACCAAACTCTGGAGTTTTATTAAGTATTGGACAAAATGGCCAACCGGTTCAAATTTCTCCTGATGGAAGTGAGTAGTATTGACCTTTCTACGTGTTAACACGTATTTGCTGTCACCGGAAGTCCATATTTATATTTTTTACTCTTGAATTAATTGTAAATTGTCTGGGTGGCAACCCATTGTAATGATGGGCGTCACTGGAAAATTCTTCTCCCAAGTTTTTTCGTGTTTTACTTACGTGAGAAATTATCTCTTTTACGTAAAATAATAGCAGGCGTTGTTACTGTCTCGTATATGGTACTGCCAATTTTATTTATCAACCATTTATAAACATTACTTCCTGTTCTCAATTATTTTATTCAATCTCATTCAAATGTTTGTTTCAGACACTTCAAATATCAATTCAGGACAAGGTACGCAGCCATTCATTACTATTCCTTTACATCCTCTGAATGTTGCTATGAACGCAGGTGGATTATCATTACCAGTGACATCGAAAGCCCAATCGACATCTTGTTCAATGGCATCAACTTCAATTAATTCAGATATGCCTTCAGATCTTAGCAAAGATCGAAAATAATAGTAGATACTTAGGGTATGAATGGAAAAGTGTCTTTATACATCGATCAAATTTATCGATTGTCAAAATTAAGAAATACATATCCAATATTTTATTTCTTATTTTTGTTATCAAAAAGGAAAAAATGTTGGAAAGTAATAATTAATGATTGTTGTTTGTTTAATTGATGCTATTATGCATATTTTTACTGTATTATGTTATAATATGTTGACTTTTAAGGATAATTGAATTTGTTAAAATTCAACAGGTGACTGATAGTAAGATTATCTCAACTAGTCATTGTCTTCCTACAGTAAACAATAACTCACGATATTCAATCGTGTAGGATTTACCTTTAAATACAATTCATGAAAATTTAAAGAATATCGAGATTGTCGATATCAGTATATAGGTTTTGATAAATAGAATTTATCTAGTCAAGTCTAGAAGAAATTTTTTTTAAGTAATTCATCAACATGACGAATTATTATTAATTACTTTTTCTTTATGATCTTTAATTTTAAGTTGATTATAATTTATATCGAATAAGCTGATATTTCAACAAATTACAGCATTTTTCAAATTTTATTGTGTCAAATATTTTATATAATAATTTTTAAAAATTACGACTGTTCTTTAATTTTTTTCATTTAATAACTTGTTTTTATTTTTTGCCCATTTTTCGAATTACTTATTGCATATGCCTAAGTAAATATTTCTGCCTTAATATGCTGGTGATTTATCATATATTAACATTTTTCTTGTACATGTACATAAGTATACGCGTATCGATAAATTAGGGCATTGAAGTCTTCGAACGTAATAAAAAAAAAAATTATATTAACTTTACTATGTAGACGATGGAAAAAAAGTAATAAGTCTTGATAATATTGAAATATTTTTATGATAAGATGAAGATAAATATATGTAAAGTTTCATATAACAGACGTATATATTTTATATTTTATTAAATAATTGTCACTTTTTTAACTTCTTATATTGATGATAATTTTACACATCAAACGTTTGTATAACGAGTTACAAATAAATAAATAAATATATTATATTTCTTTCTTGATCATTACTTTTTAACGTTATTTTTTTGGAATAGAAAATTTTATCAAAATTTCACGTAAAAAAATTACATTTATTTATTTATTAATACGAATAGCTCAATTAATAATTAGTTGTTTTATATTTTATTAAATCCAAAACAATAGTCGTCGTGTTGCATGATTTGATTGAATTAAAAATTAATTTTATACTTACGCGCTACTCTCCTAGTGATTTCTGTGAAACTCGTTCAATTGATTTAAAAAAATTATTTCCTCAGTATCATTCATATATTTCAGGTTTAAAAACTGAAAGACTTTCCAATATATTTAATTCACATTTATTTGTATTATATAATTATAAACATTACATTATTATTTTACAAATCGCAAAAGAGTATTGAATTTATAGGGGAAAAAATAATGACCGCTAGAGAGCGCATCTGTATTAATGTGCGTTTTCATGAAATTGATCTATCGCAGCTGCAAGTTTGTTAAATATCACAGTGAAGAGCTTAAAGTATTTGAATCAGTTAACAAAACCGTTACAGAAACGAAAAAAATAAAGGTCTCAAGTAAGAAGAATGATACTTTAATAAAGTGATATAGTTTAGTGTTAATGAATTAAATAATTTTAAACCGTAACTCTGTCTCCATAAAACAACGTAAGAAAAGATCGATAAATACAATAAATACACAAAAAATGTTTTTCCAAGTAAGTGTTTACTATTTATTTATAATACTGCTTTTATTTTCAAGGATAAACGTTTTTTTCATTTATACTTATTTGCAATTTTATTTATTGGTACATTGATATTACAATAGAAGGATATTTTTCATTGATTCTAAAGTTAATCTTATATATTTTACATCTTTTATACACTTTTTTTTTAGATAAATGTCACTCCTCCTGCTAAGGTCAAGGAGCCAGAAAATATACCACAAAAAGAAAAAGAACTACCGGCTATTTTGGTTTTAGCTCCATTCCAGCCTCAAACACGAATTAATTTAGAAACAACGATCAACAACTCGGTTTCATCTAATTTGAGACTAAAAAATCCATCAAACAAAAATTTAAAAGTAAACACAAATGTCAATTTGTTCTCATCAAGTTCTATTCAATATTGATTGATTAAAAATGATTAAATACTATTTTTCTTGATTGTAATCATTTATATATTTTTTAAGGTCAAAATTACGAAGCTTCCTCCTCAAGAACGTGCAATAATCATTGATACATCTGACATTTCAATTGATTCAGAAAGTGAAGCTAATCTTTTACTATCTTGGACTCCATTAAAAGCTGGTTCCTGGCGAGATGTCCTTCAGTTTACTGATAGTCGTCGTATAAAATACGATGTAAGTATAATAACAACTGCTACTAGTCCTACAAAAGGTGTAGGTAAAGGAAAACAAAAATCATTTGTTCAACCTAAAGAGATAAAAAAGAAGACTGAGAAGTCAAGAACCTATCTAATGGATACATCATCGGTTTATCTCAATAATAAGAAAACTGTTATTACTATAGATAAACCAAGCAACAGAAAAATAGAAGAGGATAAAGAAAATACGACTAATAATCGAACGTATAATAATGATGATGTCTTTCAAACGCCAGCAAAAGTAACTCAAAATTTGGCAGATGAGTTAAATTCTAATAGAACTATTACAAAAAATAATGGACCTTTGAGTACATTAAATATTAGTGATATTCAATTGACGCCTGTGCAAGCGCCTTCAAAATTGAATCAAATATCACATTCAACAGTAATAAGTTCCACAGTTATAACTTCACGGACAACAAAAATAATTCCTGATATTTGTGTAATAAATGCAACTCATGATGAACTTCCTTCAGGTATTTTAAAGTCTGTTCCTGACGTTCAAGTCGTAAATGCAATTGAAAACGAACTAAGTATTACAAAAACAGTTCCTGATATTAAAATCATAAATGCTACACAAGATGAATTTCAGCTTCCAAATATATCTAAAGTTTCAGAACATAACGAAGAATTTGAGTTAAGAAGAGAAACTTATACTACAACAAATCCTAAATTTTGTAGAAAAATACATTTCGTTTTGGAAGAAGATGAAAGAGAAGAAGAGGAAGATGCACAAGAAAAGTTTGAAGATTCTCTATCACCACCAAATAAAAAAGGAGATGCTAGTAATTTTTCAGCGATTATTAATAACATGAATTTTGTAACTCCAGTGAAAACATCTAATATGTTTTCTCCTGATATTGGTTCTACTGGAGCCCGTAGATTGTCTATGAGTAGATTATCAGATGGGGAAAATCACTCACATAATGGTACTTTTAATATTAGCGAAAACAGTGTATGTGGAGAAGGATTTAAAGCTAACAACACATACGAATTATTACCTACACCACCTGGTGTTGTTCAAAATATTAATTCCCATAAAATGTCGAATATATTTGAAAAGAAAAATCCTTCTTCAGATGAGTCGAGAATAAATGTACGATCTTCATCGCCAGTTGCACTTGATCATTCAAAATCAAGCCTTCCTTACTCTAATCTTCTAGCTGGAGACAATGCAAGTGTAAGAGAAGTGTTAGAAGCTAATCTATGGGCCAAAGATGCTCAAGACAATTATCATTGTATTGGAAACAGACTAAAATTAGAGAATCTTGAGATGATAGCTGAAGAAAATTTAAATATTTCGAGCAAGACTTATACTAAATCTCCAGTAAGAATAAAATATGATTTTTCAACTGCAGATTTTTTAAATAGAGATCCACGTCGTATTGACATAACACCACCCAAGAAGTTACTACAGCGTACTCCAACCAAAAAAATGTCTCCAATAAAGCATAATAAAATAACAAAACCTAAAATAACACCACAAAATAATATTTTAAAGAAAAGTAAGACTGAAATAATGATGAATATGAAGAAATCAAGTAAAGGTCCTCTTACTGGTGTGAGAATTACCAAATTATCTCTAGCTAGTTTAAAAAATAAATCAAAAAAGAGTCCTAAGAAAGAAGCAGTTATTAAATTACATAACCCAGATGATTTGATTTCTCAAATATGTAATCCAGATATATTTGCTGCTACAATGACACAGGATCCATTCATTAGTCATAGTCATTATTTCGATGAGAAATTCATTCGCTCAAAAGAAATTGAATTTACAAAGTGGTTAAATGCTTTGTTAACACCTCCAGAACATCTAGATGTTGATATAGAAACAACTTGTGTTGATGTTGGAAAAGTTTGGCAATCTTGTAGAACCAAAGAAATAGCATTAGCAGAATCTAAAGAAGAAGTATCAGCTCGATATCACACTAACACTCAATTGAATACTTTGAGAAAAGCTGCTTGTATGATGTTCAATAGAGAAGAAGTGAAGAAAGCTTTAGCTCATTCTACTTCTTGTGTTAACAAGGGAATTCTCGTCATTAGACAAGATCGTGATCTGCATCGAGACATAGGACTACAAAAGGAAATACTTGAATTGTTTTTAAGTTATAATCCTCTGTGGTTAAGAATCGGTTTAGAAGTTATTTATGGTGAAACAATACCACTGAATTCCAACAATGATTTAATTGGTCTCACGCGGTTTCTCATTACAAGATTCTTCTCTGACCCATTTCTAGTTCAAACCTACTCTGTCTCAAATACAGTTAGCCTAAAATTACCAGCATTCCAAGGCCATTTGAACAAATTTATTTTAACTAAATTTCTTTGCATTGTTTATTTCTTAGACTATGCAAAACGTAATAAACTAATCGGTCATGATCCTTGTCTATTCCATAAAAAAGCACCTTTTAAAGAGAGTAGAGAAATTTTGTTAACATTTTCAAGACTTGTCTTAAGTGGTATTGGAGACATAACTAAAGTTCTTCGGACTCATAATTATATTGTCTCTCATAAGCAAACGTGTTTAGATGAATATGATTATGCAGTAAAAAATTTATGTACAGACTTAAGAGATGGAGTGCGGTTGTGTCGAGTAATGGAATTAATCATTGGAGATAAAACATTGACAAACAATTGTCGACTTCCTGCTATCTCAAGATTGCAAAAAATTCATAATGTTGAATTAGCATTGTCAGCTCTTTCCAGGGCTGGTTATAATATAGCTGGCGATATCAGTGCCAAAAATATAAGTGATGGACATCGGGAAAAAACTCTTTCACTTCTATGGCAACTGATTCATAAATTCCAGGCTCCAAGATTTGAAAAAGCTGCAACTACAATTCAGAAATGGTGGAGAGCTAAGTTATGGTTTATTAGAATAAAGAACTTCTTAATAAATAGAAAGAAAAATGCTGCAGAAGTTATTCAACGATCGTGGAAATGTTATAAAGCAAAAACAAAACTCAAAATACTACGAAAAGAGCGGGCTGTTTATCTTAAAGAATTGAAAGAAGCCACTATAATCATTGAATTGCAATGGTTGAGGCAAAAAAAGATGCTTCAAGATCGTCGTAGGTTCCTTCAAATGAAATCTGCAGCTATTGTTATACAGAAGTGGTTTAGAAGGGTGAAAACAAGCCGACCTTACTTACAAGACCTTCAAAGGAAGCGAGAGGCTGCGATTGTTCTACAGAATCAATGGAGAGCGATTGTCGCAATGAGAAAAGAAAAAGAAATCTATAAGAGAATTAAAAAATCCGTAATTTTAATTCAAAATTGGTGGAGAGCAATAATTCTAAGTAGACTCACTCATGATTATTATAAGAAACTTAGATCTGCAACCATTTTTATTCAATCAAAATGGCGAGCAAATAAATTAATGAGAGTTTGTCGCCAAGATTATTTAGAAATACAAGAAGCTAGCATGGTTATTCAGATATGGTGGAGAAATTATTTGGTAACCAAAAATGTAAGAAATGACTACCTATTAAAGAAGGATGCTGTAAGAACTATAGAATCATTTTGGAAAGCCCATGAAATTGGAAAAGTTGATCGCCAACAATTTATTACAATTAAATCTAGTGTAATTATCATACAAAGATGTTGGAGCAGGTATAGAAATACCAAAAAACATATACAGTACTTCAAATCATGTCAGAAAGCGGTAAGAGTCATTCAGCCATGGTGGAGAATGATTAAAGTCTTTAGAGAATACAAAAAACGACGAAATAATGCTATTATTATTCAAAAATGGTGGAGGCACGTGATAATAATGAATGATATTAAATCTAGGTATGTTTCTTTGAAAAAACATTCTATTTTAGTACAAAAAACGTGGAAAATGAAGCAAGAGAGACGAAAATATTTGAAATTGAAGGCAGCTGTGATGAAAATTCAAGTATGGTATAAAAATTGGAAACAATTTCGAGCTATTCGCAATGATTATTTAATAAAGAAAAGTGCAACTGTATTAATCCAACGTTGGTGGCGAAGTTTGAAGGCTTCAGAGCAATGCAGATCGGATTATTCAATGAAAAGAAAAGCTGTAATGACTATTCAAGCTCAATGGCGCGCTAAAGTTATTGGAAGATCGATAAGAGAAAAATATTTGAATATGAAAAAAGCATCAATCAAAATTCAATCTTATTGGAGAATGATCAAAGTAAGAAATGCATATTTAAAAATGTTAAAAAGAAAGAAAGCAGCTGTTGTTCTTCAAAGAAGATGGAGAGCTCGAGATATTGGATCGAGAATACGAAAAGAATATCTTAAACAGAAATCTGCAGCTATATTGATTCAAAGAAAATATCGTGCAATGAAACTGACTAAATTAACAAAAGCTCAGTATTTAATTTACAAGAAAGCAGCAATAGTCATTCAGAAAAATTGGAAAATGATTAAAGCAGTTGGAAATTATCGAAGAATAAAATCTGCGGTCATTGTATTACAAACTCAGTGGCGAGCACGAAAATTAGCTATTCATCATCGACAAAATTACATTGAAATAAAAAGAAAAATAGTGATGATTCAACGTTACTATCGAGCAAAATGTATTGCTAAGGAAGTTAGAACAATGTATTTAAAACTTTATCAAACAACAGTCAAAGTCCAACGTGTTTGGAGAGCAAATAAACTGATGAAAGAAGCAAGAAGACAGTACTTGAGTCATCGTAATTCAGCGATAAGAATTCAATCTTGGTGGAGAATGATTGTAGAAAGAAAAGAATATTTAATGAAAAAACGTGCTGTATCTAAGATTCAGATAGCTTGGAAATCGTTAATTTTAACTAGAAATGTACAAAATGACTTTTTGACACTCAAAGCGAGTGTTATATTTATTCAAAGACATTTCAGGTCAATAAAACACACTAAAAGAATAAGAAATGAATTCAAGAAATTACGGAAAACAGCCATTTTCGTCCAACAAAGTTGGAGAAGGAAGGTGGAAATACGAAAGCAAATAGCAGAAGTAGAAGCAAAGAAAAGATTTATCAGTGCTGCAATAGCAATCCAATCTGTTTGGAGAGGGTATATGCTAAGGAAGAAAGAGTCTGCTGAAATAAGAGAATTGAGAGAAAGATCTAAAAAGGCAACAGCTGCTGCTACTCCTTCAGCCACAGTGGAATTTAGACTCCGTGCAGCTATAAATGTCCTTCAGAACGTGGCAAATGTTGGTCAATTATCTATGTGTCTAGCTTGCATTGAGACGTTAACACGTTTGTCTCCCAAGGGATGTGTATTATTCTGCGAACTTAATTTAGTTGATAAAATTTATCGAATTTTGGAGAAGTCTAATCGATCATTACCCTGGATGGATGTTTGTTTACGTTGTACTAATATTTTAATCACTCTAATAAAATTACCACAGACTTCATCCTATGTTAAAAGCCTTGAAGACACGGAAACCATAGCAAGGTTGATGAATGCTACTGTTAGACGTGAAACAGATCTATTTCTTCATCTTGCAACACTTTTTTGGCTGTTTTTATTGGATGATGATTTTGTAGAAGAAATTAAAAATTTTCCTCGTACTATTTTCTTATTAAAGACTTTATGTTCGTCGAATATTTTGAAAAATTCAACACAAGAGCCGAAAGGGATGAAAAATAAAACTCTGCCATTAATTGAAACTTTACTGCCCAATCCTAAACCTGATTGGGGATTAAAAACCAAAATCCCTCGATGTTTTACAAAAATTCAAGACGCGATATTGACAATCAAAAATATTTTAAATATTTAATAAACTTTATCAATTTTTAAAGTTATAGTAACCTTTTCATGTTGAAGAAAGAAAAATAGTTGTAATTCTGATGAAAATAATGATTTTTTTAATGTTTAAAATTTATTTAATCCAATTTATAAAATATTTATTAATATCTTAGACATTTTGTTGGCATGCAATTGAATAATCAATTCTGTATTTGTTAAGAAATCGGTCTCTACTCATATTTGAGACTGTTTATTATTAGTAATGTTCGGTTGTCAGAGAAAAACAAATTGGGTATAATTAATATTAAGAATACTAGAACTCGAACTATAAGTTCACAAACATGTTCTATTAAATTTTGGGTAGAGCCCAATTTCCTACATTTATATTGAATTCTATCTTAACAGTTGATATTTAGATATTATTTTATATTTTAAAAATTTATTTTTAGAGACATTTGAAAATCAGAATAACAATTAATTTTGTACATTTGTGTAAGCTTTGTTATTTGTATAGAAAAATAAAAGGAATATTATGAAAAAGTTAATATAAGAGTATTTTTAAAGTAAAAAGATGTAATAAAATTATTTAAAAAAAAAGAAATAAAAATTAGAAATTATTTTTAAAAAAAGATAATTTTTCTTCTTTTTAATAATATTTTTATTGCAATAAATATAATAAACAGTCATTATTTTGGCGTTACATTTTTTCATTTAACAGTCATTTCTATATAGATATATATATATTTATATATATATATTTATATTATATAAAATGAAGCAGACGACGCTTACTAATATAAGTGATACATTTGTTTTTAGCGTGAAGAATAATTAAGAAGTGTATAAAAGAAAAGGAAAACAATATATTATAAAAAAGGAGGAAACAAATTTACTATAACAACTACAGCTAAATTATCACTTTTCATTTAATGCTGCAGAATTACAAGCAGATAACCGCAAATATTAGATAAAAAACAAATTAATTGTGGCCCATACTGATAATTTTTGGCCTTTAAAATGCTCTTAAAGATTAGCCATTTTATTCTTTGTATCACAAAATACAACAATCCACGATATATAACCGCTATGTTTGTTGTAATTATTATTCTGAGAAAAAAGATATGAATAGGCACAAGATTTATTTTTGTAACTGCCATACTGGGCTATTCGAACAATCAATTTTATTTTTCAAGTAAATTTTTTTCCCTTTAACTATTGATTTATACTTATTTCAAGTCTGTATGATACAACAAATCATGAGTTTCAAGTCTATTTACACAACTACTAGCATAAAGAAAAAACTAAAATATTAATAATAATAAAATTAATAATTAATATTCATTACAATAATAATTAATAATAAAAAACAAAAATAACAGTTTAATTTTCATGAACCGATTTCAATTCTTTAATCTGCTTAATCAGATATGCTTTTTCATCATTAAATTGTTCATCTTCTGATCGATCTGTATGGAAGCGCGTCAAAAATTCAATTAATTTCTCTTGATTACGAAGCAAAATGTCCAATATTGGTTTTGGTTTATTTGGATTAGCAACAAATACCTAAAATAAATAATCGAAATTTAAATAAATCATAATAAACTGAAAATTTTGTAAAGTAAACAAATTGAATTATTATAATGGTTATAAATATGAAGTATTTGATTACCTTGAATACATGGAAGGCCTCAAATTGTATATTACGTGATTTCTCTTTAAGCATATTCATCATGAGCTTCAAGTTATCGGGATTCGATATATACCGAGTCATGACCTAAGCGAATAAACAAACATATAAATAAAATATCGAATTTTTTTTTTCAATTCATGAATATATTTTTGGTTTATTAAGATCAATGTTATCTAATGTTTATCAAGAGATTAATTACCGTAAAATTATGTCTATCCAGTAACAATTCACCCAATAGTTTTAAACTCTGCCGGCGAGTTACATAGTTTTCTGAGTTTAATAACCTTTGATAATGAGAAAAGACTTTGTCGTAATTAACCTCTAAAAATTCAGCACTTAGGATCTTGTGCCTCGTGAGCAATTCCTAGATTTAAATAAAATTAATAACAATTAGAATAAAAATGGAAATGAAAAATTTTACAATCAATGAATGAAAAAGTTAATTACTTTAAAGGTAGAAAAGGCATCTGATGCAATATCGAATGTAGAGACTTCAACATATCTGAAGAAATTATAAAAGTCATCTGAATATATCATGATTTTAGCCAAAGCTTCATATCTCGCACATTCTCTTAACATTGTTCCACAATTTAATGCAATATCTTGATGCTCATATCTGAAAAAAATATCATCATTTCAATTTATTCCTCTTCAACTGCTTTTATTTACTGAATCAAATTTTATTAAACAAAATAAAAAAAAAAAGACATAAATCTTAAAATATATTGTAAACAGAATGTAATATCAAAATTTACCCAGACATGAGTGTAAACAAAATTTCAGGCTTTGTACAAATATATTCTACTGTTGGAGATCTTGTGCCAATTTGTCTACGAAGAATGTTATTGAAAACCTGCGCAACATCCTTTTTGCCCTATTAACAAAATTAACACGTGGATAATTACGATAATTGGCAATTATGATACACCGGAAATTGAAATCAATGTTATTTTAAATTGCAAGTAAATAAACGTTGTCGGAACAAAGAGAGATCAATTAGAGTAATAATTAGAATAAAAATTGGTTGCGTTACCTCAAAGTCAATACGACTCAAATTTTGTACCAGCAAGAGCAATAAATTACTATTGTACAATTCCTGTGCGAGCTGAGCTACAACAATATCAGCTTGTGGCTCTGTTTCAGCAGTGCCATATAGCATATTCTTAATATGAACTAAATTCTTGCTTACATCTTCTTGTGCCTGAAATTATTCATATTTGATGATAGTAAACAATGTAAATATTTCCATAACATACCTTTTCTACCTTCTTGTCACCACGCTCGAGTGCATTTACCGCCTCCTTCAGAGCTTTTACAACCTCCGCAGGACTTTTTTGTGACTTCCCAAACAGAGGCATGATATTTTACAAGGAACACACCTTGTAAATTAACATAAAAAAATCAATAAACAACATTCATCTTAAGTGAAATATTTTATCTAATACATCTATTTTCTAATTAGTGCCCAAATGGCTAATTAATGGCTATTTAAATGTAACTTAAGGCTAATACTAAGCTAAGGAATTTTTCAAATGGATAAATAATTGATGAGATTGGCTAACAAATAGGAGAAACTATGAATCATTCCTTAGCGAAAAAATATCAATAATTTCGTTAGCATAAAGAGAGAAGAAAGAGTAAGACAGAGTTATAAAAGTTGAAAATGATGCCAAGTGAAAATACAATAATTGGAAAACGGTACAAAATGAAAAAGTAGGCTAAGATATTGATGAGCAATAATATAAATAGAAAAAAGTTAAAAAATTATTGTTTAATTAAATATAACCTATTATAAATAATAGTCATTACGCAATGCAGTAAAAACATTTATTATTTTTCATTAATTTTTACCATTCAATTGAAAATTCGAGTTAATTTACGCAGTATCCCACAGCACTCTAACTTTTGGATTGCCTTTTAGTAGATCATTTATAAGGCATACAAGTTTCGAGGTATCTCGTGACAAATAAATAATTTGTCGATAAAAAAATAATACCTTTATCACAAGCGTCAAAATAAATCCACTGTCACAACACTTTTTTTTGGTTATATATTTAGAGAAATCCAATTTAAAGTCACGAAAAATAATTTAATATCGAAAAATATTTTTAATTCATCGTATAACTAAATAATTTTTATTTGACTCGTCTCAACTTATACAAGTTCGTCACTCATGGACACTCATGGAACTGCATGAAACTGACAGTGGCTTGGGTTGTGTGATGCCTTGGCAGATATCACTGGCGACACCTAGTGTCATTAATTTTACTTACGCGCGTAATTTGAAATTAACAATAAATTACAACAACTAATCTCAATAATTAAAACATCAAAAAGCTTATCAAGTACATTTATAAATTGAAATTATTTTTTCTTTCTATTTTTTAAATAAAAAATTATGTACATAACCATTATATAATTAAACTTTACATAAAAATGGATTCTTTTACATTCATGATCTTCACTATTTTAACGTTATTTCATGAATTAAGAATTATACGCATTTTTCTAAAAGCTGTTTAAATATAAAAAGTAATTATTCATGAATATATTATTTTATAGATAGAATTTTTATCAATAAAAATCGTAATTCAATAAATGGTGTAAATTGTTGAAATCTTTAATAAAGCGGCATTATTCCACCAGATGGCGAATACATCGTATTAAGATGCCGCCTATAAATGCTATTTTTTTTAATAACCTCTGAATAGTTAGGCTATTTAGTAATATTCAGTGTGTGTATTATTTATACAGGTGTATTTTTACCAACTCTATCAATTCTATATTTTTTTAAGACATTTGTTTCATTATTTTTTTTTTCTTTTTTATTTTGGAGCCAAAAACTAAACTCACTAAATGAGAGAAAGTCATTGAATAACTCTCAGTTGAGATTAATCATATAAAATAGAAAGAGGATTCGGATCCGTAGTTATGTGCTTCCATTTTTTAAATATAATTGTTTTATGGTGATAATATGTCAAAATTAAGTATAAAGAAAATAACAGTTGACTCTACGAAATGTAATACAGACTCACGACGACCAAGTGTATTCGAAAGATTAGGAACCAAACCTGTATCTACGAGTAACACTACATCTACTCAGAATACTTCGGAGTATTGTCGAAACTGGGCTCTGAATGGCAATTGTTCGTACGGAAAAGCATGCAAGTGAGTTTTATTTTTTATTTATTAATAAATAAAGAGTTTTACAGTTAATCTTTAATACAACATTGATTTTTGTCACAGATATGCAAGCACTCATACATTAATTAGTCCTTCAAAAAGAGCAAAAAAGGATTCTTCAAATGCCAATGCATTAACAGTAAGTTTACTAATTATTTAATAATTAAACAGTATTGATGATGCATAATTATAAAAAATATTTTACATTTTGAGATAATTCAATTTAATTTCACTTTTTATTCTAGTCTAAAGAAGATCCATACAAGCGAGTCACATCTAAAATCGTTAAAAAACCATCTCATAGTCCAGACCTCAATTTAGAAGATTGGAACCAAACCGATTTGGAATACGAAGACGAAAAAGTACTAGAGAGACGCCGACAGCTATTACAACGAGAATTGGAGTTACAAATGAAGAAAGACAAGGAGGTACATGGAAAGGATAAACCAAAATATAAGAAGAAGGCTATGAGTTCTTCATCAAGCTCACGTAGTTCTAGTTCATCCAGTAGTAGTAGTAGTTCTTCAAGTGACGATTCTTCTTCAAGTTCTACATCAGACTCTCGTAAAAAGGTCAAGAAAATAAAAACTAAACGTCATCATAGTGCTTCTTCAGAGTATGAAGAAGATAAAGATAGGAAGAAAAAAATTAAACTTAAGAGATTGAATACCAAGAGTGACAAAGTGCCAGTTAAGAAGAAACGTAAAGTTGAAACTCCAACAAAGAAAGAAACGACAGCAAAAGTAGCAAAGAAGTCTACTTCAGTAACACGCAAGCATAATTCTGTAACAAGAACGAAGTCTCCAGCGTCATCAGTTGTTCATACTAGTAAAGTGAAAGAAAGAAATAGAAGTGAGTCACCAAAAGGAAGAACTAGAGATTGTGAAAAAGAAAAACATCATCGGAAAGGTCGTGATTCAGAGGAAAGTAGTTCTAAGGATGTTACTGTAAAAAATAAAAATGTAGAGAAGTCAAAAGAGTTAGAAAAACCGAAAAGAACTGTGGATGAAAAAATCAAAGTAGATGAGAAGGCAAAGGTTAAATCAAAAGAAAAAGAACGAAAATCACGAACTCCACCGATAGAAAGACCTAAGCATCAACCAATAAAAGAAACATCAACTAAAGTGAAGCGAAGTCGAACACCTGAAAAAATTAGGAAACGCGAAACAACTCCTATTCGTCATCAAGAAAAAATCTTTACCAATAAATCAAGGGAAACTGAGAAGAAAGACCGAGAAGTTCATAAACGAGAAAGGAGTAAAGAGCGAGATGAACCGAGAAAAAGTGATGCTAAGTCTAGAGTAAGCCAAGAAGAGAGTCAGAAGAAGAACTTAAGTAGAGATGGTGAAGAAAAAAACCATTTGAATGAACGAAACACTTCAAGAAATCGAGAACGTCGTGATAAAGATGTAGGGAAAGATGAGCGTCATACAAGACTTGCTCGTTCAGATCCAAGAGATAAAGAAAGAGATGAATCTGATCGTCCTAAAGATCGTCCACGAGAACGTGAAAGAGAAAAAGATTGCAAAACACGAGAACGTGAAATCCCGGTAGTTTCAGTGACAGTAAGTAACAGTAGCAGTGATAAAAATTCGAGATATATTCGAGAGAAGGACAGAGTGAAGGAGAGTATAATAAAAGATGAAAAAAATAATTCAAGAGATCGGAGAAGTGATCGCGAAAGAGAAGCCAGGGGTTCAGAATTAAAAATATCCGATAGGGACAAAAGTTCCCAGCGGTTTGAAAGCAAATACGATAGGAATATGGAAAAATCTCCGATTAAAGGCGTTGATAGAGAGCGGATTGACCGATTTCCAAGAGAAAGATCTGTAGAAAGGTCAGAAAAAAGCGTGACAAGAGAACATTTATCTGAGAGAGAGCCTATTTATGAGCGTAATAGACATAGGAGAATTAATACAAGATATGAAAAAGGACATTCATCAGTAGAACATGATAGGAAAGATATTCCACCAAGTACAAAAATCGAACGCTTACCTGAACGGCGTGAAAGTCCGAGAAGAAGTATGGAAATTGATCGAAACTTTGATCGAGGATATTCTCGAGTTCCTTCTGATCACTGGGACCAAAGTGAGGAATCTTCAAATCGGGTGGATTATCATTCACATGAAGAAGAACGAAGAAAGCCTATAGAATCGAGAAAATTCAGTAGTCCTTTCAATGAACGACGAAATAGAGAAGAAAGACCGTCTTCGAGGTATGTCGTATCTGACAGGTCTTTTGATGAGCATCACTCACTTTATGGAAATGAAAAAATACGACCTGGTGCCATTAGAGATGAAAGTAGTAATGATAACTGGGACGTTCACCATGATGTAGATCATGGAAGCAGAGATCGTGTCTATCCTCCTGAATGGGAGGATCGGGAGTGGAGATCACGACAAATGTGGGACAGGGAGAGTCTTCCCAGATCTGAAGCTCATGACGATGAGTGGTCACAAAGATATGATAGTCCCATGTCAGATTGGAAGGTCAATGAACCAAGAAAATGGGAAAATCAAGGCCTTCATGTACGTGGTGGATATCGCAATGAAAGAATCAAAGATCTAGAAATTAATGAAAACCTTCATGGAAAGAGACGTGCGCCTTATAATACTCCAGACATGAGAGATGAATGTGGAAGTCATGGATCAAAGCAGAGTTCACTTCATGGAAGCATGAAAGAAGAACCGATTAACAAAAAATTAATGGAATTAGCTGAAGGAAGACCCAGGAGAAGCAGAGAAAAATCTGCAGACAGTTTTCAAAAGAAGTTTGTTGCTAAAGATAAGCCTGTTGAAGTTAAAGAACCAGTTGTTGAAGTTAAACGACCTTGTCTTGAAGAATCGATTCAAGCCAGGCATACTGAGAGTGATCTGAGTGATATTAGTGATGACCCTGACGATATCCTCGACATGGAGGATGAAGAATCGGATCTCAAAGATCAGAAAAAACCCGTTGAACCAGAGAATGAAAACACCAAGACTGTATCTGAAGAAGTTATTCATCATCCCGAAAAAGAAACAGAAAAAGTCGCTGAAGAGCCTCAAGTATTCAGGAAAGAGAAAGAAGAGCATGAAGTTATGGATGAAGATAATATGGAAACAATGGACTTTGAAGAAATTTCTGATGGAGAGTTGGAGGAAGATATTAAAACTAGTGGAAAAGGACTAGGTGATGCTCTTGGAGTTGATTGGGAAAGTCTTGTGAAAGAATCCCAACCGCGGAAACCTGTTGCAAATCATGATTTAGCTCAGAGTCGATGGCAGTGTAAAGCTATCTTTCAACGTATTGGTATTTCTGTAAAATATGCTGGAACTGAATTTGTCGATAAACTAAAAAAGAAATATGAATTAGATAATAAAGAGGACTTTCTTCTTAGTGATGTGGCCATGATGCACACAGCGTTATATAGGGAAAAAATGAACTTAAATAGTAATTCTATTTGCAATGTAGTTGCCAGTGATGATAGCTTGTATAGAATGAATAATGACATTGAAAAATATCAAGAAGAAGATGATGAAGTTCTTAAACCTGTTACTAGTTTATTTGAAGAAGCAAAAATTTTATTGCAGCAGAAATGAAAAATTTTTAAGTAATTTTTATTTTATTTCTATTTTTCGTGACTTCAGGAATGATATTGGGTTTTCATTGTTCAATTGAGGATACATGGACTCACGAAAGCGTGAATAAAATATAGAAAACTTGATTATACAACGTAATGGACGTGTTTGATCAATAATCACGCATTCGTGCGTGGTAAAGATAAAATATTTAGAGTTTTGAGATCATTAGGTGCTGCTATATCATCTTGTAAAATTTCTGTGGCTTTCTGGGCGATTTCCAGTAAGTTTTGAGCCATATCCTGATGAAAAAAAATTTAATAGGACGTTAATGAATATTTTAAAAAATTTGTATGTGAAAATAATACAATTGTAATAATTAAATAAATATATGTACATAGTACTCACATTAACTTGCAAATTTTCATCATCATTATTATCAAGTGCAGTTCTCGAGAATAATTCTCTCTTTGTACAGAATAATTCATTTAAAATTAATCCTAATAATTAAAAATATTTGAAAAAAATTAATTATTAAATATAATAAAATAATTTTAAAATATTTATATTCTATTTTTGTACCTTTTTTTTGACAATCTCCACAACCTAATGTATCTAGAGTTTGTATTAAATCAGTGCAATATTTTTCCTTGAACTCGAGTTCTTTATCAGACAAATCTAGATATAATTGAAAATTATTATTTGAAAGTAGCAATGACAATAAATTGGTTATGAATAATTGATTACTGATAATAAAAAACTATAATCACCAACTTTTCCATTCTAGTCCTTCAATTCTTCCAAAGAAGGAAATAATACGGAATTTCATATCCAGCATAAAATAGTTAGTATCTGGAACAAGAGTTTTTAGCTCGCCTTCAATAAACTTTAACATTTTCCTTGGTGATTCCGTAACCATTCCATTTACGATAGACATTATTCCAGACCAAATCGATTCAACCTGACAATAAATACTCCATTAAATTATTTATTAACTCTGGGGCAATTAGTTTGTTCCTGTTATTTTAATCTTCACAACTCGAATCTATTAATTAAATTTTTTGTCGATCCTTTTATAGTTAATTAATGATCATAGGAATATATTTTACCTGTCGACTGGATACTTTATTATTACATTGACGACATATCCATGATGATTTTTGATTTAGAGGATTCTCAGGCAATATTATTCCATAACATTCTAAATTAGCACATCTTAGTGCACTTATATTGCTTCCAAATTCCTATGAGAATTATTTATTTGTTATTAAAATAATTTAAAAAAATATAAAATTAAGGTGAAAAATTAGCAAAGAGTTTACCGTAGGATCAGAGCACCTATAGCAATTACATTCAAAATGTTTCGACATAATCAAATATTTTCTTCTCAAATGAGTACTCCAAAGTAAGTCGGTATAGGTCATGGTAAGTTCTTCCCCTTCATCAATTGGTACTACTGCTCGAGTAATCATAAGTCCATCTGCATTGAAATAATGTCGAGTATTCGGTACACAATCATGATTTTGTAAAGCTCCCAAGGGATAAAGTGCTCGAAGACTAATTGAAATTTCATTGTCAATTACTCGAACTGTTTCAAAAGCATTCGTATCGAATGCTCGACATACTCGAAGCATAAAATTTTTATCTTCTTCATCAATCGGTTGTGAAATATTTTTTTCTAATAATTCCAACTAAACATTGATAAAATAAATTAAGTTATTTTTTAATTGATCTCTGTTTAATTGATTGAAAAATTATAAATTGATAAAAAAATTGTGGGAAGAAAAATTTAAAAATACCTCACGACCATGTAGGGTTCCTTCATGACACTCTAGAGCATTAACAACTTCTCGTTGACTTTCAGACAATGTAAGAGATCGTATTGGCACCACTGCTTGAAGAAGATCCATAGACCACATGCTCCCACATATTGGTTTCCACTTCTGTAAATATTTACATTCAGCTTCTGAGTGATTTTTGGAATTTTCACACTTGTCTGAACAGATTGGAAGACCACATCCTTTGTCGCATGGGAAAAGAGTACACCCAGATTTATAACAATTGATACACATCGGTAGATATTTTTTATAGCATCTTGGACCAGTTATCAAAGCTTTATCTATAAAAATAATTTCTCCTTTTTGAATATCACGGGTAGCAAATAATCCTCGACCACCTAACTTAGAATATCCAACAGTCCAAGCCTGATCATTTGTTAACAATCCTTGCTCATTTAAATGTTGCTGAAGAAGCTTTTCAGTTAACTCTCGCTTCAACATATTTATTATTCAAATGATAATAGATAGTTAAACTTAAGAAGCTTTAACTCAAGTGGTTTATTCTAGTATCTACTTGTGTCTTGATACTGCTAATGTATAATAAGTCTACTCCAATGAATAATGGTCTAAAATAGAGTAGGGTACGAGATCTTAAAACAGAACTCGCTCACCTTTTCCTATGTGAATGTCTTTATTTTTAGAAACATTTATTACCCTTTTTTTTTGTTGTTATCTAGTAATTACATTAAATAACAAAGAATATTTGTTCTTAATAAATAAACTGCAAGCTAAAAGTTGCTGATGATTTAGAGAAAATATATAAATTCATATTCAGAAAAAAATGAACCAAGAAAAAAAAATGTAAAGTTTTCAAATAAATAAGTCTAAAGGTAAATTGTTACTTGTTATTTGTTGCATCAATTAGTTATTTTAAGTTGAAAAACTAATTTTTATAATTATGAATTTCTGAAATTATTCCAAATAAATTGTTGACTAAGTTGGCGCCATGATGACATGTATTCAACGTAAGCAGTCATAATATTTCATGACAATAGCACGTGAGAAAATATATCATTACATGTATTGAAATCCAAATTTATTTATAAACTAAAATATTTCAACTTTGGTAGTTTAATTTTATCTTGGCACAGGATGATTCCATATAAATAACTTAAAATAATAATAACAAAAAGGAAGATGTGATGAAGTAAAATTAACTTCTTCCTGATGATCATAATCCAATGTTAAATAAATAAACCTTCCAATTATTTCATTAGCTTCATATGTATCTTCATATGTATTATTACTCATTATTATATATGTAAAATATTAAGTAAATTGATCCCATGATGTATTTTCTCATCATCAATTATTTATCTTTAAGTAACATTATCCGGAACGAGCAAATACATTTTTAATACAGTGGTCATTAAAAAACAATTTTTAATTAAATTGATTTTTATTGAATAATACCTTCTTCACGCAAGCGTATAAATACAGTAATACTAATGCTGATATAATTCTATGATTTGTTATTTACAAGTCACCATGGATACCGGGTGTTTAAAGGCACCCGGAAGAATAGACCACCAACGAATTTATCTAGTTCCAAGTTATTTTACTTTTTAGGTTTACATAGAAAAACATGGCGATAAGGTAAATGACAGAAAATAAAATGTTAACTCATTCATGTGTGGTAGCTTGCAAGTAGACTTTTCAACTTAAAGTAATAAAAAAAAACACAACTGTTTTTCCACAAGTGGACATAATTTTTCTCTTCAAATGTCATTGATCCCATGTGAACGTACTAATCTTCACAAGTCTTTACACTGAGCGTTATCCGGCACTTTAATCACATTAAATAAAATACTGCATGCAAATATATGTATTTATCTACCTTGTTATAATTTAAAAACAATGTTAAATATAATTAAAATTTATTATTCCTGTAATACATCTTGTAAACTACTGCCATCATACCATTTTTATGGTTATAAAATATTTGTTGTGAATAAAAAAGACATTTATTAATCAACACCTGTGTAATTTGTAATTTTTATTCAACAGGTTTCGATTATTTAGCATTTTACCATTACAGTTGAGGATTGTTGTCTTCATTTGTTTTATCAATTCATGCTTTAGTTTGAATTGTACTAATGACCCATGTATGTATGGGATCTGCTTAGATAATGCTAATAGGTAAGAAATTATCATTAATCGATAATCGATTTTGTTTAACCAATCGATTGCATTTTATTTACGAAATAATTTGACATAAATTGAGGTTTTAAAAAAATTTTTATTAATTATTATTGTTTTTTTTTTTAATATCAAGCAATATTTATTCAATTACTGGACAAAATATTTCATACTCATGTTATTGCATTGATGGTTACACCGGAATTAATTGTGAAATTAATTTCGACGACTGTTGGTCAACCCCTTGTCTAAATGGTGGAACATGTAATGATGCAGTTGCAGCATATAATTGTACTTGTCCTGACGACTACATTGGTAAAAATTTTATAACTGTACTTTTCTTTTTTAATTAAACATCATTTATTTTTAATTAATTTTTTTATAGGAACTAATTGCGAACAAAAATACAGTGAGTGTATGAACCAACCGTGTCTTAATAATGGTACTTGTATTGATTATAATGGCTTTACTTGTCAATGTCAAGAAGGATACTCAGGTATGCTAATTTATTTAATGATATTAATTACATCAAAAATTGAAATATAAATATTCATTTAATCTTCGGAATTTTAAGGAGAATATTGTGAAATTGATATATCAGTTTGCAATACCACAATTTGTAAAAATGGGGGTGAGTGTATTGATGGGCCTGGATACTCGTATTCATGCCAGTGTCGTGAAGGATGGACTGGTGAGCTTTGTGAAGTCGACGTTGATGAATGTCTCAGTTCTCCATGCGAGAATGGTGGACTTTGTTTGAATATTCCAGGAACTTACACCTGTGCTTGTTTGTTTGGTAAGAAAATCAATAAATAAATTAGTTTTAAATTCACAATGAAAAATAGAAGAATATTTCTAGATCTATTTAAAAAATACTTGTTCAATCAACTATTTATTAAATGAAAAATAATCAATGAACCTAAATAAATGGTCGATTTAATAATTATTAATAATTCATCAAAGTAAGATTCTTTTTATAACAATTAATTATCGATATTGTTTTTGTTGAATAGGTTTTACTGGGAAAAATTGCGATAAAGTGATAGTTGCTTGTGAACAAAACCCTTGTGCAAATGATGCTATGTGTCTTTTAGAAGACGAGCAGCCAACCTGTTATTGTGTCCCAGATTATCATGGTCAATTGTGTGAGCTGCGTTACAATGATTGCGAATCAAAATTTGCTCATTGTGAGAATGGTGGAACATGTATTGATGGTATTAATAGCTTTACGTGCTCTTGTCCTCCAGCTTTCACTGGAGAAACGTGTTCAGATCACATTCCAACTTCAGCCACTGAAGTTGACACCATTGATATATCAAAACCAGGTCTGCTTACTACCACTACAACATCGAGTTCCCATTATTATACACCGGTTGATGGTTATGATTATTTCACGCCAACAACTCTGCGACACCTGGATGAAGCAACTAAGTTTCCAAGTACTTATGAGACAACGTTTTTTGCTGCTTCTACGAGCGGTGATGGATTGAGTGTTGACAGTGAGACTGAAAGTCCTACTGTTATTGATAACAATGAAACATACTCTACCTCTCCAGTAGCTACGTCTAGCTCTAAAGATTCTTCATCATCATATGAAGATACTACTGCCTTTGAGACTACAACTGTCTTCCAAATTTATGAAACCAAATCAACGGAGCCAATTACAAAAATTTTTTCTACTACTCAATCTTTCGAAACCATTTTCACATCTATCAAAACACCTGTTGTGTCATCTAATGAGACTGAAGTATCAGCAAATTTTACAACCACAATCCCACTGACTTGGTCAGCGCCAATAGAAAACACTACATCCTTAAAAACAACCTCTGGAGTTGTTAGTACTGATGACGGAAGAACTTCGAGATATTATACATCAACAGCTCCTTCGACTATCAAGAAAATTAATGATACTCGAATGCCTTTGACTTCTCCGTTAAGTTTGACGACTGATGCCGATGTTATTACCGTTTTAAGTGATGTTACCAGTGATGAACCTCATTTGTTAACTTCAACGACTGTTGGATATTCTGTTAGTCAGAAGGATGATGATGAACGCTCTACCGTTTCTTCTACACCTTGCCCACTTAATGATACAACTCACGTGTGTATAAATATTTTCTGACGATAATTTTAGCTCATTAGTCAGGTAATTGTTTTTTAGGGTAATTTTTCCATTACTTCTATATGGTAATTTAATATAAACTTTAATGATCATCAAATGAGATCTAGGAGTATATATATCAGTTGACTTATTTTAAACTTAAACTAATGAATGAAAAGATCTTTTAAATAATCGATGCTTTATTTTTTATTAATAGTGCTGTAATACACCAGAATGCAAACAATCTGCTGCTATCACAAATGCTGCATTCAATGGAAAATCCTATATACGTCAGCAAGTAAATATTGATGAGAATGGTTTATTAAAAATTTATCTCCGGGTTAAAACAAAGTCTAAAAGTGGTATCATCATGCACGCATTTTTCGATGAGGAGAGATATGTTTTATTATATATGGAATTAGGTCAGCTGAAGTTTCAATTTTCTTGCGGACTTCAGACAATGTTACTTGGAGAAATTGATACTCCAATTAATAATGGACGTGATGTAGACATAGAAATGAGGTAATAATAATAATTAAATCCGGATTAAATTCAATGACTAGATTAACTACAAGATAAAGAGAAAGTATAAAATTTCATCTTACATTTCTATAAAAAAATCTAGATTTAGATACTTAGCGGAAAATGAAGTTGGAAAATGTGCTGCTAAACTTTTTGTTAACGATTCAATGGCTATGAGTGGTGAGCAGATGCTTTCAGCTCATGAAGCAATGCCTAGACACGTTCGCTTACATCTTGGCGGAATTCCTCAGGCATTTTCACATTACTTTCCTCGAATTGGCCTAGGATTTATTGGATGTATGAGTTTAATGAAAGTGAATGATGTTAAAAGACATTTCATCCTCGATTCTACTGAGACCTTTCAAGTTGAAGAATGCACATCATTTTTATGTTTACTTAACCCATGCAGGAATTTTGGTTCTTGTCATGACATTAATGGCCAAATTCACTGCAGATGTATCACTGGGTAAATAGCATTTATTCATTAGCTCTTAAATTCGTTACATTATTAAATCTATATAACCTATTAATCACTTAGTGATACATTTTAATCGATGACATAGGTATACTGGAGAATTTTGTGAAAGAACAGTTTGCGATGATAATCCTTGTTATCTTGGATCTACATGCATTACATCACCAGGTACTGGATTCATTTGTGTCTGTCCTCTAGGAATGCACGGTCTTCGTTGTGAAGAAGGTATATATTGATGAATTTTCTTCATGAAATATAATTTAAATATTGATGAATTAATTATTTTAAAATTTATTTTGTCAGAATCTACCATAGTTCAGCCGTCATTTTCAGTATTTATCCCCGGGTTTTCATCATATGTAGCTTATGGTATTAACGCAGCAATCAAAGATTACATGGAATTGAAGATGCGTATTATCCCTCATTCTATTGACCAGATATCTCTGATAGCTTATATGGGTCAAAGTGGATCATCCAAAGAGATTCCTGATCACTTTTCCGTGACTTACGTCAAAGGATATATCATGCTTACATGGGATCTGGGCTCAGGCGTTCGGAGGATATTTACTAAACGCCCTTTATCAACAAGAGCACACAAACCTCATACTTTGCATATAGGTAGACGTGGTAGAGATGCTTGGTTGTTTGTCGATGGCATCGGTAATGTTACAGGCCAAGCTGCTGGTACGATGACACAATTGGATGTATCTCCATTGCTTTACATAGGTAAATTGGTGGTTTAATTTAAAAAAAAAAATTTAATTTTAATCGTCTGTTTTATTAAACTTTAGGAGGCCATAAATCGAAAAACTTTGAAGCATTACCACATGATTTACCACTTCACACTGGTTTCACGGGTTGTATATATGATATTGAAGTACATACAGAGAAAGGAGTGATTCCAGTATCAAAATCTAGCCCTGCTAGTGGTCGTGGAGTTGGAGAATGTCATCGAAATGAATGTACACATAACACATGTAAAAATGGAGCAGTTTGTTTAAATCACGGTCCTACTTACAGGTAAATTTAATCTTAAAGAAAAGAAAAAAAGAAAATGTCTGAAAATGTACTTAATTAATTAAATAATTTTTAGTTGTATTTGTATGAAAGAATGGCGAGGACCAGAATGTTCTATTCCAGCGATAACATGTTCTTCAGATTCACAGTGCCAGTTAACCAATATATAACGTTCAAAAGAATATACTATAATTGAATTTATATAATAAAAATGGGAGTAGTGCAATTCGTTTGATGGAATAGAAAGAAGTGAAATTTAAGAAGTTATATTGTAATTAAAATTGATTACTTACAAAGATCATTATTTATTATGTTGATATTATCTATGTCTATGTATTGTCCAACTTGGGTTTAGTAGTGACTAATGTTGAGTTGCAGTAAATAAATAATGCAGCGGCTGCCACTCGACTTTGTAAATCTTGTTTGTTTAGCTCATGAGACCACTCCACATTGCCCCAATGTGAAATCTGTGGAGTAGAAAAAATATTAATGGAATAAGATTTAGAATTGTTTTTTTGTAATTAAAATTTTTTGTATTGTAAATGAATGTTGACATTTTTTATATTTATTTAAAATGTTTGAAGATTTTTAATAAAACAGTAGTATTAAAAAAACAATTCATCATGGAATTATTTTGTCAATACTAAGCTTCCATTTCTGAAGTCAAAATTAAACGATACTCTGATGATCGCAGACTGACGTTGAAGGGTTGATAAATAGGGTTAATTAATGTTAATAAAATAATATATTATCTTACTTGGAATTCTTCTTCTAATCTTGAGAGGCTAACTGCTTGTTCGACATTGAGATATCGATCACAAACCGCTAACATCAGAATGACTGATTTTAAAACATCTACTCCATACATGAATCCTAAAATTCAACGTTTACTAAGAAAATTGAAATTTATGTTTATAATCGGTGATTTTATTGTGGAAAAAATTTTTATTTACCTTGGAGGGCTGCTGAATCGAAGGACGAAATATGCCGTATTAAAATATCTTTTGTATTTGCAGGTATTATGGGTGGACTGATACTTTTTGTTTTAATTATATCAACTTGATATCTATCACAAAACCATTGAATAATTGGGTCCCATCTTTGTACTTGGAGTTTATATAATTCCTCACTTTCCTAAATTGTAATAAATAGTCATAATTAATAAATAATAATAAAAGAAAAACAATGAATAACTTGTAACTCACATCTGATTGAAATAATATTGTATCAGTTTCTAGACAGTTAATAATATAGTTAACGATATCAATTTTATTGAGGTGCTGAGGATTATCCAAAAATGTACTGCATAAAGCCGTCTGTAATAAAAAAATATTTTCTGTTAATCAATTATGCAAAAGTAGTAAAATTGAAATTTACAAAAAATGTAATTGCTGTCGAATTACTAAATGCATGTTACTCCGATTGATGGTATCTTCTTGACTGTCCCATTCCAATGCAACTGCTAATGCTAATGGTCTACTAGATACTTCAAATACTCTACCCTTTGGTGTCTTCAGTTTCCTTTGGTCCAAAGTAATCTCATATTTATCTCCACTTTGTATAATATTTGTCTTTCGATAAAATCTTTTGACAGTAGCTGAAAATTTAGTTTAATTAATATTTTCATGAATAACATCAAGTTTTATCAATTAAAATTAAATTTTTACTTTGTAATATAATTATTTATCCAGTTTTTATTTATTTTTGATAAATCTTTTCTAAAATGTTTACAATAATGTCATTTGAACTTCTTTTTATAGGTTAACCAAATGAAAATAGTGTTAAACAAAATTATTGTAAAATAATCACCCATATTTCTTGCGATGATCACCTTAGGTATAAATTTATGATAAAAACTACGAAACATTTCGATTAATTTATCGTGAATTCCACGCTGATCGAAATTTTGCAAGTGCAAATAATTATGAACTGTTTCACTGACTGCTTCGCGCCATATTTTAAAAATAAATCATTTTCGATCGTAGCACGATAATGAAATTTCGAAAAATATCAAATTCAGCAAAAACATAAAATTTTTATTTCTAAAAATAAAATAATTAAAGAACAATTTTATCAAGCTTTTCGTAAATATTTGAATAGATGTAACAACTAGTTTGTGTTGTTGGTGGACAGCATTTTCTTGAAATCAAAATTACCGCTCAAAAAATAAAATATGGAGTTCTTCCTATTCAGCCAATAGAATTGAGATATGAACAAAGAAGACGAAAATTCGAGAGCTATATATTTACACGTTTGCACGTACATGACATAATCTTTGTGACATTTTCATAATATTTTCCATGCAGAATGCCATTTTTCCGAGATTTCTTCCACAATTTGTTCGGCAGTGGTGCGAACGACCCAAAAAATCAAAGGTAATCACTTAATCTTCTCCTAATAATATTTTATGTATAAAATCATTGGCTCCACATTTTTTGCGCTTCAACTTTTTACCAACGAATTGTTGTTTACTTTCTAGATCGGATGAATTTCCACCTTATAGAGATCGATTTAGAAATCCTATTTGGCAAAATGATGAAGAAGATGATGATGAATATGATAATGACGGCAGGTATTCTCCTATATATTTGAATAACTAACTTTAATTAACCTAAATTTAATCGCTAGAAATGACGCAAACATTTCTCAAATCATAACATTTTTTATTCTAGACATTTTGGTCCCAGACAAGGATTTCACTTCAAAATTTTCACAAATCCTTTTGAAATGACTCAGTATTTCGAATCTCAAATGGACAGTATGATGAAAGATTTCTTTAATTTTGGATTCAACCAGGGACCAGGAATGATTCCATTCGATGGTATACTCATTGACCTTGAGTATTCTTAGACACAAATAAATTGATATTATATTTCATTATATTAATGATTTCTTCGATTTTTATAGACCAAAATCTACCTCAATTAATGCCACCACCAGAACGTCAACATAAAAGTTTGAGAGAAGAATTTCTGAAGCCGGGTTATGATTATTCGTCCTCCAATCCTGAAGAAAAAGTTGATATAGATTTAGACGGAAAGTATGAATTGAGTTTTTTAATTTAAGTGCTAAAATTTGGAATATGTAAATAGATTGTATTCATATTGAATCACATTTAAATTGCTCTTAGGATATCTGCTCAAGATTTCTCCAAGATTTGGAAGGATCCTAATTCTTCAGAAAATATGCAGCTTGACGTTCCACAAAATAAGTTTAACTTCCATTCTTTTGGTCAATCAATTGTTTCTCAAACAGTAAGACGTCCAGATGGCTCAATTGAGGAAAAGAAAACCGTTACTGATAGTCAAGGAAATGCAGAGACTACAGTCAGACGTAAAATTGGAGATAAAATTTATACAGTTATTACTAAGAGAGATAAAGATGGTGTAGAAAGAAAGACAGAAGAGTTTCAAAATATAGATGAACGTAAGAGCTAAAACTTTTAGTTGAAATTCACTTATATTGAAATCAAACTTTGTTTATTCTATTTTTATTGTTCCGTAAGATTTAAAAATAAACCGCATTTTTTCAGATGAAGTCCAAAATTTTGAGAACAATTGGAAACCTGTTGAGCCAGCGCCAATTCAACCAGGTATTTTATCTGATTTCCCTTGGCAGAAATTTGTTGGATTCAACCCTAAATTGTAGAGATTAAAAAATTATTTAGAAGAAAAAGATTCAAGTAGTTATTGATACCTTAAATTTTTCAAAAAAAAAAGGTCCATTAATATTTATGCTATTTACATTTAGATAGTCAACGTACTTTATGTATCTGAATATTGATAGATTTGGGATATAAGTTAAGTTATGTATATATTCTCTGTATAAATATATTAATAAATTTTTCTGAGTCATTTCAATAAAACACGCAACTTATTTGTTATTCAAATACAATGCCTTTATTGTTAAAAAAAAATAAACAATAATAAATGTGAAAGTAACAACAATTAATTTAAGTAATTTATTGCATTTTGAGATGTTAAAAATTATTTTCTCTATGAAAAAATTACAATTTAAAAAAATATTAAGTAAAATTATTTTCCCATATTAGTCTATAATCTTACAACGAATTGATAACATAATTAGTTAATAATCGATACAACTTAATATGAAATCAACTGTCTTTTAACACGAAAAGAAGAAAAGATGATTCAGTACTATGCTACACAATAGTCTATTAACTTTACGACTTTTTCTATAAAAATGAATCTAAACATAAATGATTTTTGTGAGCACAATACTGATTACGATCAAAAATAGCACAATAAAAGCTCTACACAATAATCAGTATTGTGTTCACAAGAATGATTTATACTCGAATTCATTTTTATAAAAAAGTAATTTTAAATTGAGAGATTATTGTATAGCACAATAATGAGTAATCTTTTCTCTTTTTCATATAGATTGGATGAAGAAAAATTGGATAAAAAATCTGCGTGAAATTCTTAATTTTTTCTCAGCAATTAAAAATATACAGAATTATATTCTTTTAAAGTACACTTTCAAGTACATCATAGTCTTTGGAGTGATAATGATAATGTTAAATAATTTCAAACGAACGTTATATGTTCATAATTGACAAGGTAAAAGGGATTGTTACTGTATGGACCATGAATACAATCCAAAAATAAATCCATTAAATTACTTTATTCCATTTAATTTCAAATACTATTATTCGTACGAGTCGTTTGTATGTATATTTAACATTCACGCACATAACAAGGTCTCACTCATGAATCATCAATCATTACATATATACAACCGTATATACTTTTTGCACGGAGAATATTATGTAACGTATATACAAATAATTTTTTATAAATAAATATAACGATCTTATGATTGTATTGATAATTTTCAAATATTAAAATAAAATCATAAAATTGTCATTTTCTTCTGACATAAATACCACAATTTATATTTATATTTTACCTTTTGTTATATACAATAACTGCTAGTTATCAAAAAAAGTATTTAATCAAGACACAAAAATACTTTAATTATCAATCAATGACTTAATCAACTATTTTATTAATTATATAAAGTCTGATAACTCTACTAGCTACGGAGACAGCCCAATTTTGGTCTTTTTTTTAATTAAACTTGTAAATTAAGTCGTTCTTGGTAATGTAGTAAAAACAAGAAATCTCTAAATACAAGAAAGAAACTGTAGTTAATTTTATAACCCAGAACCTGATTATTAAATAATCAATTTAGCCCTTTTTAAACAAAAGATCGGATAATAATGTGCAAACAATAACAATATTTACGTGATAATAAAGAATTTAAAAGTTCATTGTTTCTTTCGACACGAATACGAAAGAAAATGTAATATATCAATCTAGATACTTTCCAAGTCCTACCAAATGCGCTAAATAAACGCCCTATATTTTATTTTACACCACCAAAAGCTGTAATTTAATGATTCTTTTTTCCTGGCTTTACTTTTGCCTTGTTTATCTTGATAATTTATATTCATGTTCTTAATAAATTAAAATAAAATAGGTACAATTTACCTATACGTTAACAACCAATAGTTCATTTACACATCATTATTCTTTAACTAAATAACACTATTCTTGGCCAAAACCTTCAGTCTCTTCAATTGCATAATTCAATTTTTCCACCATTTGGTCATAGCTTTTATATGGTGGCAAGTCTAGTCTGTTGAAACACGTGTGTGATCGTGGTAACCAAGTATCCTTGCCTACTTTTTCAATACAAAATCTTTGAGGTCCATTGCTTCCTATATTGTCAAATAATTATTTCGATTAATAATATTTACAAAACATTTTAGCAGTCTAGTAACTTTATCAAATTTTTATTTTCCGAAATAATCACTAATTATTATTAATTATAATTATCCACAAATATTATTATTTTTGAAAGCTTACCCATCAACTCGCCAAATCCACCCACAGGTACTCGACATGTTCCAGTTACAAATTGTAACAATCTAGCACGTTTTTCATTATCCGTTGTTCTCACAAACTGTAAACACATAAATGAACAAATATGTACTTATATATCTACGTGACGAGCGTTTTATATATCATTATAGCCCCGATGGAAAATTGTAAAACCAAATACTTTACCTGCCAGAACCATAAGACTTGCTTGCTATTCCGTGTATAATGCCGGTAAATTGAATTACGTTGCCAATCATCAACATCAATTTCCTGCATTCCACAAAGCATCAATTCAAGTTCACGCTCATCAAAGTACTTCAACCATTCGAGAGGAACTACGGAATTAAACCCTTCTAAAAAGGCTTTCGTTTGCTCTTCGATTCCCCTCGTCATTCTCCACTCTGTCATCAATCTAAAAAATTAATTCGTAATTCAATTAATCAACTGTTAACGTTGAATTTATCCGCTATTGAAAACTAATATTTAATCAAAATATAAAATTTAAAATGAATCTGTATGGATTCATTTAATCATTATGTTCATTAATATAGAAGCTCTTATCAAATATAGTTTCATGAACTTTAAATCTTATTTCATCAATTTTTATTTATACCTGATATATTCTTCCTTATTTTCTTCAACGACTCGTATTTTATCGCCCCCTTCCTTCAACTCATGATGAATTACTTGTCCAAGGATTTCAAAGTCTACACTATAATATAACTCTAAACCGCACTCATCAATGTTATTTTCTTTTATCCAAACGAGTGACTTGTAAAATTCAGGGTCAATCGACTCGATATCTTTCATTATTAATTTCTTGTTCAACATTCGTTTATAAAAAGGCATTGTGAAGCCGCTGTATATAAATCGGCCATGATATAAAGCCTATAAATCAAAGTGTCAAGTACAAATACCATTTCTTTTTTACTTCTATCATTTAGAAAAACAAATTTATACAAACCATCGCAATAAATCGTCCAATAAACTTGAAATATTGCAAATGATCTGGATTAACGTAGGATGCTGGATTTATTTGCAAGCTATAATTACTCTTATTAGCATATTCGAAAAGGCAGTACATAGGGTTTAAAACTTCATGACTTAACAGGAAAAACCACTCTCTGTAAAAAATATTTAAATAAATTTTAATTTTAATAACTAAATAATCTAATTATTATAATAAAAAAATCAATAAATTGATTAAAGTCTTGTGGGTAAGGTTAGTTTAATTATTTATAATTTGATTACTGATTAATTTATTAGTACCTCGATACTCCACCGTAATCTAATCCTTCTTCACCTTTGAAGATTATATATAACCTTCGCCTGAGTGCAAATGCCTCAGCGTTCATGATTTGATGATAAGAATCTTCAAAAAGTGTTTGCCGACTCACGCTGATTTTTATGTGATTAGGTAACGCATTCGTTTGACATAAGAACCTAAATTGAGAGAGTTTCCAACGGAACGATCGTTCATATGCTCTTGGCACACGATAAATACCTTTTGGCCTGTAAAAAAAATTTTTTTCGCATTATTAATCAATCAATGACAGAACCAGACTTCTGGGCAGTTTTTAATTGATTTTTACTTTATTTTGACTAATAGGATTGTCCTTTCTGTATCAAAGAAAGCAGATTAACCTCCATGTGGAAGATTTATAAAGTTAAAAAGGCTTTATTTAATTCATTTTTATATTTAATGGCCTTGAAATTCATGAAATATTTTCAATACAAAGAATACGTAATTCTCAGCCATGTATAATTCAATAATTCTACAAGATTTTTTTAACTCTAATAAAGCACAAATATTTATTCTGTTTTGATTGAAATTTGTTTGAATTTGTAATCAAAGTTCAACCATTTCAATTGAAGAGTTAAATGAAAAATTCAATAGGCAATACAAAATAAAATACACTTCTTTGAGCCAGTTGAATCAGAAGATAATTCCTAAAATTACAATTGTACTCACCCTTTGGGTGCTCCCGGTCGAGGGTCTTGGAATGTAGTAGTTCGAGTGTTGTGGTCAACAAAATATCTTACACCATCTTCAGTGAGTCTAATCTCCCAACCATCAGGCAGTGGTGGTTCATCAATTCCAATCTCTTGACCTTGCGTTCTAGGATCTTCCCATTGGGTAGTTCTATTTTTATGATTAACATAGTACACTCTTCCTTCTGGTTGTTTTCGTCTTTCCCAACCAGCGGGTAGAGGACCAAGAGCATCATCTTCATCAGCAAGACTCATTGTGGGACCAGTGACAACTGGTTGCCCTCCAGCTTGTGGATACAAAAATCGTTGATTTCCTTGCTGAACAACATATTGTCTTTCTCCTTGCCACTGTTGGAAGTGCTGTAGACGTTCTGTATTCGGTCTTTGCCAAGTAGTACTTCTAGTATTATGATCTACATAATAAATACGTCCTCTAGGATCTCTACGCACTTCCCAACCGGGTGGTAAAGGTTGTGGCTTTTCCCAAGAAGTACTGCGAGTGTTATGATCAACATAATACCTTCTCCCATACATATCATATCTCATATCCCATCCGGGAGGAAGAGATTCTTCAGCGACAGTAGGTTCCACAGCCATACCTCCTTGAGGCATCTCTCCGGGTATCAAACACGGTGCCGATTGTGCATTTTCTACAGGATTTTGTCTACTTGGATCACCCATTAACATTCCCATTGATGAAGGCATAGAATTTTCACTTCGTCGTGATGAATCCTGATGTCTAGGCCCAGCAATGGGCATCACTGACATTGAATTATCACTACGTGGACACAAAAGTTCTTCTAATCGAGATCTACCGCTCGCTGTCGAGTTCTCGCTACGTGAACGATGAGAATCGTCTAAATGAGATCCACCACCTACGGCTGAGTTGTCATTACGTGGACCAAGGAGTTCTTCTAATCGAGATCTACCACTCGCTGTTGAATTTTCGCTACGTGAACGAAGAGAATCATCTAAATGAGATCCACTTACTGTTGCTGAGTTTTCATTCCGTGAACGATGAAGTTCATCCATAAGAGATCCACCTACTGCTGCTGGATTATCATTACGTGAAGAATTTGTGTCATCAACTGCACAAGATCTACTGATTGACACTGAGTTATCATTTAATCGCGGTCTTTCGAGCATTCGTAGTCCAGGGGCTGAACTATCAATAACCAAAGAATTATCAACTAATCCTGATCTATCCATTAATCGATATCCTGACGTGGTACTTTCACTACGACAATTATCAAGTCTACTTTCATTGGATAATCGATGAGGTCCGGCCGAATTTGGAATCATATTTCTGTTTGGTAAGTTAGGATTAGCTAAAACTAGTTGCTTCATTCGTTGATTAGGATCATGGACGTTTTGAGTAGCTCGATGGGACGGTGCAGTATTTTCTGTACCCTGCCCACGCATCAAAGCTCTAATTCCACCATTTAAAATACTACGATTGTTTGATGCGTCATTATTTGCCGCTGTAAGTGGATGAAGTCCTCCGGAAGCAACACACTGTGATTGCCTCATTTGCTCTGCAGGAGGTGTAACATTAGTCATATCAATTTTTAATCCGTCAAATATTGTCACAAGTTCTCCAACTTTCGCCAATTGTGAATCATGTTTATTTTCATTTATTAAATCAAGTGTCAACTCCAAATTCTCTATTTTTCCATTGTAATGTGAGAGAATTTGGAAAAGACTCATTCGTTTTTCTCCAATGATGGTATCCTTTCGAAAAGTACTGTGATCCAGAAGACGGAAGTGTAGATGGGAATATGGAGTGACAAGAATTGTAAACTTTTCGTTCCATTTTGGCTGGTAAGTGGCTTTTGATACTTCTGTTTTCCGTGGACTTTTATCATCAACAGAAAATTCTACGTAAGGATTTGGCTTTAAAAATGACGAGCTTCTCAGTATGGCAGCCTCAACTATAACAAAAATAAAAAAGAAGTAAATAACTTGTAAAAACTTTTTAGGTTGGAACTTAAAAAATAAAATTTTTAATTTATTTATTAAAGAATAATAATGAAGAAAAGCCATTCGATATTCTATATCCTCCTTCATTATTAAAATTTTTAAAATAGATTTGACACAATTATTTATGATTTAATTAATAATCACGCTAATGATACTTGAATTATTAACCGTTAGATAAAATTGATTTTCACAAATTTATTTAATGTAGTCAAAATGACTGATATTATTGTCATTAATATCAATGCTAAGGTAGAAATGTTAATTTTTATTATCATAAAAATAGCCTTTGATGAAACCTATCAGTCTTTCAATATAAATTGTCATATTTCAATACCATACGAGAAATAAAAAAAATTCATTTGACAATTAATCAATTTAAAAAATCATCATTTTTATCAAAAAACTGTAAAATAAATAGTTAATACCAGCAGTCTAACCTAAATAGGTAATTTATCTTTATTAACAGAAAAAACATGATAATTATCCTTATTATTTAAGATAATATTATTTATATAAACTTACTGGTTACACTCAGTTGATGAAATCCAGGAGATGTTCCTTCATCTTCACAACGAGAAGTTACAGAAGGACCAATAACGTTGGTGATCATTTTTGGTTTATTTGTCACCGATGATCATGAAAACTGGCTGAATACTGTTATCTCCTGCAAAAAATTGTTCATTTGAATACAATTTTTAGAATCCATTTCTTTTTTTTAATTCATCACAACTTATTCGTGAAATAACATATAAACTTTGTAAGATAAAATATTAGAGATATAATTATGAAATATACTTTCTCTGCTAGAAACAAGTTAATTGCATGAAAACTATTAAACATTTATGGAGTGACGTTAGAAGAACTAAAATTAGTTTGATAATTGTTCAAGGATATTATCAATCCTTCAGTTACACACAAAATACACTATCTAATATATTTACAAAATAATTAGCTTCTGTAAAAATTGAACAAACAGAACAATTAAATTTACTTTTGACGTTGTATCATGTTTAGAGATAAAAAGCTAAAGATATTCGATAAAAATGATGAACACAACGGAAATGAGTTTTATACGGGGTGTCTGCTGTTTTATGATCAATTATAAATTCACTGTCACATTATTGCCAGCCAAGCAAACTTAAAAAGTAATATAATGAAATATTTAATCATAATTATTTTCATTGTAATTCAATATACTAACCTAAACAATTAATAGAATAATCGCATTGCACGTGTTGCATCGCATATTTAATTTTCAATAATTTTTTAAAAATGAGTAAGAAACACTTCTTCTTGCGTTATCATTGAACTTTACTATCAGCATGCCGCCATTTTGCCATACGTCAAATATAGAAACTAGATTTCCGTTCTCATGAAAAATGAGACATTTCACTATAATAAAAGAAAGAAAAGTGATGGCGCTCTACTCAATGGCAGCAGTTACACTAGTTTATTTTGCTTACACACACATGCCAAAAAAGGTTGATTTTAGATAAACAAATGTTTTTATTGGTTCACAAAACTTACGTAGAAAAACTCACAGCCAATGAGAATTATTTATTAGACTTAGTCTCAATGGCGTCGTTTGATTCATAATTTTTTTGCAATGTTCTGAACTAAACACATATTGTTTTTATGAACTTAATTGATGATTGGGATAATAATATGACAAGTTCAGTAATAACTGAATAAAAAACAAAAGTATAATATGATATACTTTGTAAATTGTGTATTTTTGATCATTTGTTTACGTGTCATTTACCATCAGTCGATAATTTTTTTCCGACATGTTTAGACACGCAGAAATGCCAAACATTCAGAAAAAAGACGCTTCTCTACTCACGTGTTGTCTAAACGTGTGATTAGTGAAAGCTGTTTTAGTAAATTGTTTTGAATAATATAGTTAATCAAAATGATTTCTGCCAAAAAAGTAGATTATCTCGTAGTAGATACTAGTGCATTTATTAAAAATGTTCCACTTCAGGTAATTTTTCACTCAATCTTTGATTCTTAGAAAACATATTTTTAGAGGTTAGGTTAAGGTTAAAAATAATTGTTTATCAAATGATTTTTTTTTAATTTAATATCTTTCATTGTTGTAGGAAGCTGGCAATAATATTATCACTGAGCAAAGTGTTATAAATGAGATAACAAGCAAGAGGCAGTTACGAAGATTGGTTGTATTGCCATATGAATTATTAGTCAAAGATGTTTTCCCAGAAAACATTAAATTTGGTATGTAGTCAAATTTATTCTATAATTAACTATAATGCTACAATTACTTTATAATGAAAAATAAAAGGAGTCATACTTGCAATTTCATAATTTAATCATTGTTGATGATTTTGGTTTCAGTCACGGAATTTGCTAAAAAGACTGGAGATTACACGAGTCTTTCTGCAACGGATATCAAAGTAATTGCTCTCACCTATCAATTGGAAAAAGAGAAAGTTGGCATAGAACATCTCAAGGATTCTCCAACTATCGTTAAAACAGTGCCAGCAAAAAAATCAGAGCCTTTAGCTCATCCGAAGAGTATTGCTGGATTTTTTATCCCTAAAGATAGTGAGGATGATGATGATGATGATGATGATAGTGAAGATAAAAATGATGTTGCCGCAAGAAAAGATTCATCACAAAATAGTCAAGAAATTTTAGAAAAAATTAAAGCAGCAACAGAAGAAGATGCATTACTAACGAATAAATCTTCTAAAGAAGACGAATCTAGTAAAAGTGATGATTCCGATGATTATCTCTCACCTAATTCAAATCCAAACCAACTAAATCAAACTGACTTGGCTGAGAGGTTCAAGGCTTTAGATTGTAACGTTGATGATTTAAAATTAGAAAATGAAGATAAGAACGTTGATGATATTCTCGTTCCAATTAAATTTGGTTCTGAAACTTCAAATAATTCAGATATGGATTTAGGCGATTCCGACGAATCTGACGATGAATGTAATTATGATAATAATGGATGGATTACACTTGGTAATGTCGTTCAGGCAAAAAAAATGATGGACTCAGATATTTTATCAGAAAAGCCTGCAAAAGTTGCTTGTATGACAACTGATTTTGCAATGCAAAATGTGCTCATGCAAATTGGATTAAACGTTGCTGCATTAGACGGTCGAGTTATTAAACAGATGCGAACGTTTATTTTCCGATGCTACGCTTGTTTTAAAACCACAAGTATAATGACAAAAGTATTTTGTCCTAATTGTGGAATGAAAACTTTAAAAAAGGTTGCTGTGTCTTTAGATGATAAAGGAAATGAAGAGATTCATATTAATTTTAGAAGACCTCTTACTGCAAGAGGAAAGCGATTTTCGTTACCTACTCCACAGGGTGGTAAACATGCCAACAATCCCATCCTTTGTGAAGATCAGCCCGTTCCAGATCAACGACCTTCAAGACTAGCTCGCACAAAAGTGAATCCTCTAGACGATGATTATATTGCACAATTTTCACCTTTTGCTACAAGAGACGTTTATTCTCGATCTGCAATGTTAGGAATCCGTGCAGGTCATGGTAATTTCAAGTATTGGATGAGAAAAAATCCGAATGAATGTAAAAAACGTAGGAAATAATTTAATAAACAATTTTTTCTAAGTTAATTGTAATTATATGGAATCAATAAATTAATTTTTATGAAAAAAGTTTTTTATTTCATTAATAAATATAAAACAATGTTTTTTCATATTTCATAATTTACGACTTACTCTAATTGTAAAGTTTAAGTAATAATAAAGATAATCGAAGGAATATTAATTTTCATGGTCTGAATTTCTTAAATAGTGGATGTTTATTTGCTGTTGATGATGAAGCTGGTTTTTTATATTCATAATACACTGCATCATCTGCTCCAGACATTGAAGACAAGTTTCCAGCCTTCCGAAAAGCCTAGAAAATAATTTGATAGATTATTTGCTCCTAGATAGATTACAAAACTCCGAAATTATTTTTATTATTAGTTTAATATTTCTTACCGGTCGAGGACCTTCTCCAGGAATCCTCTCTTCGTCAGCATCTGTGTCATTTGCTAATACAACTTGTTGTAAAAGTTGAGCTTGTTCTTCTTTGGTTTTGTACAATAAATCAGGTTCTTCATCCATCCCAGCTAATTTAGTAATCACTTTATAAGCATATCCTTGATTTACTAAAAACCGTTGACGTTTTCTTGAGTAATTCATTTCCATCGTATCTTGGGATACTAAAGTGTAAAAGAAAGCATTGTATTCTTCAGCGATAGCACCTTTTTTTGCTCTCAAAATTCTTCCTAAACGCTGAGCTTCTTGTCTTCTAGATCCACCATGTGAAGAGATTTGTATCAGAACATTGGCTTCTGGCAAATCAAAAGAAGTATCAGCGACTTTACTGACGAAAATAGTATTCACTTTGGTGTTGTATTTAAAATTTTGAAGAATTTGAATTCTTTCACTTTGACTTGTTGGCCCATAAATATAAGGTTTATTCATTTTTATAGCATAGTGCTTTAAAGCAAACACATTATCAGAGAAAACAATCGTTTTATCTCCTCTTCTCTCGTGGTACCTTATCAAAAATTGACAAGCTCGGAATTTATTTGGGTTCATCACATAAAGTAACAGTTTTCTATTCATTTTGCAGGTTAGATATTCTCTGTAGAATTCTGATACCATTGGACACCATACCTCAGCACACTGAACTCTTGCGATAAATCCTTTCTTCTGTAGCTCTAGCCAGTTAGCCTCATACAACTTGGGGCCGATTAGAAAGTTGAGGTCAGCAATTTTGTCGTCTTCTCTGAGTAAAGTTGCAGTCAATCCAAGTTTACAATGTGATTGAACAATGGTTAAAACTCTTCTGAACATTTTTGCAGGAATTGTATGGACTTCATCCAAAACCATTATACCCCATTCTTGCTCTTGAAGCCATTTCATAGTCTGTTCTGCTTCCCAAGATCGTTTTTGTGTATGAGTTATCATCGAATATGTCGTTATAAGAATTCCACATCCCATAGGTTTGTCTTTAGCTTCACTAGTAAAACGACAAATCATGGAATCATCTGCTGTCGACCACATTTTAAATTGTTGCTTCCATTGTTCTACAGAGACTCCAGAGTTGCAAAGAACTAGAGCTCTTTTTCGGACTGTACAACACGCTGTTACCCCGACTAAACTTTTTCCAGCTCCACAAGGTAATACAATTACTCCAGAACGAGCTCTACCGTTTCCAAACATTTTTCGTAAGCTTTTTTCTTGATAAGGTCTCAATACTGCTGATGGTTTGAGGTCAATGTTAATATTTGCATTAACCGTATCATTTCTGAAATCATATTCCGCTAGTAAAGGATATTCCAATTCAATACATCGTTTCTGAATGACTTCTATTTTCTCTTGATTTACTTCAAAGCTGACAATTTTTAATTCTTGTTCTTCCTCTTCATCTTCATCTTCTTTGTCCATTTTATCAAAAAAATTCGTTATGTCTTCTGGAATAGCTGCAGTTTCGCTTGTTACTTGTTCTGGATTTTCTGTTTTTTCTATTGACGTTGTTGGCTGAGCATTTGGCAATGGTTTCGCACCGAATTGCAATGCTTTTTGTTTACTTTGAACACTTACTATTAATCCATCTTTTTCAGTCTCTTCAATATTTTTTCTTAATCTGCATTCTTGAATTACTGGATCTTTTAATAATCTTTGTATTACTTCTGGGGATGAAGATTCTATAAAGTATTTGTTGTGTTTCAAGACAAGTTTTACCTAAAAAAGGAAAATCCATAAATTGACATAAATCATTTAATAATTATTAAAATTGTTTTTTTTAATAAAGCATCTAAATTTTCAATACTCACTTTACCATAGGACAATGTACATAATTTAATAAATTCTACTATTCCTGCAGGGATTTCAGTTTTACTCAGTCTATTTAGGTATTCAATGATATCGTTTGTTTGTAAACCAACGCTGACAGCTGCATATAATGAATATGCTGTCAGCTTATACTGAAAAAAAATATTTTTTTTAATCCAAAACTTTAATTATTAATTCTAAGATGTATATTTAAAAGATAGAAAGTTAATAATGTACCTCATGAATGTGTTCTGGCCTGCATACAGGTTCAGATATGGCAATTAAAAGATCATGAGCATGTTTGTAAACAGGAGAAAATGACTCGAGGAAAATGTGGCCATTAGGTGCCTAGAGAAAATTTTTTATTTAATTAATAATCATATCAAAATATTATCGATTACTTTTTCAACAATTATACTCACAACCCATATAGGTCTCGACTCATTGTCAGGTTTCAGGGGCATCAGTTTCGTGTAATTTTTTGCTCCATAATCATCCTCTTCCACATTTCCTTCTAATTTCTCGACATCATTTTTTGCAGCATCCGGTATACCATCAGTGTCTATATTATCTCCATAGTCATCATCATTGTAATCCTCTTCTTCTTTACGTTTCTTTGATTTTGTGCGTTCTGAAAATAATTTTGTATTATTTATTATTTTATATGATAATTAAATTATTTTATAAGAAACACAATTTTGATATTAATTTTTTAACATATTTAAAGTAATATACAATTAACTTAATCTTAAAATACGATAAAAATTAAAATTGAGTATAGAGTAGAGGTTATGTACCATCTTTTTTAATTCTTTTTGGCGGACCCATTTTTTTAAAATTTATTTTAACTTGTTATAAAAAATAACGGTATCTAGAATTTATTTTAAAATTAATCAGCATTAAATAATACTCGATACCACATTATTTATAAACTTTATTTCAGGTGGAGTGATATACTTCCTCCTTTAACCACTAAATACAAGTAAACAGTGTGCATACGGTGGCTCCATTCGCTCAATGGGATTTATGGATTTGCATTAAAAACTCTACATTCACATTCTTAACACATAGGAGTTGTGTTCGTATATAAAGTCAATCTTTGTCTCATTTCGATTTATTTGCATTCATTCGTGAAGTCCCAATGTTGTGTCCAGAAGTATGGGACTTCAAAGCACCGCAACATTATTTCGAAATCCAAGAATCAAGTTGTCAAAAGCAGGAAGTGTCTCTTAAAATTATTCCTAATCATTACTATAATCACTCAGTAAGTATTATCGTCTTAAGTTGCTATTATTTTATTGTCTCTATTATTACACGACTCTAGGTTAAGAAATTTTACGTAATTTCGTTTAACTTTACTTTTGAATCAATGCCAGGTATCTCTTGTGCTTCCTGAATCAAACGACGTGCCTGAACATCTTCATGAAGCAATCATAGAAGACAGTGATTACTACAAAGTTGAGGATTTATCAGTTTGTGATTTGATAGACAAAGAATTTATCGAAGCATTCATCAAGAAAGGTCAGTTTTTTTGTTGACAAACATATTTATTGTTTTAGTCTATATAACAATGAATACATAACTAAAATATGTATTTTTAAATAATATTGAAGTCCTTCCAACATCTACAATTCTAAAACTAAAAATATCAGTAACATTTTACATCTTAAGGTTAAAAATTATTATTTCAAGCATTGAAATTCATTAGATATTCTTTTGTTTTAGGAGAAGTAACTTTATTGTCGATCGATGTAAGAATAGACCTTGAGAATTGCATTGCTATTACTCCAACTGGCCAATTACTTTTATCATTAACGACAGAAGATTATCAAAAGCTTGGACTTGAAGGAAAACCATCCGTTTTTGATAGAAAGTTATCTACACGTTACTGTAAGTAATAAATTTGACGTCAATAGGAAAAATAATACATACAAGAAAACAAAATGCCACGGAAGCATCAAGTGCCTGTTTTGCAAGAGCTTGCACTTTGTTCCATTGGCACATATATTACTACATTTGGCAGAGCAATGATCAAACCAATCTGCGATATATCGCAAAAGAATCCAGCACGTGGACTTAAAACCCTACGATCTCTATTAGAATCAATGAAGCAGAATTTAAGCTCAAATGTTCCATGGCACCTGTATAATGACATGGCTATCAAAGTATTACAAGCAATAATGGACCTAATCAATGAAACAAAGAATTCTTATTGTGACTTTGAACCCATTGGGGTCTTCCTATCTGAAGTCAATGTAGTTGTGAATCTTGTAGAAGTTGTAATCCATCCAAATTTAAGGACAATAGAATTTTCTATGTGGCCTAAAATTATGAGACACGTTTTATACCGTAATTTATATAATATGTCAGGTTTAGAAGTGCTTGATCTTGGTTCGGGTTCTGCTGGATGGCGAACTTCTGACATAGAAAAATTAATAATCAATGGAGTATCAAATATGCCAAATTTAACATCATTTACTCTCTGTTTCGACTGCACTGATAAGATTGTAGCAGCTGTTGGTCAAAATTGTCCTAAATTACGGACATTAGACATTACCGCATCAAGGTCTGTAACTGATAGAAGCATTAATTTTCTTATGAAATGTTATAAGCTTCGAGAAGTGAAGCTTTATCGTACTTCCATCACCGTAAATGGTTATGCAGATTTATTACTAGGATTATCTTGGCTAGAAAGTATTGGAAGATGTGATGAAATTGGAGATATTTTAGAGAATATTTATAATCGTGAAAGTGATTCAAAGACCTGTCTCTATTTGAGAGCATTTGAAAGCAGAAATATGATGACAGGATATTTATTTCTATTAATAACCATGTGTCCTTTCATCACAAGTCTTTCTATCATGTGCCCAGAGGGAATTGAAAACTTATCTATTCTAGCTGTACTAGAAAATTTAGTTGAACTAAAATTATTATCATTCAAGTTTTATGCTGATGGCATTGGAGTGTTACTGGATTTAACGCAATCTAGAATCACTAGCCTGCATTTGGAGCATGTTCATGAGATTGATCGGAGTGCTCTTGTTTATATTAGTCAATATTGCCCAAAGCTAAAGAATCTTACGTTTTATAACTGTAGTTTTCTAGACCAGACTTCTGTTCATTTATCAAAATATCTGGTTCCACCTTTCAAGTATTTGCAACGGCTGAAATGCGTTGTTGATTGTGCTAATGCCCATCTAGAGTTTTTGCTCTCGCATTGCTCAGATATTAGATTCATCCAATTGGGATCATCCACTGGGATTGATGATATGACAATGAAGAGAGTGCTTAATCAAAATAAAATGACTAAATTAGAAGAGCTTAAGATTCTTTATAGTAGTGATTTGTCAATGAGGACTGTAAGACTGTTAATGCAAAATTGTGAAAATTTAAGACGATTGTCTGAATTAGAAAGTTGGAATGGTATAAGTTTAGAAGAATTGATTGAATTTCGAAAAGAATTAAGAATTAACAATGTTAATTTAGATACAAGCCCAACTTTGTCTCTTGCTTAATAGTTTTTTAAAATTCAATGTAAGGAAAGAAGACTTTGAACATAAGAAAAAATCCAATGAGATATATTTTTAGGGAAAAGATAAATAAATAATTTTATTTTTGCACTTTTTCAATATTTGCTGCGTAATTATTATACATTTTACAACTGCAATTCACTTTTAGTCTGAGGTGCCATGGTATTACAAGTAATATTCCAACGAACTACAACGTATTCCAAAAATAGACTATTTTTGTATAAGATTTGTGATTTTTTACAAATTTTTGGTCTGTGATGAATGGACATGGCTCAATCTTCCATGCAAAGAATAGTATCCACTGCGTATGAATTTCCTATGCAATTGAAAAATATTCAATATCATAGTAATAATAATAACCATACTAATGATTAATAATATAGTAATTGTAAATTGTATTAAATGTAGCTGAAATCAAAAAGATTATTGGATTTAATATGATCATATTTTATTAATTCTCTCTCCAATATTTTTTCTCGATTTTTTCATATAAACAAAAGTGGTCACAATTGATTTAAAAGAGGAGACATTCACACCAGGAAAGAAAAAGTATGAAAGAGTTAAGAAATGTTTGACAGAAAATTTGCATCAAAAATTTAATGTCATTTTTGCTTGGGAACCTCCTGGTAAATATTTTTTATTTTTTTTTGTGAAATTATTGCTTTTGATATTTTGATTAATTTTTTTTTTCATCTTACAGACGAAAAATTGTGTCCTTCATCAATAGCAGCATGGTTTCACAATCGTACGTACAAAGTTTTCTTATGTAAAGAGAATTTTATTAAACGAGTTAGTACTTCTCTCTCCATACCATTAATCGAGAACAATTATGATACCAATAAATTTATAGAATGGATTGGAGTTTTTAGTATTGATGGAGATACGTAAGTGTTACAAATAAATAATAAATAAAAATATGACTTGAATTAAAATGACTTTTTTTTACAGAGAAAGTGGGAATGAAGACAATTTTTTAAATAAGTATACATGTCCTTTACCAAAAAGATCTGTGGGACAAGTTTTATATGTAGAATATACAGGTTTTTTCACCCGATTAAGAGCAGCAAAAGTTTTTAATATAGTACGAGATTTTATAAAATCAGGTTCTACACCAGCTCCTTGGGGAAGTTTGCACATCCATGGGTTTGCTGATAGTCCTGTAAGCTGGGGGTTGAAAGAGCACACATTTTATACAGATGGTGATAATAGTTATACCATAATTTTTCAACCAAATGGTGAATATATTATACAAAAAAGTTTGAGCTCCAATAATAAACCAAGGATTTTTCAATGAACTGTTTTTTTCAATAAATAGAAACATAAATTATTATGGTGTTGTTCTAATAATTCAATAATAAGAATCAGTATTGCATTATTTAAGCTTTTTATTGTTTAATAAATGTCTAATACGTACAATGAGATCAGTACAGAACTTGTTCGAAGTCTGAGACAAGCATGATTATAATAAAATTATGCTTTATTTAAAATAAAAGATCTTAATGCTTATGTTAATTGTAAAAAAACATTCTACAACTTGTGCAAGCTGGTATCTAGCCACTTTTACAAACAAAATAACATTCTTTAAGTAATAAATTAAGTAGTCAACATAAAATTAATTTAAACAAAAGATATCCTAATTACACTTTTGATTTGAGAAATTTTCAGTTACAGTAATTAAGAGTAACACATCTCTAATTCTATTATGAGTCTTTTCTAAAAATTAAAAAGCTCTAGGCATAAAATTTGAAGTTCATAATTTAATTTTTCTGTTCTGTTCTACAATTAAAACAAAAATGAGAAAAATTTGACAAGTATATGCTTTAATTGGAGATCTCAGTCAATATGTAGGAATACATTGAAAAAGAATGATTCAAATGTATCTTTCCTCATACAAAATAAGAATAAAAAATTTATTTCGTGCACTTGTTATAAATAAAATTAAAATATTATTTACCATTTTTTTATTCATTTTAAAATTCTGTTTACGAAACATTAAGCTTTGAAGTGCCGTGCAATGCGCCCTTCTCTAATCTTTTGGAATATCTTCCTGTTTATATCCTCACATGAGATGATTCAGCTTCAGAAAATCTAACTTTGGAGCTATAAAGATCGTCCATTCCAGATCCAATAGACATTCGAGATTTTGAACGAGCCATAAACTCATTAATATCATCAAGGTCTCGACTGTAAATAAAGATGATCATTATTATTGAGTAATATTATCTTTGAATTTATTATGCTAAAATTCTTTTATCTAATCAAAACTTCAAGATTATTAATTAATTAATTGACAAAAAAATAGACCGAGAAAATTGTTTTTCATATTCACCACAGTCAACAGAAAGCTGTGTCAACTAAATAAGTAACTGATTTGTAATCGCTAAAGTTTATTGATAATATTCATTATCCATTTAAGATTACTATTTTTTAGCATCTTACTAGTGAATAATAATTATTCATTCAAATTTTAATACATACCGACTAGCAGGTCGACTGGGATTTTCTGGAGAATCTGAAAAATTTTTGACAACAGATTCTGCATCATCGGAATTGAAAGAAGTAGAATTTCCTGAAGGAAAAAGCATTGTGTGCTTCAACAGATCACCACTCATAAACGGAGGTAAGCTGTCATCTTCATCAATAATTAAATGATTAGCATTATCGACTGCTATTGATTCAACCATCTCTAGCCACTGTTGATTGTGAGATCGAAATTTTTCAACTTTAATTCTGACTGCCCAATTTTTATCACATAAAGCAATTACATCTAAACAAGCATCACAAACTTTACGTATAGCAGGATTTTTATCATGCATTAAATCGATTAAATAACCAGGTGCTTCATTATTTGTTTCATGAATCAGATAATCTCTTGTTGATTCATGAACGGCAATTTGATAAAATACATAAATTATTTGCAGTACTATTTCATCATCTTCTTGTTTAGCTTTAAGAAGTTCAATAAGTGACAATAAAATATCTGCTTTACACAATAATCTGGCGCAATCTTCATCTGAAGCAGCAGTGCCAAGCAAAACGACAATTTCAAGAACTAGATCATCTTGAACTTTTCCGGGCACTAGATTATTTCGTATCCATGGAATTAGATCACACCGTTGAAGAATTTGAGCATAATCCAAATCGGGAAGTACTAAATTACCGAGAACGCCGACGATTTCTAATACAAAATCTTGCGAATCAGATTGTGTTAAAGCCATAGCAAAGTCTCCAACAAACTCGACAAAATGTTCTTTTGTTGAATCATGTTGAGATATATTTCTTATCATTTTCATAATTAAAGAATCTTGATTTCTAAATGCTTTACGTATTAACCCATGTAATCGATTATTTTCAATCATCAATTGAGCATTTTTATTATTAGCTGCTAGATTTATACAAAGAGCAATCAACTCTTTTTTAGGACGTTCTTCTTCTGATTCTAACACCATTTCTGTTATCAATGGAATGCAGTCAATATTACCAAACATTTGCTTAACTTTGTCATCCATACTGAGATGATATAATAATCCGAGTATTGTTGTCTTATTTTTAATTTCACTGTGGCTGAGTAGTTTAATGAGTTTTGGAAGTAGACCAACTCTCACCATCTTACCACGCAATTTAGCATCGAAAGATAAGTTGAATAATAATTTTAATGTACTCAATACAAGATCTGTATTATTATTTTGAAATAATCTCGGTAATTTTTCAATTATATTTTCCTCAGCCATTAAATCTTTATTTTCACGGAATATTGAGAGTTTTTTAAGGAATGTAACGACCAAAATCAATAAATCTGTATTCGATCTGTCTAAAGTCTTTATCAACATTCCGATAATATTTTTCTTACGCATTTTTCGCTCTACATCAGTATTTTCTGCTATATTTATTAATAAATAAAAAGCAACCCTCAATAGTTGTTCTTGTTTTTTTGTTAGACTTCTGAATTTTTTACGACTTTTCTCCAAATCTTCTTTTAATCGTTTTACTTCATTTTCAGAAACATATAAATTTAAATCAGCAGATCTTCTTTTTATTTCATAATTTAAAGGGCCTTCACAATTCCAGATATCATCAGTGAGTTTAACTTTTTTGTCATTGTTGATTCCATTCGTTGAAGGAAATAAAACTAATCCGGTACTGGTTTCAAAATGCCTTCGACATTTTTCCATATCGTCTTTCCAGTGATCATACCTGAGTAATTCATGTTCTAGAATTTCCATGCATAAAGATCCAATTCTGTATTCCAATATAATATTGTGAAACTGACTGTATGTAGAAAAGCAGAAAAATATGTAAATAATATTTGTAGAAAGTTCAATACTTCTCCTCCAATCTTCTCTTAATACTCTAGCGAGAGCACTCAACAGTGATTCATTTTTTGTTAACTCTAATAAATTATCCGGCATTCTGGCAAGTTGTAAGATCAATGAAGATCCTTTTATTTTACCGGGAATTTCTTCATATAATAACTCGATATAACTATCAACATTACTAATAACTGCTCGTTCGACATCTCCATTTTCAGAGCCTGATGCGTTCGATGAAGCTGGTCTAGGAGACTGAGTATTAGAGTCGTTCGAGTCATTGTTAGGTTTACGATTCTTCAAATAATAAATTAATTGTTCTACTTCATGTAACTTTGATTCGTGAATTAGAGAGCATTTTTCCATCACTTCTTTGGCTAATAATGATACATTTGTGTCTGCATTTAGGCTCTTTAATCGAATTATTTTTTGACATTCTTTACGATCACCCAACATAGGATCACCCAATTCTCCAAGAATCAATGCCTCGACATCATAATTGACTACTAATGCCTTTTCCGTTGGATGGACATCTAAAGTACCTGATCGTACTTTTCTGAAATAAATTTAATGATTTTGTGTAATTTCAAATTAAATTTTATTAATCGATAATTAGAAGGACAAACAATAACTCCATTAAAAAGGTTTAATAACCTAAAATATTACAATTAAATTTATCATAACCTTAGTTAATTTCCGAATTGTTCCTTGACACACAATAAAAAAAATTTCAATAACATTTGTAATTAATAAATAATCTTATTAATAAAATAAACTGACGTTTTTAACAAAGTGTTTTTCCAATTGAATCTTACCTTTTCAGAAATTTGGCTTCATCCATTATTTAATTTACTCTATATTGATTATTTTTTGATGATTTGCAACTATTCGCTCTACGAATTAAATAATTATAGCTAATTTCTAAATTAAAATATTGTCACCAATAATAAATAAATCGAAACCATTGTATCCACAGCAATTGGACGTCCGTGACTGTAGCGCTAGACCTTCACATTTCAACCGTTTCAGACGTTGCTTTAGCTGAGCGGTCTAAATTCGCATACACAGAATAATTCAAATTATTTGATAGTGTATGTCGATGTTTTAATGTGTGATGTAAAGTACGTAATATAAATATATGAGTATATAAGAGTAATTGACACACAACTCACACGAATTCTTGTAAATAAATATCGATTTAACACCGGCATCATAATTGCGTTGGATTTCTAAAACTGTATAATGCCACATTGAAATGGAACTTTACACACATGTTTATGATTTATTATGCTCATTTAGAAAAAAAAAACTATAACATTTTCATTTAACTTGTCAATAACAATCGAATTTTTAAATAATAAGTAGAACCCCTTATCGATAAATTATATAAGTAGGCGCCAAGCTGCCACGAAGCCGCCTAATATAAATTGGTACAATAAGCAACACTTGATTCTCGTTACTCCACTTTAACTTTTAGTCAAGTAATCCTACCATAGAGCAATTTCGTACTGTAGGGTTGAATAGTGTTCAGGTCATAAAAATAATTGCGGAATATTTTACCAACAACACTAATTCAATAATAAAAAATTCAAGAAGACAGAAATAAAAACGATTTGTTTCTTTTATTACAGAAATGAGTCCAAAAAATATAATTGTTGATGTTGATGCTGGACATGACGACGCAGTGGCTTTAATTCTGCTTTTATCGGCTCATCGTAACCATCAAATAGTTATTAAAGCAATTACATGTGTTGCTGGAAATACTGATATTGATAATGTTATTAAAAATGTTTATAGAACACTAGAAGTCTGTGATACCACTGATGTAAGCGTAAATAATAATTAAAAAGCTTATTGTCAAGAGAATTTTCAATTTTATGACTCAATAATACTGTAGTTATTATCTTCCAGATTCCTGTATATAGGGGAGCATGTTCACCGCTGATTTCCATTGATGGTTCAGTTGAGTGTAGATATCATGGCAATGATGGCTTTGGAGATGTCTTGAAAGATACACCAGATATAAGTAAACTACAGAAAAAACATGCGGTTATTGCAATTCGTGATATAGTTACAGAGAATCCAAATAAGATATCTGTCGTTTGCTTAGCACCATTGACTAATATTGCATTGGCAATAAAATTATTCCCTGAAATCTTGAATGATGTTAAAGAATTTTATGTGATGGGAGGAAATTCAAAAGGTAAAAAAACATTTATCTTAGGTCTATAAGTATAAGTAAATTTTTTAAAGTTACATAAATGTTATATGATAGCACAAGGAAATGTGACTTCACAAGCAGAATTTAATTTTTATTCTGATCCCGAAAGTGCTCATATTTTATTTAAAAGTAATTTCAAACCCTTGTGGCTATTACCTTGGGAAACATGTCTAAAGTCTGATGTAAGCATGGTAAGTGTTTACAACATTTTTTATCTTTTGGAGTTCTTAGAGATTCTAAGTATAATAAAAAACAAATAATTTCCAATTTTTAAACTTTTATTTATTAAGTAATGAATAATTTCAGGATTGGCGAATAAATGTTCTTGGAAAAATTAATTCTAAACCTATGCAGTTCATAAACACTGTAGAAAATGCGATATTTGCAAAGAATCCTAAGACTCAATATTACAGGCCATGCGATGGACTTTTAGCCGGACTAGTATTAAATCCAGCGATGAATAAACAGTGCACTGAATATCATGCAGATGTTGAATTAACTGGATCTAAAACCAGAGGACAAGTGGTTTTAGATCATTTGGAAAACAATAAACCAAATATTTTTTTAATTGATGACACAGATACTGATATTTTTAAAGAGCAACTTTATACAGCATTTTCATCATTTTGTGGAAAACAAAAATAATCAAAATATGATTATTGTTTACATAATTATTTTTTTATTGTCTGATTTCATCCTTGAATAGCATCTACAATTTTATATGATTTTCATATCAACGATAGATGTGTTGAAATCTAAATAACTATTGGAAATAAAATATTTTAAACTTTGACTAAAAAAGCATAGTTTCCATTATTTATAAAAATAATTAAATAGTAAAAGGACTTGACATTTTCTCTATCATTTATTCCCAGAAAAATGGAACAAGTTATGAAATACTGTTTGTTCTATGAATGATTTTATTACTTTAAAATCTTTGCTCTATGTACACATATATATATTTAAAATACTCAAAGAATTCTTTGTTTCTTCATATAAATAATGTATTCATTTCGCTTAAGCTTTTTTATGGAACAAATATTCTAAATAATTGCTTGTAATCATTATTAGTGATAAAATAAGACTGAATTTATACAATTAATAAAATAGCCTTAAAATTTCCTTTTTTATTTACACATTATTGCGGATCAGGAGTTGTTCCTTCTCTTGCTGGTTGCTCATTAAGAGATTCTTGGAATTGTTTCCTGGCTTCTCTGTTAGAATTTAATAGCTTCACAAATTCAGCATGTACGATATCATTCTTCATCTCTATTGAATCAAGTACAGAATTTAGTTGATCCAACTGAGCATTCAAGTTTTTGAATTCTGCAAAATGTTAAAGGTTTGATAATTGTACTGTGAATAAGTAAATAAAAAAGTTATAATGAAAAGATTTTTTTTTAAAAATTAATATAATACCTTCCTCATCATCTGACGTATCTGTATCCACAACATTTTCATCATGTTCTTGGTTGTCTTTAGGTTCAACAGCGTTCAACATTGTTTTTGCATCTGCCATCACAACATGAAATCAGCTGACTGTAAATGTCACACCTTACGCCTGTGTAATCGCATGTTTTTCACATTCGTCACATCTTGATTCTATTGGTCGAATTGATAAACTCCATATTTTATTTTTTAAGCGGCAATTTTAATTTAAAGAAAATGCTGCCCTCTAACAACTTGTTTGTTCCTTTATTTTTACGTATGAATTTACTGGTTGCGTGAGAGTTTCGTCATTGTGATTTGAACCACGCACTGGTGATTTTCGTTTTTAGAAGCTATCTTTTTTATTCAATACGCAAAAATGTCTGGACGTGGTAAAGGAGGTAATTAAATCATTTAATTAATGATTGTTATTGTCTAACCATTTATTATAATTAATTAATAATTAATTTTGTGTGATTTCAGGAAAAACAAAGGCAAAATCCAAGTCTCGCAGTAGCCGAGCAGGAACAATGTTTCCAGTAGGTAGACTTCATCGTCTTCTTCGAAAAGGAAATTATGCAGAACGTATTGGAAGTGGTTCATCTGTTTATCTAGCAGCTGTGCTAGAATATTTATCTGCTGAAGTTCTGGAGTTAGCAGGAAACGCGGCTAGAGATAATAAAAAAGCCAGGTAGGCGGGAAAATCTCCATTTTGCTTTTCTTTTCCCTCGCTTTTTACGGTTATTTTATTTCAAGGTTCTTTATTTAACTCCAAAACGCCTGATTTGGCCATATTTTATTTAAATTAATTCACTTATATTTAACAATTAAAGTTCTACAGTTCTTAGAATATAATTAATTATTTTATTACTTGTATAATAACTGTAACTGTTTTGGCGCCAAAACTATCGTCATGGTGCTCACATGCCCGATATATACTACGCCTTTATTGTGTCGGTATTTGACGGTTAATGTCATGTGTATTTAATTTTATTCACAGAATCTTGCCACGACATTTACAACTTGCCATTCGAAACGATGAAGAACTGAATAAACTACTGTCTGGAGTAACAATTGCTCAAGGAGGAGTTTTACCAAATATTCAAGCTATTTTGTTGCCTAAAAAGACTTCAGGTGCTGCACCACCAACTGTCAAAGAAAACAAAGCTTCTCAAGAATATTAAATGTTAAAAATTAATATTTAAGTTGATTTAACTCGACATTTTTTCATATATAAGTAATTTTTAAGTGTCGATATTTTTCTATTAAAATAATTTGTGTATAACTTTCATATTTTACTACATATAATACCTGTATTTATAAAAACATCTATACCTCACTTAATTATTTTTCAAATAGTAAATGTGCCACACATGACAATCATTACATCGCATTTAAAAATTCCATGTCTTAAAGTTATAGTTGTAAGTTCACTGAATTATTGTCAACCGTTTCTTCATTTGTGAATACTCCATGTATAAACATTATGTAAAAATTGAATAATTATAGGAGATTTTGATATAAATACAAATTTTTCAATAATTTTTAATAAATTATTTGAATAAAATAGAATTTTTGAAGTCATTACTCTATTAATTACAAATAGTTAAAAAATTTATTGAAATTCTGTGTATTAAATATTATTCAGCAATATTATATTTGCTAATTTATTTTGAAGATAAAAAAAATAGTATTTTAGAAAATTAAAGCATGTTTTCTACTTGTCTGTTTATAGAGAGCGCTCAAGTTGAACTAATGCTCCATCATGACAGTTAATTTTTAAAGTTTACTGGTGAATATATTCATTAGTTGTCGAATTAATTATATTTGATTTTCTGAATATTTATTGCTTTACATGTAAATATAATGTCGACACTTGACGCATCTCATATTTCTACTCTAGTTGACATGGGGTTTCCTACATCCAGAGCGTAAGTATTGTAAATAACTTATCCGAAATTAATCTAACCCCTAAATTCATCAAATTTCATTTGTTTTTTTAGTGAAAAAGCTTTGTTAGCTACTGGAAACAAAGGTGTTGAACCAGCTATGGACTGGTAAGCTATTGTTATTATTTTGTTAAAATTTTGTAACAATAAACATTAATATTTTAAGGTTACTTTCGCATCCGGAGGAGATTGAAGATATATCATCAGAAGCACCGGCAAATCAAAATGATTCAACAACTCCTGAGTCAGAAAATAAATCTATGGAAGAGAAATCTGATAATAATACTAATGATTCTAGTTCTGTAGAAGCCAAGTCCTTAAAATGCGATGTGTAAGTGACAAAATTATTTTTATTCAATCTCTAATAGTAAAATAAACATGTTATAAAATGGCTTTTATATATTTGCAGGTGTGGAAAATTATTCAAATCATCTTTAGAAGTAGAATATCATGCAACGAAATCGGGTCATGATAGTTTTTCTGAAAGCCTTGAGGAAAAAAAACCATTAACTGAAGAAGAAAAGAGAGCAAAGTTAAAAGAGATTGAGGAAAAGCTGAAACAAAAACGTAGAGAAAGAGAAGAACTTGAAAAAAAAGAATCTTATGAAAAAGAGAAAATTCGAATCAAGTCTGGAAAAGAAATGGCAGAAGCTAGAAAAAAGTAAACAAAATTATTTATGTAAATTATTGATGTTTGTTTTGAAGAATTATTAACAATTTTTTGATTACATATTAATTTTTAGAATGGAAGAATTGGAGATGAAAAAAATATTAGAACAACGAAAACGTGAAAAAGAAGAAGATAGACTTGCTCGTCAAGCGATTCGTGAAAAAATTGAAGCTGACAAAGCAGCTCGACGGGCTAAAGCTGCTGCTGAACGTGGTGAAACTCTTCCAGCAACATCACCGGTTGCATCAGCCCCTACTTCAGCCACACCTATCCCAAAGCGTGATTACAACGAAACAAGACTTCAAATTCGTTTAACAAACGGCGATATACTGACACAAAATTTTGGTGTTAAAGAACAACTTTCTGCCGTAAGATTGTTTGTAGAAATGAATAGAACTGATCCACCAGAGCCATTTGATTTATTGACAACGTTTCCGAGAAAAGTCTTTACGGCTGACGATTATGATACTCCATTAGATGTTCTTGGTGAGTTTATGTTGATTAAATTTACTTGTTCTTATAGCATGAACAAAGTATTGTTAATTATCACTACGTTTTTTCACACTTTTCTATCTTTTCCAGGTTTAGTTCCATCGGCTGTTGTTATTGTTCAGAAGAAATGATCACTGTAATAAACTTCGAGTAAAGTAATTCGTAAGTTAATTATTACCAATTTTTTTTATATTATTTGATCAATATCTGATAACTGATATATGCTAAATTTTTCTAATATTTAAATACTTTTATATTTCATTTATAAAATGAACGTAAATTCATTTCATAATTAAAAAAAAAATTAATTCAAAAATCTGCTCAAAGCTCATTTTCATGTTAATAATTTTTATATTTTGATGATTAAAACTTCTAACGTATAAATTATGTATAAAAGAAAATATTTTTTTTGTAAATTCTTCTAAATTTCGAAAACCTTAGAATATTATAAAAATTTTAAAAACAGCGTGAATAATTCTCAGAAGAGAATAACTATTTGCATCTGATCCTAGTATTGAAAATGTATTATTTTGGAGTGAGCAAAAGCGGAAAATTACTTTGCACAAATCTAGGTCGTTTTGGAGCTGGTTCAGGCTGAGTTGATATCCTCATAGAGTATAAGGAAAATATAAATCAATCATATACTTAATTCATCTCATTATAATAGTTTATTTCACACGAATGAATATATTATTATTTAAAGACTGAATATAAAAGCATTTGAAAAACACTGAGTTGATAACTCGGTATTTTTCATTATTCATTAAATTGTTCGGATCCCATTAGAGCACTTGCTCCACGAGCTACACTACCCTGCGAACCAATTCCAAATGAATAATCCCTGGGACCAATTCCACTGGGGTTGGTTCTTGGAGCATTATCAGTAGGAGCGTTCATTTGACTGGATCCCATTAGAGCACTTGCTCCACGAACTACAATACCTTGCGAACCAATTCCGAATGAATAATCCCTGGGACCAATTCCACTGGGGTTGGTTCTTGGAGCGTTATTAGTCGGAGAGTTCATTTGGTTTGGTCCCATTGAAGCACGATTGTTTGAAGGATTTGCATCTAAATATATTATTTTGGAGTTTCTTCGACATGATGGAAGTCTTGCCCTACCACAATGAGTAGGATTCATGAAATCGCGTCCAAAGCAAATTCGTATCTCTTTTAGATATTGTATAGCAGATGTTTCATCAATTGTATCCTGGAAAAATTAAATAATCAAAATAAATTGATTTAGTTATACTACTGGTCAAGTTTCACTTACTTCTTCTGTGTAACAGGCTATTTGACATTCCTTTCCTACTCTTTCCTCTATTTTGCTTGATAGCTCATAATATGTGTACTCCTTTCCAGGTATGATATTAGCATCTCGTAGTATATCATTCATATTGTACCTTTTAAACAAGTATAAAGTTTTCTTGAAATAATCAAACTGTGCAGTTTTATCAGTTGGTTTAACAGCACAAGTGCCATGTTTCTTCCACTGCTTTTCCCAAAAATCTCGCATTTTGGGTATTTGCTTCGCATTCACAGCAAAAACATCAACCCAATTGTGTTCTAATTCTTTTCTCATAGGTGATATCTTTTCGTCATTTAATGGAGTGTCAGCACAAAATTCAGGAGTTGCTCCATTACGTTTATGTGGCCAAAGTCCATGGATACTCCAACGATCATAGTTATCAGTTACTGTACAATAATATGGTAAAGAATATTGTTGTCGAGTTTTGCAAATAGCAGGAAGCCATGTTTGTGTTAATAGCAGAATGTCAAAATCTTGTGACTGAGGCTTGATTGAAAATCTAGCCCATCCATGATGCCTACATAGAAAATTTCTTTAGTTGACTCATGAGAAAAAAATGGTCGTAATAATTTTTATTATATACATCATAGTTTTTATATTTATTTATAATTAAATAAATAGAAAAAACTATTAATGTTCAACAACTCAATTGATATAATAGCGGAAATTCCTATGATTCAAGGTGATAATTGCCTTCCTTAAGTTCATCAATTTTGTATTCGTCATACTGATAGAGAAGTTGAGCACAATTTAAATAAAATAAATAACTTTTTATGTTAAAGAAACATTGTTAACAGAAATTATAAAACATCAAAATTTTTTATGATTTTTTAAATCCTAAGGATTGAAGCTTTCTTCTTGAAGTTTAAATGATAAAATTATAAAGAATAAATTTAAAAAAAAATTTATACCGACCCTTGGATGACTACTAAGGCAATCACAATAAACAATGTTAAATACTTCATCATGAAATGAAGCAATAATAATTAATTCTATTTTTCAATTAGGAAACTTATATTTTCCTTTATAAAAAATTCTATAATTTTAATAGTAGCAATATATAGATCGATATTTTTGATTGGACTAAAATCATCCTTTACCTTTTTTATTATATACTTTTTCAAGAACATTAAGAAACATTGCATTTGACAATTATTTAAATGAAATATTATTTTACCATGCTGATTAGATTAGATCTTTTGAAGTTTTAGAAAAAATTAGATACACTTTTAATAAATTATCAATTTGTAAATACTATAAATAACATAAAAAGAATTGAATTGATCAATTCACTTAATAATTTGTTTTCTTTACTAATATAAAAAGGAAGTATTCAATTTCAAACAGTCAATAATAGTGTAATAAATTTCAATCGTGTAAGGTGTAAAAAATTTAAAAGTTCGTTTATTAATTCATTGTCTAGTTTTACATCAAAATATAGCGTTCTATTTTTGTCAGTTTATTAAAATCTATCTAGAACTTCAACAAATTATCGTTTAAAAAATCATATTTTCTTTCCAATAGTTAAATTCACAAATGGATTTATGTGCTTCATTGAAATGAGAATTTTATATTCCGAGCAATTAATAATACAGCAATAAATTCATGATTTAAAATTAATTTCTTAATTTTATCTCAAAATACTAAATGATATTCTAGTCTGTAAATTTAAAACCAAAGTGTGATAAATTACCAGAATTGTAATCACAGCTGACTGAATTGAAGGAGAAAAGAATAATTAATTATTAAAATAAAAGAAACTTAAATCTAGTGTTAATATCAGTACTCTAATTAGCCAGACATTATTCTCTGTTGCTCATTAATTATTTTGGAGCAGAACAATAATTCAAATATTAGAATAATAAATATGGGAATACTGAATTTTTAATTCCATAGAAATAGTCAAATCATTTTTTTATTTAATTTTCTTGTGCAATATAAAAATACAATTACAATATTGAAAAATGTGTATATATGTATATGTACTCTATCTACTTAGAACTATTTCAAAAAATATACATCAGGTTAATTCATCATCATTTACAATATACACTGACATAAATAGATAAATACTGAACGGCAAAGTTCAATGATTGATTCACTCCTTAAAAATTCAAAGCTTCATGCCGCCAGCTGTACAATTGTAATCATCAGCAGAATATAAAAAATGATATGATAATAGCAAGCTTTGGCTAAAGTGATTCGTAACTCAATCACACCAATGTATTATTCTTGTCTTGTAATTACTTGAATAAATTTATCTTATACTTAACAATCTTTCCAATCACAAAAAATGATAGGTTAAAATATATACTGAATTGTGTAATTCCAATTTAAATAGAGTGTCATGTTGCTTTTACATTCAATTCACATCAAATATACTGTTAGTATCAAAAATAAACAGAAAAACTAGGGTAAGATAGCAAAGAATGAATTATTTAAAAAAAAAAAAATGTACAAATCTTTCATATCTAATTCATTTTATTAATTTATTTATTTATGAACTCTTTAAAAATGATTAAATGATTAAAATCTTCAACGAAACTATCTTGGCCTAGTTTTCCTTATAAATACATCGATCATCAACAGACATAAAATAAATGATTTATCATTTATCTTTATGTTGATTGTTCATATTATTATTTATCTTATATTAAACAAAAATATTTTGTGCAATTATGCTTAATCTTGATGAAAAGTATTTTCATTTAATTCAGGTAGTTTTCCAATAATCATCAAACTTGTATAACTTGAATGGTATCAGGTACAGTTCCAGGATACGTGATTAGCTTTTTACGAGGACAATTGGTTGGAAAGTTAACTATTCCATCACAATCTTTGAGATTGAAATTTTTATCGAAGCATATACGTATCTCAAAAACGTATTTTATTTTATTTTTCTGAAAACAAATAAAATTATAAATAATAACAATGATAAATTGTATGATGAGTTATTTCATTGCAAAATAATGACTATTCACATTTCTTGATGTTTTTAACTCTTATAAAATCAAAGAGCGTTAAATACAATTGATTTGAAACATGTGTAATCTGTGACACAATGGAAAGTGACACAATAATTACAATAATGAAGTTTCATGTTTCTAGTAAATTGTACATTTCTAATTCTTTTGTTATATTATTGATAAAAAAAAATCTACAAATAAAATGATTAGTACATATTATTAAAATAGAAATAATTTAATTTTTTATTGCAAATTTAATCGACTATTAATAAATATAAATAGTATTATCTATAGCTAGATTCAAGAATTGAAATAACTTTCAGTAATAAATTAGTTCATTTGATTCTCAATAAATAATTGATTATTTAAAAAAAAGCAAAAATTCTTACCTTATCTACAACACATTCAATTTGGGCTCGAGTTCCAATAATTTTTTTAATTCCATCTAAAATAGTTTGCGCAAGGTATTGCTTTCCAGGAGTAATATTCACTTTACCAAGGACATTTTTCATGTCATACATATTAAAAAGGTCTAAGCCCTTTTTAAAATATTTGTAAACTGAATTAACTTCATTAATAACAGCTGCACAGGTACCATGCTTTTTCCATTCATGTTCCCAAAATGCATAAGGTTTAGTACCATTTTCTACATCAACCCATTTATCTTTCAGTTCTTGTTCAATTGGTTTTAACTCATCAGGTTTGAAAGGCAGACTTTTATTGCAGTTAAAAGGTCCCATTTTGTGCAGTTGTGTAGGCCAAATTCCATGAATGCTCCATTCTTCTGTACCTTTTGGGAATGAACACGTGTGGTTTGAAAGCTCTTCCTTCCAGTCAAGACAAACTGTAGGTGGCCAGTGCTGAGTAAAGATGAACAAATCAAAGTCGGTAGAATTGGAAGGTCTTCCCTTTTTTCCATCATTTTTTTTCCTGCGGAGACGTCCACGCCTGAAAAATATCATTCAAAAAACAAGGAAATTTACAAGCTGTTAAAAGGAAAAATTTCTTATCTTAAAGAATAACATGGATACAAAAATTCCAAGGAAATGCATGGAACGTTAGAGATTATATTAAAACTACAACAAGCTCTAGGATATTATCAGAATTTTGCAGATAGAATAATATTCAGCTTCTCTTAACACATCAACATAGTTATTGAAAACAATCTTATCTTAAACTAGACGGTAATAATTGAATAAAATTTTTGTGAATATTATTACATTAAATTCACATTAACGTGCAGAATTCATTTCATTGTATATTATTAACAATTATCTCATATTTCAAAATTCCAGGTATTTATAGTTTAAAACTCCTACTTTAGAACAGATAAATGCATTTTTTTTTCAAATAAACTACCATAAAACATAAAAAAAAATTCATCATGCATATTTACATGAGATTAAGTTACATAAGAAGCAATAATTAAGTTAAAAAATGACATTAGAATGATAATAACTAATAATTCAGAAATTTTTTATACAAACCCTTGAGCAGAAATGGACAAAACTGCAATGATGACAACAAATGTTACACACACGTGATACTTCATTTTCTATTTCAATAATATGAATTTTAATTATAATATCAACAGTACATTCTCTATTGTAATGACCAATGTGTAACTCAACCTACTATTAAAAGTGCTTTGAGAGTAGCTCAGTTTGTGTTACTACAACTGGTCTAAAAGCATCTGACAGACACAAAGCCAACAATCCCCTCTACATGTTAACTATATCGACCTCGCATACCTCATGCGTATCCACCGAACAAAGTTTCCCTCTCTACTTTTCAATAATCAGCTGATACATCACGTTTACCAGGTGAGTCTCACCTGTATATTTACGTTTTCTGTTGCTTTTAGTTTATTACATTCACAGAAGTCATTATCAAGAGAATGAACAATCAGATAATTGGACACTTGAGGAATGAATAAAACGATTTTTCGGTTGTTACATTAATAAAATAGTTTTTTTTTTTTCAATAACCCGGAATTCATAAGAAATGAATGAAAAAGTCATTTTGAGCATCATTTAATGATTTCAATTGATATGGATTATATTGAATAATGTTGACAGGAAATTATATTATTCGTGAGTATTTAATTTGATGAGGTGTATTTAAGTTGGGTAGTAAAGAATAGAAAAATTATATTTATGAATGAATGTAGTTTGAATAAAATGTTTACTCTTTAATAATTAAATGAATATGAAATTATTAAATTTCATCACATCTACGTCGAACAAATAATAATTTTTCAATATTTTTTCAGTGCTCTAGAAATATCATTTAATATAATATAAAAATGCTAATATGCAAAAATGAATAATTTATTTAAAACATTTACAATTAAAATTGGCAATACATTCATATTAAAAGAGCTTTATAATTAAAAATAATATTTTAGTTAAATCGATTTTTGAACACCTCAATATTTGATTGATAAATAAAAATGTAATATTTATAAAAATATTTTATCTACTAAAATTACTTTTTATGACAAAAACAGCCAATAACTTATTTATCAATCCAACATCTTTTATTAATAATAAAAATTAACAGTTTTTAAATATAAATATTTGTTAACATATTAGAAAATATTCCTGAGTTTCATACGAAATTCTATAAAGATTCAATTATTCTTTCAATTTTCTCCAACTTTTTCATTTCATCATAAACACATTATTTAATTGTTATTAAATATTTTTATAAAATACAAGTAGCATTATGTGAATAATGATATTCACTTCTTATTTGCACATATGTGTTGTAATGATATATAAAAAAATTCGCTAGTTCTATTATCAATTTTTCCTTAGTCAGTAATCTATTTATCATTATTTTAATTGACAAATCAGTCTACGTTGCACGTGCTTACGTTATAAATCCCGATACTCTTGCTTACTCATATATTTTAACAGATTAAGTTTGTTTTCCTTATAAATAATCAAATACAAAGTTTTTTGTTATCATATTGATTACAATAATATCACTCGACGCTGAAGTGGCTCTTCAATAGTCTTCCAATAAGATATAAAGTTTGAAACGTCTTATTTGGTCGTAATCTCTGCTTTAGAAGATAGAATGCAATGACTTTTAAAATGATTAAAATTGCAATCAGTGCGCCAAAATCTACCCAAAAGTCACAATGTTCCATTCCTGTTAAGAATGAATAAAATCATTACTTAATGTTCAAAAAACCCCGAGATTGATTTCAATGCCGATCTCAGATAATTTATTTAAACATTCAATCAAATTTAAAGCAAGATATTATTTATAAATAACTACATCGATAAATGATAAAAAAAACGTAATCAACATGTTCAAAATGATTCATTATAAAACATTGAACTCTTAAGCTACCTCAAAATGTATTGTGGTATTCTATTTTGCAGAAAGTTTAATTATTCACATTAATAAAGGCAACTTATTTAAATGTATGAGTAATGATAAATATTGTTATGGTAATAATCTTATAATTAGAAGAATAATATGAATGATTATCATTAGATATCCTTACCCATGGCTCGTAAAAGCTCACGTGGAACTCGATAGTGGCAATAATCTTCTTCAGGTGGACACGGGAGTTTCTCTCGATCGTAACCATAAGTTGCAACTATCAACGCTTCAAGACCGTATCTTATGTAACTAAGATACATTACAAGAGTTCGATAAATAGGCAAGGGTTCCGGACTCCCAAGTCCTTGGACTGCGACCAGCATTAAGGGCACCGTTAGTGCTGGTCCCACGAACATTCCATTCTGTCAATTAACAAGTGAGTTGATTATTAACTCTTACAATGTACTACAACTCTTTAAAATGTCAGTAAATAATTTTACAAAAATGAGAATGAATAACTTTTCATCAGTAGTAATAAATTCTTGAAAAATTAGTATTATTAGCTTAGGAAATTTTTATGTCATAACTGTTCGGTCTCGTAATAAATACTCATAAATGTGTAAGGTTGGATTTTATTACTCACTACAATACTTAGTGTACTGGCAATAGCAAAAGCCATGGTTTCTGCGATGAAAGCGCATACAAAACAGGTACTAAAGAACATTGCACATCTGAATAATTCCAGCGGTTGTTCTGAGATGAGATAAACCATCGTGAGATAAATGGTACTCAAGATTAACTGCAATTGGTAAAATAACGGTTCTTAAATTTATAGTTGACTTTTAAATTATTTTAATTGATTTATTAGATCGATTAAAAAACTAGAAAAATCAATATTCTCTCAAGATATTGAATATAATTAATATTCAATTGTCATATTGAATAAGCTTGAGCCTTACTTGGGGAGGAATAGTTGATATTGTTAAAGCTGTGAAGTAAGGGCTAAGATCATACCATCGATTGAAATGTTCTCGCTTTAGTAATAATACCTGAGATGGAACTGAAAATGTAAGATAAAATCAATTATATTAATGAAGTAATAAATTATGGTAAGTGATTAATTGATAAAATGAGTTATTACTTACAGTGTAATAGAATTGGAAGCATAGGCACGTAGAGGAATACTATAATACATGCTAGACAAAATCCGAAATTAAATATCGTCTTTGAACCGTCATTTCCTGCGCCAAGAAATAGACCACCAATGACAAGACCCAAAAAGACATGTAGGGACATTTTTAGGAACATATAATTCTGAAAACATTTTTAAATGTAACAATAATTTTTCATTTCAATCAATTTCTTCAACTTTGTTTCATTGTTTAATATTTGTTTTAATATTTTTTAGCAGTACTGAGCGAAAGTTTGAAAAGTTCTATCAGAATGTTTTTTAACGTAGCAAAAAGAGAGTATATAATTTACACAATTTTCTTTTTAATTTTTCAATTAGTTCAAATTGTGTGTATTCATAAGAAAACAAAAATGTCATGCAATTTTCTAAACATACTCTATCTCTATAAAACTGCAGCATCATTCTCTGGAATAAAACAAAAAATTGATGTTTCCACGGAGCCTTCAATTTTTTCTTATCAACATGATAGTCTACTTCATATGACTTCTTGATAGGAGTAATTGGAAATCTCTTGTCAACATAATTCACCATTCTTTCAACTAATTCGATTCCGTATTCACCACTGGATACTTCAATAACTGTAATTTAATTCCAAATCGTTAAATTAATTCTTTTATTTTTTTTTTCAAATGTCTTTTTATTTTTATCGTTTATTTTAATTTATAATTAATCATTATATAAGATAAATTATTTAAAATAAAGAACTTACCAAAGTCTGCTGGATTATAATGTTTCGGACATTCTATTCCAATAGAGTCAAGGTAAGGAACGAGGCTATTCACTGAACCTCTATAAACACATTGACCTGATGATACAATATAGACGTGATGGAACTTGGCAAATATACTTGCACTTGGTGTATGAATTGAACAGATTACTGTTCTTCCACCTTGGGCTACCCTTTGGAGTAAATCGATGCATTGTATTGATGACATTTCATCTAAGCCCCTAGGAAATTAAATAACAATTTTCTTTGTCAAATAAAACATTTAATAAAATTCTCATGATAATTTTTTTGTTGAATAATGGATTAAACAAAGTCATTGAATTAATTATATAGATCTTACGTAGTTGGCTCGTCCAGAAAAATAACTGGTGGATTATTCACGAGTTCTAATGCAATAGAGAGTCTTTTCCTTTCACCACCTGATAATCTTTCTGTTATTGTATTCCTTGCATTTTTCAGTCTTAACGTTACCAGAATTTCATTTATCTATAAACATTGGGTGTGAAATTTTTTTATCTACTAGAAACTTCATTAAAGTTAGAAAATAGCAAATATTAATAAGCGAGTAATTATCCCACTTTCACTTCCCACTTGTCTAGACAAAAGATAATCAAGTGAGTTGGTGGTCGAATTGAAGTGAACTTGAAGAATACTTACAATGGTCATTTTAGAAATTTTAGAAATTTTAGTTCCAAGTTTTAAGTCTGCTGCAAAACGCATAGATTCAAAAACTGTTAGCTTTGGTTGAATAAGATCCTCTTGCATAATGTAACAAGATAATTTTTTAAAATCCTGAAGATCTCGTGGTTGACCATTAATGGTAATCATTCCTCCAACTTCATTGCATCTAAAAATAATAATCATAATTAATTATCTTATTATTACACAGATAATTTTATTACAATAAAGTAAAGTAGCTTTCAATCTACAGGAAGTAAAATTAAACATTACATTTTATAATGGCAAATTAAATATGTTAGAATTGTTTAATTTTTATTATAGGAAGAAAATGCACGTAGCTTAAAAATCTCCATTTATTGTAATTTCATTTAATCTATAAAATTCATGCACCGTAATTTCAACTCTCATTGGCAATTTAAATCGCTGGCTTATAATTTAAATGCGTGATGTTACTTTGTAGGGTTCAAAAGAAAATTTATAATTCAATGGGCTAATCAGTGTAATGATGAACAGTAAAGAAAGAAACTATATTACAAGGCATGATTTGCACTTCGATTCACTTATTGGCAATATCTTTATCTGCTCATTTATCCTATTATTATTGATTGATACATGTCGTACTTTTTGCAAAAAATCAAAAATTGTCATAGTGTAATTATACATAGTTCTTCAGAAATAAAATCAATAAAATCATTAAAATAATTATGTAACATGAACTATGGCAAACAATTTATAATGTTATAAAGATAATATGAAGTAGTTCATGTACGTCAATAATAGAGGTCAAGTGCAATGTGCCAACATAGTTTTAACTTACTAGATTCATACTTATTTCATTGATTGTAACTTTTATTTTTTATAAAGTACTTATACTTTATACCTTATGTACAAACACTTCATTGAAATTTCGTAAAAAAGGAGGCTTATATCCATTTATTTAGAATTTTTTATCATAAATGTATACTATTAAATCGTAATTCAAGTTTTTAAGATGACACGTGCTTTTTTTTTCATTATGATTAAAAATGACATCTTGAATAGTTTTCATACTTTGATAAACAAAAACAATCATGTTCATATCTGCTTTCAATATTTTCCATCACTTCATTTCATTATTAATTTATGTATTAATATTTTAATATGGGTATTTTACGTAATGAATTTTATATTGCTGTCTTAATCATCATATAAGTTTATAAAAAAGATAATAATGACTTTCATTATTAAGTTGTTAGCATGTTCGTTAGCATATACTGACAGTCATAAATATTTTTCCACCCCATATTGTATTTGATTGACGTCGCTAAAATCGTTATGCATCAATAATAAGTAATGAATAAAATACCCAATGTAATTCATATAGTTAATATTTAGTGAGGATGATGCAATATAAATTTTATCTACTACCATTTCTTGTTTTACATTTCATTTTTTGATAAATTAAAAAAAAAAAATTCCTAAAAAATTTATTTTGATAACAACTTATACTCCAATATTATTCATATATTTATAGTTAAAAATTTATATTTAGACGTTTTCTAAAAAATAACTATTACTTCCAGACTCCTAAATTCTTGCTTTTACCAACCTAAAAAAGATCATAAAAGAATCATTAATTGTGAGTAATTTGCGAATAGTCACAAATCTGCATAAAAAGAATGATTTTTATTGAGTCATAAAATGTTGATTCTATAATTTATTGTTTCTAGATGTTTATCTTATAGAGTATATAATATTTATGAGTCATAATTTCTATTTATTAAACGATTTAAACCTCCTAATGCAAACCACCGTAGTCTATTTAATTATAAACCAAACAAACATTGACGTTAAGTCGAGTAAACTAAGATAATTAATCATATTCAGCGATGATTAATATCATTTAATATCTGTGATGAATTTTAATATTCATTCCAAAAAACTTACTTATAACCAGCTAGCACATTGAGTAAAGTAGATTTTCCTGCTCCTGATGGACCAAGGATTGCTGTTAATTCTCCAGATCGAAATTGACCACTGACTCCTTTCAAAATGACTTTACTTCCTGAAAAAAAAACCAATGTGAATAAATACATACGATACTTGAATGAATTTAATTAATAGTAGACCCTGAGTAGTCATCAATAAGATGAAAAATTGATTATTAATGTATTTTTTGATAAGATACATTACTATTCAATTTTATTAACAACCTTGATTACAAAATTGTTATAAAAAGTTCATATAAATAAGAAAAAATATCAAATATCAAGCTTTTATTATGGAAGACAAGAAAAGGGGCATGATTAGAATAAATATGAACGTATTCTTATCACATCCTTTACATCACACTATCCATTGTGATTCAAGACTGGAGACTACACCCACATGGAGAATTCTATGAGTAAAACTTTCAATATAGAAGAAAGTATTAGTTTAATAGTATTCCAAATTGTATAAAATTTCAACGATTATTTATTATCATTTAACTTTCAGTTGAAGGACTGTCAGAAAACTACAAGTTGAACATATTAATAAGTTGATTAAATGATAACGAAAAGTCAAGGATTTATTATTTTATAAAGGACGTATAAATTTTAAAATCGGCATTGAAATAAATGATTTCTATTTTTTATTGGATTATTGAATGTCTTTATGTGAAATAAATAATCCAGTTAAAGATTCTAGACATTGAGTGATAACATGTTCAAAGAAATATCAAAGCAAGGCTAACAGCTGAGTCATCTAAGTCTACTTTTACACACTTATATTTCTGTCATTTCTTTTTTTTTCATCTTCATTGATAACGATGTAGTTATGCTAGAGAAGTTTGTAGAAATCTCTCTTTTGATGATTTTCTATAAGAAAAATGATTAATCTCACTTAAAAAATTATCACTTTCATTAGCATCAATTCTTGAAGTAATTCTGACAACAGAATTCAAAGAAAATTAATTATATCATCATTTGTATTTTTTTCTTTTTTGTTTATGAGCATTTAAGAGACGTCAAGTTAGACTAGTACAACTGATGAATAAAAATTAAGTAGACCCTTTTTTATAAATTTATATGACATTCAAGTTTAATAGTAATGTTAACTCATTTGAATATCTGAATGAATCGTTGTCGAAATCTAATTCAAAGTAAATAAGGACGAGATCAAAATTCAAATGATTCAAAGGTCTATCATCATGTTGATAAGAAAAATAGAGAATGTTCTCGTAGATACTTTTTCTGTATCTATAATCAAGACATAAATTGACTTAAGTCAACAGAAATACATACATTTTTATATTTAAAAGTTGAGTATTTATTACTATCAACTATTATATTATTTAATAATAAAAAATGATACGTTATTTTGTCTAGAATAAATATAAAAAAATTTACATAAGATTAATTGTTACGAGAAGCAAATAAATGTCTAGAGTAATTTATCTATGAGAAAAAATTTCCGGAACTGAGCAGTTTGCAAAAATGATAAATTAAGATGAGTGAAAGGTAATTATAATATAAAGTAACACTTATAACATCACATGTATGTAATCAATTATCACTGCAAAAAACTATTTATGCAAATAAAACCATTATGAAAGAACGTTAAAGACTTAATCATTTCATTTATTAAAGTTTCAAATACTTCATTTAATTGACGATTATCATTGTTGAAAGAATCTTTAATTATTCAATGATTGATTAGCGTTAAATCATAAAGATGTTTTGTTTTTATATTTTGATAACAGTCTCCATTCTTGACTGATGGTTAAATGTGACTATCATGAGAATTTAAAATTCTAATCCTTTACCATATGTCAAGGTCGAATGTCAATCATGATAGGTTTTTTTTTAGTTAAGAAGTAAAAAAAAATACTTCGAATTTTTTCAAGATCACTTTCAATTTCCTTGGATATTTAAAGTATTGTTTTTATCGTTATTTCAAGTCAGGACAATGAAATTATGCATAATTTATTTTATATTGTTTATAAGTTTTCAAGGTTAGGCCATTATCAATATTGTTGCATAATAAACCTGCAAATAATTTGTCAAAATTTTATATCTATTAAAAAAATGATTCAGCATTAAAGTTATTACAAAATTGTATGATTTATTAACAAGTAACTGCATCGATATTTCTTGATTGAATAATTTCAATTATATTTTGTAATTAATTTAATTGAATTGAAATCATTATAAGGAAAGAAGTTGCATTCAAAAAACGATTGTATTTTGTAATTTGTTTATGAAATGAAGTGATATTGATAAGGAAAAGATGTCTTTACATTAACACATGATACTTGTTTTTTGAAACGTAGAGTTGATGTTTAGCATGCAATTAAAAAATTACTAACCTTTCCTCCCAGTAGGAACAGTATAGGTAAGATCGTTGAATTCGATATCAACCGGTGGCATTCTGTTCACTTGTCCAAACGGCACAATATCGGTATCGGCTTCTATTTCCAAACATTTTGAATTTTTGTCCATCTTTATCTTGATCAATATTCCAGATAGGATATTTAAATCTTAATTATCAATTTTAGTTTTCATAGCTTTTGATCTTGACTAGTGATGAAAGTCAAAATTTTTTTTATCTACCAATATCCTGTTAGGAAGCTAAAGTCTGTAAAAAAAAAGTATCCATAAAGTTTGTTATTTATATTTTCATCATTGATTCACGAAAATTTATAGTATCATGTGATTATTAATCAATAATACATTATTATCTTAATTAACCTGTTAACAAGGTTATAATTTTTTTTTTCAAAGTGCATCAATGGGCGTGATGATTCAATATATTAATTAAATGTTCTGAATTGGTTATTTATTTTTTCTAACAAATTTTTTTATCCAATCAAGGTCAAGTCAATTGTATAAAAAAATTTTTCAGATGTACATTAACATTTGAATTCGAAACTAAACAATTAAATCTTGTAAAACAATGAAAAAAAAGTGATATTTAATTCTTTAAGTCATTGACTTTATGAAGGAAAGAGTTTTATTGAGATAAAATTTGTTTTCGTCATCTTAAAAGTAAATGGACACTATATTAACCAATTATTTTTTGAAAAAATAGCTTTACATAATACCACTAAAATTCATCAATAACTATTGAGAGAACTAAATAATTTTAATCTATCAACTTTAATTGAGAGTATTTAAATAGATGTGTTACTGTGAATTTACGAAGTTAAAATTCACTATTCGATGCTCTGCATTATTTTACCTAAAACCAAGACGAAAAAGATTATATGTCAGAAATATGTATGAAAAAGAAGTTGGATTAATTATTCATACATTTGATGATAAGTTATTAATAATAGTGAGTAGACCAAAATTAATTATTGATATTTAATATACAGACATTTAAATAAAAATGTAGATGTTCTAAAAAATCATTTATTCATACCTGTACTTTGTTAATTAATATTTCAATTGCGGCATTAATTTTACAATGAGCAGTTATTGATCGAAATTTTAAACGAGAAAGCTTTTATTAGCGTGAATATTGAGTGTATCAAAGTATTTCTTTAACGAACCAATTCTAGGAAGTCGATTGTTTGGAACTGAACAATGAAATTTAACAACAACCCGGTCACACCACAGGGTCAACCAAACTCTGTACGCTACAAACACTTGGAGTGAACTGAAATGCACGCTCACGCTCGTCTGTATTACTCAACTCCCCGCACTAAAAGTTTACTACGACTTCTGGCTTGCGCACAGTTCAGCTCCACTATAAGCTCATCACTTCTGAACGTTATTAGAAAAAAAAAATTCATGTTCGTCCGACTAGATGTCTGGATTTTTATTGTAACTTTTTTTTCTATCAGACAAGCCTCTAATAGATTAAATCTTCATTTGATCACAACGTACAGTGTTTATGTGACATCTTAATTAACATGTGCGAATGATTTTATTATCGACACTTCATGGGACAATACCAAACAAAGTTCAATTTTAGTTTGATACATAATCGAATTATGTCAATGATAAAAAATCAGTGTGATTTCAATGGAATGAGATCAGTGTCGTGGTTATTTTTATAATCATGAAACATACTTTGATATAAGAATATATTTGAATTATTTTCTGTGACTATTAGAATTTTTTTGATTTGTTTGGTTATAAACATTAGACCAACAACTTTTTGGTTAGAATTTATTTTGAAAAATTATTCGATGCAAATATGTCTATGAAAACATAGACAACAAGCATTTTAAAATAAAAATCTTTCATTTATAAGGAAAAAATCAATAACAAAGAGTTAATTCATTCAATTACCGACAATTGTAGTTCTTATGGAATGAGGTCAATGCAATGAAATGTTTGTTTTTATATCGATTAAAAGTCTTTTTTTAATTTGATTGAATTATTTTTGAGTGACTTTTTAGTACAAATCGTAGACAGAAATAGAAATAAAAATTTTTTTAGCATTAAGCAGCTCATTTATGTTGTATTTGATTACTTTTTTCTACTTAGAATGCAGGAAAAAATTTCTAGAGTGTTTTTATAAGAATCAATATTATTAATTATATAAACACGCAAAATAGAACTCATAAAAAATAGATAATAATAAATTGAATTAATTGAAAATATTGAATTGCAACAGGCATTTCATTATAAACGTTAGTATTCCTCCAAACCAAGATTAATCTACAATTGTAGATTCTCAAGTCTCATTTGAACTTGGTGATAATTAAATTTTTCTTATTTTTACCAAGAAAAGTGAAGATTTCACTTTTTATTGGTCAAGGAATCAATTGTTATTCGTCTGCACATAAGATAAACTCAGATACATGTACTTCCATCAATTTACAATTAAAACCTACTTTGCTTATTATCTATTGTTGTATTCAGTCAATGTCATAAATAATTATTTAACACAATGCAATAATCACATTGAATTGATTGGTGTGAATTCTACAGATGGTATTCTCTATCTTGTGTCTAATGTCTTTTATTTATATAATCGAATAAAATTAACTCCAAGAAAAAACAGTCATTTCTAATTAACATAACAACCAGGTAATGAATCATGCATATGTTTATTAATCACGTTTTTACATAAAAATAGAACAGGATCTCTTCATTTCAATTATTTGAAAGAAAAAATGGATATTAAAGCTTAAATTATCGACCGATTTAAATAAAATTTATCACTTTTTATGTGTGCAAAAAAGCCATTGATAGTTTTTGTTGTGCTTAGAACAATGCAAATTGTCAAAGTTATTTCATAAGCACTTTTAACGCTAATGAAAAATTCTAGCTAGAGGTCATTGACCAGCTATGAAATTGTCCCTCAAGTCAACTCGAACGACAGAATGAGTGAGATAATTTTGTGATGGATAAAGAAAACTACTCATGCGTATATATGGTCGTGTGCTTGTTGATGATAAAAACAGATGTTTATGGTTTTGTATTGCGTGTAGATACAATATTGTACACTTGAATGGAAGACACACGTTGAGTTGCTAGGAAATTGCACCTTCATGGCTTTGAAGAAAGGATTTGGATCTCTTGAAAATCGATCATAAAATTGTAGGATCTGCATCAGTTCCTCTTCCTGATTGATGAATCATACGTATACTCTATTTCGTAATTAAAGAAGTGATTTGTATATTTATTATCAGATCAATAATATGTGAATGAATATAAAGTGTTTTACGGTGTAAGAATGTGTGTAAAATTGTTGCTTAATCATGTGACGAAGTATCAAGTATCAAAACCAAGTATCAAGTAAAGTTGAATATGATAATTAGGCAATTTGATTATCTTAATGTTTAGATATGGAAGTATTAAATGAAAACTAATAGCAATGAAAATGTTATAATTTATGAACTACTCTTTTTATTTTGAATAGATTGGACTTGGAACTCATCTTAGAAATCACTTCAACTTCGACTCACGGTCAAAAAAATTTATTGTTTAATAAAAATTTTCATCTCAATCTTATCATTTGGAAAAAAAAAATTGTGATTTTTTTTCATCTTTTAAGTGACCACTTAAGGAATTTAAAAATAATTTATCTACTAACTGATAATCAAACACTTATTTAATCATAATTTTCTCCTTTTAATAAGGAGTTTTGATTTTTTATAAAATTTTTTCAATTCTATTATACGATTATTAGCAATAATAATAGTTTGGACATTCTTGGTAAACATAATAATGGCAAATCACAGAAAAAAATGTCATATTTCTTAAGAAAAAATTACTTTATTTATATAACAAACATTTTATACAAAATATAACGATGTGTGTCGTTCGACATACAATAATTAATGTTTTGCATCAGATACTACACCAAAAATTTGTTATTTTGTTCAACAATTGTTCATTTTAAGTATAATTATTGAAATTGACAATAATTATTAATCAATAAATCATTATAAAATTGCTAAGTCGTGAAGGCACCGAGATTAAATGAAATATGTAAACTTCAAATTGAATAATAAATTATTAATCAATATTTTCCATTGTTACCGATTATTCAAAGTATAATTCACAGACAATATTAATTATTTAAGCTCATACTTTTCATTTTTCTTAATAGTAAAAAATAATTTTTTACATGTTTATATTGTTAACAATAAATTAATTATTATCCTAATTAATTATTAATTAATGTACCATTTTTCCAATACAATAATTTTTATTGAAAATTAATTTAAGTATTCTTTTTATTTTTATTATACCAGGACAAGATCATACTTTTATAAAACTTTTTTTTTAACAATATAAGTATCTTCACAGCCGTAGTTACATTATTTTATCGCTAATTGACAAATAACGACAATCAATTAGTATTTTTAATAATAGATCTGTGTCTATGAGGCATAACTTTGAATAAAAAGAAACAAGGAAAGCACATATTTATTAACGTAATACACAAGAACAAGTACAAAATTATCTTGTTTTTATTTGCTTTTTTCTTCTTCCTTTTTTAATGTAATTATTATATTAACTATAATTAAAATTTAATAAATTATTCTATATTAAAGACAATCTTACAAATATACTGAACTCTCCATGTTCAGTTTTTTAAATGAAAAATTTACAACAGTCAGGCCATCAATGGACACTTATTACCATCTTTCATCGATGTTAAATTGAATATTTATCTTTTTTTAAATTTCTATCGAGCGGATTTGAGTTTCCAACGGAGAAATAGATATGCTGCAATTCTTAATACCAAGAAAATTAAAATGAGAGCCAGAATATCAAGAGTAAAGTCAGCATCAAGCATATCCAGTTCTTCAAGTGTTGTAGTTGGTTCTTTGAAATGACAGTAAGCCTGAAAAAATATTTCAAATTAGTAATTTACTTATCTACACTTGAATAAAATCTTTAAATGATAACAAAGAATTCTTAATCATCATAATAAAGTCTATTATCGAGTAATAAGTGCTATTTTATGATTATAAAAAGATTAAAAAGAATAATTTAAAAATCTGAACTTTGTTTAAATTAGTTTCTTTTTCATTATTATTCACTGTTTCTAAGAATTATTAAAATGAAAAATGATAAATTGATAAATTTTATTTACCTGGAAGCACTTTAGTTTTGCTCGAGAAAATCCATAAGTTGCTAGAGCAGTACCTTCAAATCCATATCTGATATAGCTTAGATACGTTATCCACCTTAAGTAGATAGGTATCGCATCAAAGCTGACAAAGAATCCGGAGAAAAGTAAAAAAGGTACAGACATGACAGGGGCAAGGAATACTCCGTTCTGGACATTCATTGCTGCTCCAACAACTAATCCTACTGATTGAGCAACAAATGAGATGAGTAGACAAGCTCCAACAAACATACTGAATCTCATCGCATCCATCGGTTGACTTGTTAAAAAGTACACGATTACCAAGTACATTATACAAAACACGGTCTGAAATAATATAAAATCAGTATTAAACTTTTTGTTTCTTTTTCTTAATTGTCAGCTTAATATGATGATTCTAATCAGAATTAAAATTTTAAAAGTTGATACTCTTAATTATTTTATGGATTTCATAATATTGAAATATACTTGAAACACACCTGAAACGGTAGATCCGAGATAGTTATCGCTAGATAGTACGACTTTAATGAGTACCACCGATTAAAGTTTTCCTTCATCAAAACTGGCATTTCCAATGGAAATGATAAAATCGTTATGGTCATTGATGTGTACATAAGGAACAGCATGTTGAAGAAAAGGAATCCTAAATTACTCAACACTTTGCCTCCATCATTACCAATATCATAATAGAGAGCACCAATTAATAAACCAACAAGAATATGTGCAAATAATCGAAGATACATCAAAGTCCAATCTCGACGACTGAAGAGTAAAGTCCTTTTGAGGACGACCCAAAATTGAGTCAGCTCTGACGTAGGATATCTTTCTGGTGTTAAAATCATCGATTCATCCAATAAACTTGTATTTACATCAATATTATCTTTCTTTTCCTCTAATGTTATCACTAGTTCGTTGTGCTTAGCAATGTCATTCGTTGCATAACTTGGAATAATTCCGCCATTATTATGACTTTCATTAACTTTGTTTTCGGTATATTTTTCTTTAATATTACTGACGTCATTCTTATCTTTAATTTCATCATTTACGCCATATTTTTCATCCACATTTTTTGTTATTCCATTTACAGCCTGGATAGTGTTGTTCAAATTTTCTTCTTTTGTTTCTGGGAATGGAAATCCCTCCCTAATATCGTATTTTCCGTTCTTTATTGCTGCTACTAATTTTCCTACATTTTCACCATATTCTCCGCAAGACACTTCAATAACTAAAAAAATACAAAAAATATAATTTATAAAGAAATTTTATACAATAATACATTTATTTATTGAAATATTTTTGTAGAATAAATGATATGCTTACTGAAGGATGCAGGATTGTGGTAACTGGGACAATTTAATCCTTGGTATCGGAGGAATGGGACTAATTGTGATGTAGAACCTTGATAGACACATTGTCCTTCGGCAAGAGTATATAAAGCATCGAACATTTCGAAAAGTCGAGCACTAGGTTGATGGATTGTACAAATTATCGTTCGTCCACCTCGGGCCAAGGTTTTTAGAAGAGAAATACATTGAAAACAAGACGATGAATCTAGACCACTGTAAAAAAAATAGTCAGCTATTATTTCATGGTTAAAATGTTGAATAATAAAGTTATCAATTATTATTAAAATAATTTAGATTTGACGAAATTTTGGATTAGAAATTTTTTGTGCATTTACTAAATAAAAAGTTAATACACCCTGACATGTATGAGAGAAAAGATTAATAACTATCATTGTAATTTTTATTTATTAGAATGTGTACTGATTTTTACATGTAGTTTGAAAGTGCACGACATCACGTACATGTTACTATATTTTTCATGCTCCAAAAATTTTGATTTATGTTATTATTATGAATTATACAATCTTATCCACAATGTTATTACATGACTTCACTGTATTTTTTAGAGTACGAAGACAAGTTTGATAATAAAATTTACAAAACATTCCACGGAAATTTCCTTATTGCTCTTATATTACAGTCTTCGTTTGATTACCTCAAGTTTATAAACATATTACACCAAGAATTTCATTGAAAAGTTTATAATCAGGCTACTCTAGTGACCTATCAAAGTATTTACTAATTTAAAAAATCTCAAGTTTTTGGTAATCTCGATTATAAAAAATAAATTGGTTTATTTTAAATTTGAAAATTCAAAAAAATTTTATTTCCATTAAACTTCAAAAAACAACAGATTTTTTAATCAAGATATATTTACATTATGAATTTAAAAAATAAATAATAACTGAATTCCTTTTGAAAATTAAGTTTATAAATTGAGATACTTTTTCTAAAGCAACTATTTTTTTTAGCATATCCACTTTGATCGAATCAATAAATTGGAGCTTAGAATTAAAAAAAGGTATTCTTCTAAAAATAGTTACCACTAATTTATTATTTTTTTTTAAGCATAAAAAATGTAGGGTTATTTAAATTAGTTAAACCGTTTTGCGAGAAAGTAAAAAAAGAATAAATGAAAAAAAATCTAAAGACAAAGAAAAGAGGTCCAAAAAAGAAGCACACGTGAATCATCGCTTTCTCTCATATTTAAGACTTTTACTTTTTAGTATTGACTTTTTGTCTAGAACATTTGTCCGATTTATATTTCACCAAATTCTCTTGAAGACCTGCAGATTAAACTGGATGTCCTTCACAAGGTTAACAAGTGCAGTGAGTTAAAAAAAAAAAAAAGGTACTTGAAATGTTACTCACCTCGTGGGCTCATCGAAAAACATTATTGGAGGGTTGTTGACCAATTCCAAAGCTATAGACAATCTTTTTTTTTGACCGCCACTCAGATTTGAGGTCATCGTTCGACGATGCTCTGCCAAACCAAGTGTTTCGAGAATCTCTTGAATCTGTTGTAAATAATCAACAAATTAATACATAAACTACCCATAAATAAATAAACGTCAACAACTTAATGAATATTTACAGAATATTCTACTGCAATATTTACTCACCACTTCTTCTTTCTCAGTTTTACTGACTTTACTGCTAAGTTTTAGGCTTGAAGCAACTTTCATAGCTTCTTCAACAGTAAGATTTCCATGAAGTTGATTGTCCTGCATAATATAAGCTGATAACTTTCTGAAGGTACTTAAATTCCTCTCCATACCATTCATGGTTATGCTTCCTTCCATCCCAGTAGTTCTGTAAATAATTTAATAAGTCAATTAATATTTTTTCTTTATTATTTATTAAATACAACATTGTTTATTATGATCATGAATGTACTAGGGGGGAAAATCCCTTCAAGGTTAAAGCTAAAAGATTTCCGGTAGATATCACAAGGTTAAGAGATAATTCATTAGCTGCAGACCATGTTTAACCGGTTTGTCTTCCAGAAAAATTCAAGTATTCACTATCTGAAGGCAACTGAGTTATTGGTTTTGTGCAAATAATGAACTCTGCTCTTGAAATCTATTTTTTAATCTCTCAGTGCTATGATATCCTTCATAATTACCCTTGACATTAAGAGTAAGCAAATAAATAACAATCAGTTTTTATGTCGATGCTCTTTAACAGTTAAATTCCAAATCGACTTGTTAATTTCCCATAAAACCAGTGAAAACATTGGTAATAAAAAGAGAAGAAAATGAATATTTTTTTCTTGTTTTTGACTAAGATTTATGGACTTTCACTCGATTAATATTTTTTATTCGTCGTTTTATGTTCATATCCTTGAAAAAAAAACAATGCAAAAGCCATGACATTCAGCTCATGCTCATCTACTTAACGATAAACACTAGAACTGCCTTGACACCGTGTGCTGACCTGAAGATAGTCTTGCATGTAAATTGGAAAAGAAACACTGCTTGTATTGAATAAAAATAATCAATCTGAGACATTAGATATCATTCATTTAGATAAAATGATTATTTTATTAACAACGGTTGTCTTGTTTATTTAATAAAAACTTTGTATTTTAATTTATTCATAAACAAAAAATTACGTGGTTTTTTTACTGTTAGAATAATTGCACAAGCTGATGTAATAATTTAGAAAATTAGAAACTATCTTTCACTGCATTGCTGCACATATAATTGTTTTGTTCTACTAGAGCTACTAAAAGAAACAAGTTCTTCCTCATTTTTAAATGTTATAATAATAAAAGGAATCTCAGAAAAGCGTAGAAAATGGTTTGAGAAAGTGTTTAAAAAAAAAGAGATGTTTAATAATTATTTTTATAGTTATAAAACTACTTATAATCCAACAGTAGAAATGATGCTATAAAGGTCATAAAGGTTAGCCTATGAGTAATTCAAACTCATCACATGTATAAAAATAAAAAACAATTATTTTATCATTGGTTAACCTCATTGCTGATCTATCTTATCAATTTTATCTGTTTTACATATATGAAAAAAACTTATTCACTCTCGAAAGAGTACATATTGATGCTTCAGTTTACTCAACGAGTCATGCATTGTTTTATCATCGTATCATTTCCGTCAGCTATGGCAGGAAATCGCGACTTGTCAACTGGTGCTCGTGACGTAATTTCTATTTTTTATTCATTACCTTTCTTCAAAAAAAATTAATTTTCTTCCTTTTTATGCCAATGTTCCATATAAAAAAGGTACTTCATTATTGATATAAAAAATTTCCAATGCAGTTGATATGGAAATTACTCTAGAGTCCAAGACGTCATCTAAACATTACCATTACAAAAGCAATATCATTAATAAAAAATTCCTTGAATTATATTCAACTGCAACTTTGTTCCATTTAATTATTAGATAATAGTTGTCTACTGTTCAATTATCTTACTATCAATCAATCAATAATTTTATTAGATAACAAATGCATTAATTAAATTAGTTTAATAACAATAATTTAATTCTTTCAAGAAAAACCAATGGACTCTGTTGCTTTTAATTTTCAGAATAAACCTTCAATAAGTTTGGACTTTGATTTATGATTATTTTTCGTAAAACAGATTTTACCTAATCCTTTTAAGAGTTTAAATCCCTTTTATCAGCTATATGAAGTGATTAGCTATTTAACTGTTATCTTGGTGAGAATATATATACCAAAAAAATCCGATGTTATTTTAGAGAACAAAGATAATGGGTCGATGATACTTGATTAGCAAGTTAATATGATTGAGATTGCTAGATTAATCACTGATAGGTGTTTTAAAGTTTATTTGACTCCATTGTACTGACTTGTATCCAGTCAAGATGTTAAGGAGAGTAGATTTTCCAGCGCCAGACGGACCCATAATTGCCGTCAGCTCGCCAGACCGTAGTCTTCCACTAACGGACTTGAGGATAGTTTTTTCATCTGCAAAAAAAGAATAATAATTAAGCATAACTGAATATTAAATGAATGACTATGATTATTTATTCATTTTTATCAACCTTAACTTGAGATCTATCTATTGTATGAATGAACAAATGAGCTGATACAAAGTATAATGCTTAATTCTTGGTCAAAGTTCAGTTTAATCGTCTCTTTTATGATTCATATGGCTATAAATGTTTTATCTTAGAGTATTTAGTGATTTATTATAACATATAGAGCAATTAAAGAAAGAAATTAATAGCTGATTGTGATTTGAATTTTTCATTCCAGTTGCTGGACAGTAGCATAATAACGGAAGTAAAATGTCTTCAACTGTAGTTACATACGTTCTTTGTTATGTCATGACAGTTGACATTAATATTTGTATGTATTATTGTACGTATATACAAGATACAAAAGTATAAGTCAACTCTTGTAAGAAATACTAGAACTATTACACTGTTTACATTCATGTGTATTTAGAATACATCATTTTCAAGATATTGACTAATTAAATATTTGTTCATGTACATTAAGACTCATGCAGTTGTACTAGAGAAATTTTCAACAAACAATTATGCTCATTTAATTTTGTTTGAACAGGTTTTTAACAGTTTCTGCTTTCGAAATGTTTTTTTAAACATTTTTTCCTACTGTTTTGCAATATTTTGCCATTCTCTTTTTGAATATGATAATCTGAGGTTTTTAAAAAATTTTCTAACCTATAAAATATATGTATAATGATTCAACTGTTTTTTTTTTTCATTTTATTTAATCGAGTTGAACAATTATTCACTTTCAGATAATGAGTAGAAAATATTTAAATAAATTTATAAGTAGATAAGTAAAAAAATGTAAATTTAGAAGATGTTTATACATAATAAACTGAAATTTATTTTTAGATTATTTTCATTGATAATAGATCTCAAACTTAATTGATTTCGAAGCATTTCAAACTGTATTTACGCAACAGAGATTATTTAAAGTCTACTTGTTTTCAGTACCATAGTATTTTTTATTCCTCTTTATTTTGAAAAGGAGCGTACGTGCTCTAGGATCACGCACGAGTGGACGTGAGCTCGGTAATGTTTCGCAATAAGTTACAATGATTTGTCCCAGGTGATTTAAACTTATTAAGTTTAGCTTAAAAGAATAAGAAACATAAATGCATTTTTAATTTTGAATTTATAATAAATTCACTGATCACTGTTTTTTTTTAATAATAGTACGCAATTTGATTAATATAATCATTGCAAAATTGACTATTTAGCTGTTTCAGTCTGGAGTTTGCAAATCTGGCGTGATCAATTGAATGTAAAATGTTGCGAAATGTTGAGTTAATAACAGAAACTTAAAATCATTCTACTTTGACTGTAAAGTTCTAGAATAAGAAAGTAAATTCATTGTAGTATTTCTTTACATTTTGACGGTTTTGTAAAATTATAAAAACAATTAATAAGTAATTAGCACTGAACATAATGCTAAGATAAGAAATTTGATGACATCAAAACATCTTACATAATAAAAAGTAATATAATTATTCATAACCATTAATTAAATAACTCATTAATAATTTTTTTTTTGCTTTTCATCCTTTAACTAAACATAGAATTGACTCTTTTATTATTTTCAAAAAATATAATATAATATTGTTCAATAGAAATTTTTATGGTCTTTATTCATTGTCACATTGTTGCAATAGTGCTAAAATAAATGCTAGGTTGGTCTTTCTTATGACTCAAGTTTGTAATCTCTTTTTTTATGACTCATCTAATAGGGTAGCAACATGTAAAACCTTTTAAACAAATATAAATAAATAAACTTTTTTATGAATTTGTATATAAAATATAAACAATCATATTAATGATAAAAATGGATAACAATACAATGGAAATTGATAAAATAATCTGCTGTAGGAATGAAGGTTATAAATTTACTGATTTGAACTATAATTATTTACTTAAAATTACTGCTTATACCACAGACTTTCTAAATTTATATTCAGATTTATTATCAATCGTTGAAATATTTTTGCTTAATAGCCAATTATTGTATTGTCATTATTTTAGGTTACAATTATCAATTGTTTTATTTGATAAACAAGAGTATTGATGACAATGTCATGCTCCAATTGCTTACATTACCCACATTGATAATCTTGATTTTATTTATTATGTTGATCCATCATTGGATCATAGTCCTTTAAAATAGAGGAAATTAAAAAATCCAATTATCTGCATAACAGACATAAATAAAAATCAATTTCTCATTTAATGTTCATCAGATGTATCATTATTCCAATTCTGCTCGAATCCAATAAACGATTATCTAAATTTCATAGTGAATTTTCCATTTCTTATGATTAGATTTGATTCGATATAGATGTTTTTAATAACCATCTGCACACTAATTGAGCTCAAGATTATTACAAAGATGTAGAGATACGTGTATTATATCGTGTCCACTTTCCAAGAGACATTACTCAGATCTGGCGTCATCGCGAGATCGTTTATCTATCTTGCAAATTAAATTGCGTATTTCTTCAGTTGCTCAAATTTCAAAATTTTATCCTTAATTATATCCTAAAGGATTTAAATAAAATTCTCACTCTTCCATGTCATTTTAATTAAGGACTTTATTGCAGCTAGAGGTCAAGCTTTTAGCATATAATAGTAATAAAAAAGTGGTCTCTTCGTCCTTTATTTTTTTAGATTTTTTTTTCTGACGATTGAACATCAAGACGCTTTTATGTTGATAGTAAATGCGGTCACGGCTCACATTGTTGACAATACTCATCATTATATTGCGATTTGGCAATCACTTATGCACGGCTATCGCTTCTGGAATACATTCATATTCTTTTCTTTCTAGTATAAATAACGAAAAAGAAACTAGTGTGTAGGGAATAAAGTTGTATTTGCGGTTCGCTGCACTGCGATAATCTTTATCGAGAACTTTCTCACATTGCAGTTAATACCAACTAACTAATAACATTTTAATAAGAATGTTGAAAATTTATACTAGATACATTCCATGATTAGTTTGAAAAATTTTCTCTTACTACATCTCCGAAACTCAATCACCACTTCTCCAGTTTCCAATACTTTCATTTAAGCTATCACATTTGAAAAAAAAGATTTTTTCTAATAATTGCGGTCAATTGGTGCTAAGTCTTTCTCTTGAAAGCACCAGTGACTTTTAAAAGTAGAAAGAATTGTGTAAATAAATGCATAATTGTTTAAATAACCGGTTTTGTCTACGTCTGATTTACAGTCATACTGAAAATTGAAGAAAAAATTATGTTAATAACACCCGCATGCTGTAATGTGTCGTACATAGTGTAGATAGAGCACTTTCACTAGGTGGTCAATGTCATCATAAACCAGTTTCTAGTCTAGTTACTGTACCACCAATAATGATAAAAAACTGCAATTCGATGAGATTGATATATAAATTCCATCACACTTATTATCAGTACATTTCATTTTATTTAGCACAAAGTTAATAAATAAATTAATTCATCTGGTTAATTAAAAATGTTTGATGTTAATTTATCAGTAATTACTTACACATGTAATTGGATGGAAAAATTGAAAGAATATCTTGCTTTTACTTTACCACAAAATATATAATATGATGATAGTAGAATTCATCATTCATTATTATCATTGAGTATTTATTATTTTTATTTTATTATTATATTAAATTGAATTATATTTTCTTGTGATTTAAAAAAGTTGAATGTACGATTAATAGTAAAGAGATTTGAGTTAATTTAAATTCAAATGAGGACAGTGTATATGAGCTATAAATACAATTTAATAGCTTTTATTCATTATTTATTGTTTATTATCATCATGAGAGATTGGCATAAATTTTTTCGATCAAGACGTGAGATGTATATTTTTTGCATCAGACATTTATTATTAAGAATGATTTTGTAATCCTTTTTATATTTTTCAGGGTATCCAAAGACCTTGGAGGATCTCAATAGTAAATTGGTGGCATAATTTGTGTGTGACTTTAAAAATCATTGTTGAGTTTTTACTCTCTTGTCTTCAAACTTTTATAAATGATTGTAAAAAAAATTATACAGTAATATATTTTTTGAAAAAGATTGAAAAATCTTCATCATTCTTTCAATAGCATAAACTTGAAATATTAAAAACCGGTTCTTGATATTTTATTTTTTCAATTTTTGCTGTCTGCTAACTTTGCTATTCAATTTTTTTTATTTATCTCAATCAGCTCAATAATTTCAACTCATCATTAATATAATATCGAATGAGGAATGGAAAGAATTCTTGAAAGACCTAGAAAACCTTGATGACCCTCAGATGCATTTAAGACTTCACTCTTGTGATTGATATTTAATGTTCAACATTGCAAAAAATATAGGAAAAAAAAAACTTTAATCATGAATGAAGTTTTTCCGAGCAACAAATTGATTACAAATAATGCATCAATGATAAATAAAAAAATCTGAAACAAATGTAAGTATTATTTTCTAAAGACAATAATTAATTACATTTAGATTTCAATAGAATAATTTGAAATGTAAAAATAATTTAATGATTTTAAGTTCAAGGACTAAAAATATATTATTCATTAGAATAATAACCAATGAATATTGTGGTCTTTCAAGAAAGTAAGCAAAACAAGGTAGATTAATGAATCATAAAAAATTCATGAATTGAGATTAAATAATCGAGTGCACAGATGTAGTGAATGAAACTTGAAAATGCGATTAGGTAAGATAATTTTAGTTTTGTAACGATAAATTACATCCATTCATAATAAGTCATGGAAAACGGTTCAATACTCTGTCATATAAGTCGATTACTATTTATTAAACTACCGGCACAAAGTCGAAATTAGATATATTATTACTAAAACACCAGAGTAAAATCATTAGCACATATTTTAATCCTTTCACAAATCAATCCTATCAATTAACATCATTTTTATTGAATAATAACCTCCTTAATAGCACTTTTAAAATAATTAAATGTATGTAACTTTGTTTTTCAAGTTCCAACTTTTATTATCAAATGAATTGAATGTTCTTCATCAATCATTTTAAAATATTCATTAATAGCTCATAATGATCAACAAGATTTTTTTTTTTTTAATTTAAAATAAGTAAACAATTTTTAAAAAACCCCAGCTAACAGTATTATCAATAAATCATCATAAGAAATGAAAAAAAATATATCTGAACTATTTACTTACTTCCTTTACGGCCTTCTCGGACTTTGTACATTAAATCCGTGAACGCAATATCAACTGGTGGTCGTTTTGGCAAATGAGTAATAGTTTTAGGTTGAATCGGCATAATCTGGACTCGTACAACCGATGTTTTCCTTGGCTGCAGTAGAATCCCATTAGCATCATCATCCCTTGAACTGTTACCCTCGAGCTTCATTTTGATGAAAATTCTTCAATTTCTGTTGATTGAAGATATAAATTTATCTTCAGAAATGTTGTGATTTTCAATTAATCACCGTCTTCACCATCAAATAATTCGATTTATTGAGCACCAATTCATAAAACTCTTCACCACCTGTAAGAAATTAAATACTTAGTATCAAGATAACATGATTGATACCATGGTAATTAAAGTCTATTAAGTAAAATGATTGCATTTAAAAATGACAGTAAAGTAGACCTTCGATCTCTTTGCGTAATAAAGCAAAGAATAAATTGCTATTCTATGATATTTTTTATAATCTTTTAACTTGATATATTTTTAATAAAAAAAAGTTCGCGAAATCTGGAATTTAAAATACAGATTGAACAAGTAATCTAAATTTATTAACATTAATAATATTATGATATTAAAGGTAGAAGTAAATTTATCGTGAATAATGAATTAAAATAATTAATAATAATAATGATAAAAATGAAAAAGAGTATAATGTAATTCATCGATTAAAATATAATTAAATTAATTATAACAAAATGAAAGAACTCACATTCTATTTCATTTCAATGAAAGACACTTATATAGAGTACATAAATAATTGTAGTGTACTTTTTTTTAAAAAAGAATAATCAGACGAATATTCTGTTATAATGTTTTATCTAGCTCTTCACGTATCACAACTATGGTTAATGAACAAAGATGCGCGTTTTAAGATACTGTTTGATCTCGATTATTTATTAATTTATCAATTATTTATAAGTTGATTTGACGAATTGATTTATTAATATATTTTTTAGAAATTTATGTAGTGAAGTTGAATCGGAGCAGAGCGGACGCACTAAGCTCCAATCCTGCGGAGTTTATGCTACCGCGGTTGAAGACGGACTGACTTTACTAAAGAGGCATGAGATGGCCGTCACCGTTGACCGTCGATCTGTTCATATCGCGGCACACTCTACGTAGAAGGGAAAAAGTCGAATGAAGACCAGACCTGGTTGTGTTCAAAGTCGACAGCGTTTCTGACATTTTTCACAGATGCCAATTAATTTTTGCACTTTTTTAATCTCTGTTATTTTTTAATTACAATTTTTTTTTACAAATAATTTTTTTTCTTTCAAGTCAAAATAAATAACAGTTGTAAGTATTAATTAATAAAATTGCATTAAAATTATTTGGTTTTATAAATTGTTTTTTATATCTTAAACATTAGTGTATTCAATGATTTTCATTATTTTTGAAAAATATTTTAAAGTAACAAAAAATTGTGGAATTTTTTTTATATATGTAATTAACAAAGAAATAGTTTTTTTTTTTTTTATAATTTTAATTTATGAACTCGATTTAACCTTGGTTTTGAGAATAGGACAGTTATCAAATTAACTAGAGATTGTTTGGTTTAGTCTAAAGCTAACTTATAAATTAGTAAAGATTATTTAATCAAGTCTATAAAAAGATTAACAATTATGTTCACTAAAATAACGATAAAACCAATCTAATTTAAGATTAAAATAAAATAAAAGATTTGAACAAAAATTTTCCACATATTTTCCTCATCAATTTTCACAGAATTTGATGACTATAAAAATCGTGATACTATTCAACAATTTATAATAGAATAATCACAATGAATTATTGAATGAAGCACTGGAATATTTATGAATTTCTATAACACTCTATGATTGAATTCTTGAATTTTTTTCCTAGAAGAATATCGTAGTTAAATATTGCCTGAAGATAAATGGATGCAATGTCTATATGCAAAGAAGCTTTTTTGTATCTTGGAGATCGACTGTATCCAGAAGTTCATACTTGATGAACGATGAAGACAAATCAAGTTTTGGACCTTGAATGCAAGTATATCCATTTAATAATAGTGCCTTTTTTGTGTAGCATGGCAAAGAATAATTTCTGTACATTCAAAAGATATTCATATACGTAAATCTATCAAATTGTTATACGCTTATTTGATTTTTTGATACGATATCATACAGAACAAGTTTTCAAGTACATTATATACACTGTGTGGCATACATTTAAAACAATCTTCAGTTTCTCCCACTATTTTTCATTCACAAAAAATAACGTCTGAGTTTTATAGACCATTAACTACTTATAATAACCTCCCCCTCTCTCTCTCCATAAATAAAAAAAATTAATACAAGTAACGGGTTTTTTTTCTTACTGAATAATTTAAAGCTAATTTAAAATTGCTCTCATCACTGCATTAAAAGTTCATTCAATAAATAAATAATTTACATTTTTAGAAATATGTTAAAAGTTAAACAAATATTTAGATTTTTATAATTAACTTGTGTATTTATTTATTTAAATTGTTATCACTTATGCTGATAGAATAAAAATTGCCTTCCTCGTGTTTTTAAAAGAATACGATTATAAGAGCGTGAACTGATAGATAGAGTAATTTTTGATGTTAGAATGACGAAATAAAAAATCACGATTCATGGGCGTCACGAAGCACGTGTAAAGAATGCCAAGAGTAATATATGACATTAATGATAGCTACTTGATGCACTTGAGTGTTTTTGTAAATCTACTGTCTAAGTTTTAGTTTACATTTTCTATTGAAAAATAATGTAAGAATATTGTCTAACTTCACTTTGTTTTTTTTTTTTTACAAACAATTAGTTAATTGTCATTCAATATAATTCAATGATGGGTGGTCAATTAATAATTTAATATGTATACTAGAGTGTTGAGTGATGTTGACGAATTAAAATGTCAATGTTACGCTAAGTTTACTTTTTGATATGTTAATTTCAAAGGTTATCTAGATTTATTGCGTAAATTTCTATGATATAAAAACGTCTACGACCTTTTTGAAATTAACGGAAATATGTTTTCGTTAATAAGAAGTTATTATTTAATGTAAATAAAAAGTAATAATTATTTTAAAATAATTAATGTGTTATTTATACCTTATGGAAATAGAACATAAAAACACAATAGCATGAATACAAGACAAAAATAAATGTATTCTTGCGATTTAATATTAATAAATACAATATATATTGTACTGATATAGACAAAGTGGCAGTTTAAAGTCCACAGTGATCAATACTCTTGTTTTATTCGCACATGAAGTCGAGCATATGATAAAAAAAATATCATATATTGTTATTATTTCACATCATATTGATTAATACTTCAATTAAATAGACATTTAATAAGTAATCAAATTTACTAGAAAATAATTTTTAATTAATAAAACTTGCTATGTAGTTGCATGTTTGATGCTTTGTTACTCCTCTTCATTATTAAATCAACATTTTTCCTGATTATGATGATGATGATTCATCTAATCAATGCAAGATTTATAAGAATCCTGAAACTTCCATCTTCTATAAAACCATGTTAATTCTTGATTTTCAAAGTGATGGATTACGCACTATTATTAGTAGATTCAATATATTATTTTAAATCATCTAGAATTAAATACATTTGAATAAGTTTAAATTAAAATTTCAATAATCTATACTAGATTTCTTTGCTATAAAAAAAAATTGTAAAATATAATAATAAATATTATAACTTCATTTTTAATTCATTCATGATACTGTAATTATTTTGTTTGTCTTTTTTACTTGTAAATAATAACCTGTTATTAATTATGAAATAATAATTGTACGAAAAAATAAATGTATGTTGTTTCATGTTTAAAAATGGTTTGTAATATAATAATAAAAAATAATATTATTAACAATGAGAAGTAGAAGAAAAAATATTAATAAAAAAAAAATAGTAATAGCTTCCTCATTTCAACAAGCATTTTATGACGAAATGAGATAAACCTCAGCTCAAAGTTCTTGTTAACATATCATAGATAAAAATTATAAATAATCAATTGCTTTGGATATGTATTGTGATTTGTTATCTGACCCACCACAATTTTATATCGATTAAACAGATGCATAATTTGAAAAATTTCCCCTTGTCAAATGCATTTTTTAATGATGATGCATATAAGTGAATAGAATAAAATGATAAATTGGTTTCTTGATGTTGTCAATGCTTGAAAAATACATGATTCTATTGTTGAAAAATAATAGAAGAAAAGAACGTTGACAAAGGATATGGTGAAAGGACGACGTACCAGTGAGAACTAGTTGTTGATCATTGACCGTAAAGAATGACGCGATCTTGACTTTCGCGAAGAAAGAGAAAGACCCTCAACCTGACCGCGGCACTTAGAATGCAGTATTTATTCTCTCATCTCTCATCTTTCCCTTTGTAACACTTACGAGAGAAATTACTCGTATAACTGACAAAGCAACGGTTGAAGAACCTCGTTAATCAGATTCAAACATATATCTGATCATCTCATATTGCTATTTATTTTGTTCAATTCGAGTATAATGTGTGACATGTAATGGTAAACACAACTATGAAGGAAAATATTTGATTAGTTGACATATCTGTTTGCTTTCTTAAATGTGTACACGAACTTTTTTACTCACCAGTTAACAATACTTTGAGTAGTGTAATAACCTTAAAGTTGATAATTAGGATAATTATATGAATTTACTTATTAAACTAACTAATATTTTTGGGATAAATATTAAAACCATGATATTACAACTTCTTGCTCCACTTTAATAGAACTACGAACGTCATTCTTGCCCATGTTTATCACCATTTACAAATACAAACACATTCTAATTCAGACCTTGAGAAACTAAACAATTATGGCGACTAAGGTTACACTAAGAAATTACTAACTGTCGGTATTTATATTAACGGCAAGTAAAGTTAATTTGTAAAGATAAATAATTACGCATGATAAATATGTAGTTCATTATCGATAAATCGATAAAAGGATTTGATTCATTTAAATCAAAGTTTGCATGTAAGTATTATAAAATAATGATTTTAGCTAAATATTAAAATTATTGGTTAATTTCTTAAACCGAATTAAGAAAATGAATTTATTTTTTATTCTATAAAAAACTGCACTAATTTTTATCACTATTTATTTATTAGATTGTTTATTGATATATATATATATATAAATTTTAAGGGCTAAAAATTTATTTATATTATATTTATTGAAATAAATTAAATTTTTCACATAAGCTCAAAAAATTCGCAATCATTATTTTACATCATGACTGATTTCATATACGATTATTGAAGTCTTTGATAAACTTCGTAGCAACAAGTTAATAAATGATGCAGTTGCAATTCTAACCTACCCTCATGGATTCGAAAAACTGAATATTTTATATTTACTTAGTGTTATTATAGTATAATTTATTTACAAAATCCATATACAATGATAATATATACTATGCATTATCGTTGAAATAACGTAAACAATTGAATAATTCGCTATAAAATTAAAATTTGAGATGATTTCTCTGTCTCCTTTATTGAAACATCAGTATGTATGCGACTGGTATAGAGGGAAGATTGATTATTGCAAATCTTAAAGAATACTCACGAAAGAATGTAAAATTTTGTTGATTTTTGAATTTATATTCTTTCGTCAGATAAATATATTCTCTGATCTCATTTTTAATGTCAGATGGCAGTCATAGAATGGCATCAGTTTTTAAATAATTTTTTCAAGATTTACCTCCGAAGCCACCCATTAAATTACCCATACCGCCAGCAGCTCCTTGTTGAAGTTGTTTCATCATGTTTTGAAGACCCATCACTCCGCCTGATATAACAAGGATTTTTCATTTGAGGTTCACTTATCTTCCATTAAAAAAATGTAAAATACTCACCCATTTGATGCAGTACTCGAGGATCCATCATTTTAGCCATCTGTTGATTCAACTTAGCCATTTGGGTTTGATTGACATTTTTCGTCATGTCACCACCCTTAAATAATCCTTTAATACCACCCATTTTTTTAACTACTGCTGCAAATTTCGTATACTGAGCAATAAGATCCTTCACTTCTTTTTCAGTTACTCCAGAACCATGTGCTAGCCTTGTTATTCGACCAGGTTGTTTACTAAATAATTTAGCTCCATCTCTACTATCCAATTCAGCATCATTCATACTATCCATAATTGTCATTAATCTTTTTAACCTTGCCATTGAATCTTGTTCTGATCCTTTTGACATAAAATCTTGACTGAAGCCAGGAATCATTCCCTGAAAATTTTTATTCAATTAATGATCAATCCAATAATAGAATAAATAAAATTAAGATATAAAGAAACTCACTAATATTTGAGAAAATGGACCCATCTTCATAATATTTTGGAATTGTTCGTACATATCTCGTAATGTAAATTGACCATGTTTTATTTTCTCTAAAAGCTCTTCATTTTCGTCAAGGTTCAGCTCATTAACTTTATCGATCAATCCTTCAATATCTCCCATGCCCAATAATTTGCTAATAAAAGGCTTTGTTTTAAATGGCTCCAGATCATCAATATGTTCTCCAGTACCAATAAAGATTACTGGACTTTGGGTTGCTGCTACTCTATAAATTGAATACTCATTTTATCAAACTTTGGTCCAATAAATTTTTCTACAAGAAAATAAGATCCAATACATACGCAGATAAAGCTCCACCACCTTTAGCGTGGCCATCTAATTTTGTGATAATAATTGAACCAACATTCACTCGATCTTTAAAAGCTTTTGCTTGTGATTCACAAGCTTGACCTATAGTTGCATCCATGACGAAAATTATATTATCCGGTTGCTGTAAAAAGAAATCAACGATAAAGTAATGTTTATAGGATTGAGTAAAAATAATTTTAACATTTTTTCCAGTACTTACAACTGCATTTGAAACTTGTAACATTTCTTCAAATAAAGATTCTTCCTGTTTATGTCTACCACTAGTATCAACAATAATGATTTCATAGCCTTCTTTTTTAAACATGTCTACACCATCTTGAGCTATTACAACAGGATCTACTTCTGTATAACTAAAACAATATGAAGATTATTGTATTACTTTTATTGTGAATGATAAAAAACACCATTAGCATATTGTTCAGCTTAAAATGATGAGTTACCTTCCATAGAATGGTATCCGAGCTTTTGTGGCATTTTGTTTAATTTGATCGTATGCACCAGCTCGGAATGTGTCAGCACAAACCAAACAGGCTTTCCAATTTTTTTTTAAATAATAGTAAGCCAATTTAGTACATGTAGTAGTTTTACCCGCACCTTGTAAACCAACAAACATGATAACGTTTGGACGACCTTTCACTGGTTGATATGCTTTTACACCAGGATCAATTAACTATTAGAACATATAAACATTCCATTAGAATATTTAATATTTATTATATTTTAAATAAACAATAATTACCTTAACAAGTTCTTTGAATACGGCACTTTGGATCATCCTCCGTTTATTAAGTCCACCTGCCATATCTTCGAAATCAATGACTGCTCGTACATTTTCTCGTAATTTTTTAACCAAATGAATATTGACATCAGCTTCTAATAATGCTGCACATATTTCTTTCAGCATAGAATTTAAAACCTTTGAAAATTATAAAACAAATTTGGTATATTGACATTTTCAGTTAAAAATAAATAATATTCAATATCGCAGTATTCTTAATATTTAGAATAATATTAGAATTTGCATATTAGTTATTTATTTATTAGTTAATACATTTTATTATGAAGAAAAATAATTAATTATTCCATCTGTTTACAGTATCATTGTCAAAACGTATTTACCTCCTCATTGATGACAGTTGCATTACTGAGTGACCGTAATGCGGACGTAATTTTACGCCCTAGGTCTGCTAAAACCATTTTTGTACTTTAAATCAATTACTAGTTTTTATAAAAATGTATTTTATTCACAGAATTTAGCATACAGTAGAACTCAAACGATTTTAGGCTAGAATATAACAAGTGAAATTACTCTATTCTGTTAGGGCCAACTCGACATGACGATACTTCCGGTACGCCATTACCACTGAAATTTAAAGGACGCTTTTTTATCAACTAACCATATTATTACCTACAAACAAACATGACATATGTATACTCAACAAGTGTACATTTTATTTTATCTGCGTATGTCGTCTTATTGCAATTGTGAAGCGTAGAAGATTTATTTTTTCTTCTGTTGTTTGAGATTTTATCAATAAAATTAAAATGTCTCTGTGGCGTATATTGCCACCGAAATTGTGCGTTAAACCAGCACAGAGTTTGTCGCAGAGTGTTCCTTGCTTATTCTATCATCCAAATGTAAATACATTTATTACATAGATTATTTACTTTTGACGTTAACTAAAATTAACCTATATTTTTGACATTTTTCATAATATGTTGAAACATGCAAGTGCAAATGAATTGCATATAATATTAATTGATTAAAAAAAGTATTGATTTTATTTCAGGTACTAGATCATTACGAAAATCCAAGAAATGTTGGATCATTGGATAAAAATGATAAACAAGTGGGTACCGGTCTCGTTGGAGCTCCTGCATGTGGAGATGTTATGAAATTACAGATTAAAGTTGATGAAAATGGAAAAATTATTGATGCAAAATTTAAAACATTTGGATGTGGATCAGCTATTGCTTCAAGCTCTATTGCTACCGAATGGGTCAAGGGAAAGACGGTAATTATTTCCTCTAGAATATTTTTAATGAACTTTACGATATTTTTACTGATAGATTTTTTTTGTAATTAGGTTGATGAAGCTTTAAAATTGAAAAATACTGACATTGCAAAAGAACTTTGTCTTCCGCCTGTCAAGCTGCATTGTTCGAGTAAGTTTATTATGTGTCATTATTGCCAAATGAAATAACTTGATGTACTATATAGTTATCAATTTTTATTATTAGTGCTTGCGGAAGATGCAATTAAAGCTGCATTGTCAGACTACAGAATTAAACAACAGAGTAAAAAAACCGATGACTAGTAACAGAAGAAAGTTCAACTAAGGACGATATTGAATCATTCGTTTTAGATATATAATAGCAGAGATTGGTAACAATAAAATTTAATTATATAAAGAGGTAATCATAAAAATAAATTAGATGTAATTGCTTATTTTAAAATAAATAGCATATACATATTTATAATTTTATTACGAAATGAAATTTTTTTATTTATATAATAAATAATTTTCTTTTGTTTTTGTAGAATTTAAAATATCAACCATTGTAATTGGAGTAATTCAAATATTTTCATTTGTAATATAAACATTAAGTTTGTTTGCATATTTCTTTATTATTCATGATCAAAATTACAAATATTACTTAAAGAGATAGTTTTTCAAATGATTGATAATCATAAACATGTATATATCTGTTTAATTATATCACAATCAATTTGATTACAAAATAAATAAATTATTCATTGCAACTTTTTTTTTAAAGTTGTATTTAAATCACAAATTTCAATATATAAATCTTCACATTATAATTACACAGTAATAAGAAAAAAAAATTGGATCGCTTAAAAAGGAAAGAAGAAAAATATGAATGGAATGCAGTAAAAAAGGAAAAGCATTAGAATCCAATCTGAAAACTATTATTAGTCATGGCATGCTGTGATCACTTTTAGATGTTATATTATTCATGGTATTCCTCAAAGAAAATTCTGGTACACAAAAAATTTTTATAACGTTTTCGGTTTGAAAAAAAATAATATAACATTGAGACGTTTGTTTATGTTACTTTTTTCTCAATATTTAAACTGATATGAGAAAAAATATTTTCATGAATCTTTCAAAGATTCCGCCTACAACATTGATGACGTGCTAGTTATATTTAATTGTATCTACTCGATTGCTATACAGAGTCACGGTGCAAAATGACCATGGAAATATCAAGGACATGACGAGATACATTCATGACATGGAGTGAAGCAAATGCGTCTCCATGTCTTGTTCAACGAAGAATGACGTCATTTATACCTCAAAACTTATCGCCCTTTATCGCTTTTCACTTTAATGTTCGTGAGAATACCATAAATATACTTAAATAAATTATTTATAAGTTTATAATAATATAGTCAATATGTATTCATATTTACAACAAATACTTTGTCTATATATGGAAAGATTTATGCATCAATTAACTAATTTGAATCATTGTCGATGTGCTTTTAAATTACGTTGGCAAACGGGTTACATTCATTTATTTCATAAGTGCAATACATAGTCCAAATGATGATATCATTTGTATCAACATGCAACTGGAGAAAATTTGATCATTCACATTTAGTCTGGATAGCATGACATTGACATACTTATACATAAATGTTGATACATATTTTTTACTTATAAAGTCAAAAGATCCTTAGGTAGGGTAGTTCTATATTGTATAAAAAGTTATCAAGTATTGATCGAATATACATTAGATAGAACGGATACGCTAGTTGAAAGTATGTAAATTGATTTAATCGATTCTATGGAATAATTAGACATAATTAATGCTTGAGATAAATACTTTTCCACGTTAAAAAGCCGCTATAATATCATTATTTTTCAATATTTAATTAAACATAAATTATATTTCATTTTTCACATTCTTCGACATGGAGTTATCTGAACAGATAATTTAATTAGCTCATGGAATTAAGTATAGTAACATCATCTATTAAGTTTCCTTTTTAACTCAAGACAAAATCAAATAATCTAAAATAGAAAGACACCTCATACTCTTCGTACCACGTCGAAGCTGGTGATGCAAACAGCTCTGCTATGCCGTTAATATGCTCGTATCGTCACGTGTTTATTCCGAGACACGCTAAGAATCAACATACATACTACATCCCCCCACTTGATTGCTTGTGCCTCCGCATTTTTTTCTTATGCATAGCTGAGTACAAATAATTCTTCTTGATATTTCTAGAAAAGCTGTTAACAAATTATTCATTTTTTAGAAATTGATTTAATAAATTAAATAAATTATTGAAATCTTCATATATTTTATCAACATTGTTTTTAAATATTCATTTAAAGTTAATACTTACATTATTTTATGTCTGTAGTATAACACCAGATGATGTTTTGGAGATATGATAATGGAGTTTATTCAGTTGTACATATTATGAAGTAGACGATTGCTTGGTAATATTGTTGGAACAAAAGTCCTTGTAATTATTTAGTAACTAAGTGTTAATAATATAGAAAATAAGGAATATTATATTTGAAAGTCTTTTTTACTTTCATATATTTTAAATGAGTTGGTTAAAAAAAAAAAAAATTTACATGCAAATCATTACTTACTTGGTAAAAAAAAATTTTAATTCATCCTAGTTTATGTTGATAATTACTGTCCATTTTTACATTTGTCTTCATTGACATAAATAATTTTATTAGTAATTGACTAAAAGAAAACTGAGACATTTCAAAAAAGTATTCCAACTCCAAACTAACTTTGAATTAATATGATTAGTCATCTCGATTAAATTGTAACTAGAACATAACATTGATTCATTGATCTAAATTAACTCTTGTCATAAATTTTCAAAAAGCTTCTATATTCGATAGTTTGAAAAGAAGAAATATTTATAATAAATTGAAGAAGGATAAAAGTCCCAAATTTATATCAGGTATCTTGAACATTCCAATTGTTCGTTCTATTACGGAATCCAGCGTCGAATTCGGCCGGTATGATCCGAAGTAATCCGAACACCCACGAACTATCTCACGAACGAGCTGTCGCTATTTAAGGAGTAATAAGCGACTTACGCCGCTCATTCCCAAACCTTAAACTCGAAAGTGATTTTGTTGTCAAGTCAAGAATTAAAATTAACTTTAATCTGGTGTCTATCAATTAAAGTGTGTGATATATATATAAAAGTGTCATTTATTGAAGATTTAATTGAATAAATTCACAAAAATGGCCGACAGTGGTATTAAACGTAATATTCCTATTAAACTTGGTGACTTCAGCGTCATTGACAGCGAGTTCTCCAACATTCGTGAACGTTTTGATGCTGAAATGAGAAAAATGGAGGACGAAATGGCCCGCTTTAGAAGTGAACTCATGAACCGAGAAAGCAACAATTTTTTCAAGAGTACTACTAGGTAAAGTTGGTTCATTTTCAAGAAATTAATAAAAAATTAGCTACTTGAAACTTGCATCAATAAATTTGTATTAAGAGAAAACTATTTGAATGTTTACGCGGGTTTATTGTTAGTAAATGAACATGAGGTTGATTAATTAATAATTTATCCGGATGACAAAATGTAAAATATTATAGAATAAATTAAATTATATGAAATAAAACTGACATTTTTGCTATATCATCAATTAAAAAACGTCATCAAATAATTGAAGGGAAAAAAATCATTAGTTATAAGACAAATGGTCAAAGTTCTTGATAAAAAAGATTTAATTTCTAAAAAAAGATAAAAAAAAATAGTATTTTATTTATGATGATGACAATAAATAATTGTTAAGAGCAGCAGAGATCATTTGATATGCATCAAAAAATCGATATCTGTTTTACTTCTACGTAGAATTTAGGTACCCAATTCTCAAGATTACATTTGAAGTTGTTGAATATTTTATATACTTTATTATGACTTAAATTACATCCTTATTAATTAAAAACATTAATTTATAGTGTTTAGCTCATTGAAGTAATTTAAGTGATTATTAGATTTCTCTTTCACCATTGATATCTTTACCTTTCACATTTCAGAGCGAATGAAAATAGCTCCATAAACAAATTGATGGGAAGCTAAACAATTAAACACTGATTATGTTGAATATTCTAGACATTGTATTACAATATTTACATGCTGTTATTTTTAGAAATTAAGTCATATCGGTCAAAAAGCCGACATTTAAATAGAAGGATTCTATACACAAAGCTTTTAGAGATACATACTATGAACGAGAGATGTACGTACAAACGTGAACCATTATGTGCTCCATTCATCAACGAAGCATTGAATTTTATAATTTCTAGTATTTAACTGAAATTAAAAAGTAACTTTTATAAGTATTTATTTAACAAACATATTAAATAAAATATTTAAAATTTAAATAATTAGGTGAAGGAAAAAACATTCGAAAAAACTTGATAATTTTTTTGAAACACAAATTATGAAATGTTTATATTTAGCAGACCTACACAGACTCATGTCACTCGGATTATTCAATGCGTTTTATGTTTAATGATATAATAAACGTAATCGAATTTTTAGGTAACTGAAAACTAATTTCATCTATGACATCATCAAAAATTTTAATGATTCATATCACTTTGAATATTTAATTATTCAATTCCTATTTTGTTTAAACTAGACTTCAAATTATTCTTATTCATAAAATATTTTTAAATAATACCAACACAAGTTTGTTTTTTTTTTCTTACGTTTAATCACACCTTTTGCGCAGTTAATTTTCAAACGTTGTCGCGGTTGGTTTAATTACATGTGATGCCAAAATATTATTTTTTACATATTTATTTTTAAATAATTTAAAAAAATTAGTTGGAATTTAAAATAAACTTTGTACATATAAATATTTTAACTAACAATAATGATGTTTAATCGAGATTTATATCCACATGATCACAAAACTTTTATTCAATGTTGGTATGTGATTGAAATTAACTATTTATTATGTAATTAATGACTTTTTTTATATAACTGCAAATATATTTTGTTCATATCAGAAAAATTTTATCGAATTCACTAGGTATATACCATAAATCTCTCTTAATTAACATCTAAAATTAGTCTATGCAATTTGAATTTATTAGAGAAAATAATTTGGCAGGAGTTGAACAGTTAATCCATCAAATTTGATAGATATTTTGCAATAAGGGTTCGTGACTTGTCAGTGCTTCAGTCTAAAAATATAAAACGAGGTTTTCATAAAATAAAGTCATGGTTAAACCATTGGATCAAATTTACAGCAGACCCTAGAGTATAAAATTTCAAAGTTTCCTTCCTTTGATTAATACCTAGCATGTGCGATCCTCCATGTACTTTAATAAAAAAAAATGAATTCGTCAGAAAACTTGAGAGACTAGAGTTTCATTTTATTTTTAATATTCAAATAGTTTTTTTTTAACTATTTACAGAGGCTGATATTAATTAATAATATTAAGAATAATTTAAACTAAATTAAATAATTGAAACTTGTAAAAATGTACTTTTAGTCAAGTATATATAAATGATTGAAAATAAATAATAATTTATTTATTAATTATAAATAAAATCCTTTTGGCCTGATGCGACAATAATAATATCAATAATAATAATAATTATGTATGCTCTTGGCTTTTGGCACTTTTGGTTGGTGACTAACTACTTTATATACTATACTATGCCATATCAGCCGACATCACACAAGCACCAGTGAATACCGTTCTTCAACGACCTCAAAGACGGAAGGTTGGGAAAAGGTTGATCCTGCCGCGCTGCCAAAGCGTTCCGCGTTCGACAAGGCTTTCACCAGGTGACACTCTAATGCCACGATACCACAAGAAACATCCAATGATCAAATATTTTATTCGCAAAGTTTATTCGCAACTTCATTTTTATTATACTAAGTTCCTTTCGATTCTATTTATGCACTTATTGTTTAATTTTAATTGTTCAACTTGAAAATGCGTTGGCATTATTTTTTTTTATCACTATTGTTAGTATTATTATTAGTTCTAGTTATTGTGATTATAATTATTGTCATTAAAAAATTTTTTATTTGTTGCTAACCATATAATTTATATTAAGAGTATAAGTTATCAATTAGTTCAATGTAATTCAGAATTAATCACACTCATGGAAAAATGTCAGTAAACATTTCATGCTTCATTTTATATTTTTCATTGATGTATGTCATCCAATTATTAAAATTAAGTTCTTTTCTTATTTCTACATCATCACACATGTATATAATTAAATAACTATAATTTACTAATAGATATAATAGATATAATTGTACATAAATTAACTTAAAAGCACACAAATCATTCTTTGGACTCTATTTAGATTAATTAATAGTTTAATTTTTAGTTCATGTTCCAACAATACAAGTTATTTATTTTTAAATTATCATATACAATATATGTTTTAGATCATCACTGTGCCATCATGATCATCATTACAGAATCATCGCATAATATGTCAGAATTTTTTTAGCTGAATTTATTGATTATACATTTGTTCTAACTTTTTTTTTCTTTTCAGTACAACCACCCAACAGAGCACCACGCAAAACAGTTCTCTAAGCCCACAACATGATTCTCGTACTTGGTTGGATGGACTCAACAGTCCACTTATTCAAGATGAAGGGGATAATAAAATGTTAAAGCTGAGATTTGATGTTTCTCAATATACACCAGAGGAAATTGTTGTTAAGACAGTGGACAACAAACTTTTGGTAAGCTTAGACAGCAATTAGTGTTAGATGCCAATTCACTAGCTAAATCTAGATATTTATATCTAGATTCTTGATATAATAATAGATATTTATGAAAAATAATATTTAACTTTAGAACAATTTCAAAATTGTAGATATTTAAAAAAATTTTTTTTATTATTATATTTTTAAATTTTAAATTAAAGTAGTATTTTTATTTTTTTATATTTTGCGCATAAATATGTAGCTCAAAGCACTAGAACATATTCTTATAGTTTAAGTATTCTGGTAAACGAAAATAGTTACCTCTAAAAATACTTTAACGCACTTTGCCAGTACCAACATGCGAATTGCGGTCATTGATTTTAATTCAAATATAAATAAAAATAAATTTCTCATGAATCAATCATTTTGGTCCTATTAATAATTTAGACTTAATTTGTTACAATTAAGATTTATTTATTTTATCTTTTACTTTACTTGGAGAATTATACTTACTCCAAAATTTGTATGTTCACCATATAAGTCTCTAGGGCCACTACATTTCAGATGCTGGAATTGTGGTCAAGGTTTCTTGATTGGATCTAGGTCATAGCAGTATACCAAACCTTAAGAGACTCAATTTAAGGTCGTCTATTGAATTGTCGTCAAGGTTAATAAGATCCTTGCTGATTTGGTTTATTAAAAAAAATTTAGTTGTAAAAAAAAATGGTCAGTTTTTCTTATGAAATATATAATATTCTTGTAAAAGTGACGAGATGAAATTTACGTAATCAGTAAAACAATCTTTGTATAGTGTAAATATTGCACCAGTCGCTTTAAATTACTCATTACGTAGGGTCTTTTATATATTTATTTTTTTTTATATTGTCATAAAAATTTTATAATTTAAACTATATTAGCTCATGATCAACTAGTTGATTAAACACCATCGTATACATAATTGTTTACTCATTTCCTTTTACGGCTCTTTATTCAGGATAATCGATAAGCCTTCACATTTATCCATGACATGCGACTTAAACTAGAAAGTTTTTTCTAAGAAAAATGTCATCATATTAGTGTTTACAGTTATTTATATCAAGACTAATGAACTGCAGGGAAATTTTCTTAAGGAAATGAAATTGAACTTGTAGATAGTAATCAATCATTAATCAGTGTTTCTTAAGAAACAAGTAATTCTATGAATCATCGGAGTTCTAGTACGCAAGACTAACACCAAATCAATAATTGTCTTACATTTTTGTAATAATATTTTTTTTGTTTAGGTTCACGCTAAACACGAGGAGAAAACAGAAAGCAAAACCGTTTACCGAGAGTACAATCGAGAATTTTTACTGCCTAAAGGAACCAATCCTGAGACCATCAAATCTTCACTTAGTAAAGATGGTGTTTTGACAGTTGAAGCTCCTCTTCCAGCAATTGGTGCCGGCGAAAAACTTATTCCTATTGCACACAGTTAAATACTCAAATGAACATTTGAATGAAACGCATAATTATCCATTCTAATTTGATATTTTTTCCATACATTATTTACTTATTTCAATATTTTTTGAAAATTTATATTTCGTCCTTATTCCACAAAATACTTCATACATAGGCCTCATTATAAGTATTGAAACAAATAGTAACTAAAATTTTAATACACAAATGAAATAATCAATTTCTAAAGAAATCAATAATGCAAAATTTACAAATAATAACACCAACTATTTTATTAAAGGCTTTTTTAAATTACTCAAGATATTTTTGAATGAAATTATTTGGTATTTAAATTTAACTTTGATAAAAAAAATAACTGTCAATATTTTCTATAAATTTGCATCAATTTATACTTTATTAGCAGTTTGTTATAAAATATAAATATATTCAAATTTTAAGAGGCACGAAAATAAAAAAGAAAAATAATTATCAATTGTCACTTGTAACAATGAATATGTACGTGGTAGAATAGAATATACTTTAAAAGACTAAAAAAAAACAATGCTTAGTATAAACATACATTAAATATGTAATTAATGTTATTTATGGATTATTAAAGATTTTCAAGAATACAAGCTGAAAAATTTACGTGTATAATGAAATAATTATAAATTAACAATAACTCATTTATTAGGTATGTAATTCAAAATTTATTTCACGACACTTATTATCACAGTGTTATTTTTTATTAACAAAATAATTTATATTTTTATTTACAAGGATGTCATTTCCATTAGTCATATTACAAATTTTCGATCATTATTCATGATACAATTTAATATCATCATTCTTATCTTATTATAAACATATTCGAGTTTAAACAAATATACATTTTACGCATTTGTTAAATTCAATTATATTTTTCAATTCACTTATTAACTCATTTCCTCCTATGAAAAAGTTTAATTCATATATACAATGTTAATATTTTTTAGCTATGATATTGTAAAACAAATTATAAAAAACGAAAAAACCTATTTATCGTTAAATAAAGCATTGATGAAGAAATATTTAAACAGTCGGTATTTCTGCTGAAAAGAGTGATGAATCGGCAGTATTAAATGTTGATGATTTACCTTCTCGTGCAATTCTCAAGGCTTGTAAAATTGCCACGGTATCAAGTTCCTTTTGATTTGGCTTCTCATTATCGAGATAAATATCTGCTGCTCGTTTACCGAAAGGCTCCAAAACTTTTACTCTATAATCAATTATTGTCGATACTGGATTGCCAGTAAGTCTTAAATTTTCCAAGCATGGTAGAAATCCTACATATTTGACTTCCTCGATATTTTCAATTCGATTACAGCTAACATCTAACCACTCTAAAGAATAGAGCTTTGAAAAACTTGAAAGTGACGTTAGGTTATTTTGTGACATGTCTATATATACAATATTACCGAGTTTTGTATGTAAATTGTCTGGTAAACTATTAAAAAGGTTTGAAGCTAAATGTAATTGTGATAAACGAGGTAGAAGAGTAACATTAGAAATCTCAGATAATAGATTATTATTTAATATAAGAGATTCTACATGAGGAATCAGTTTTATTGCTTCGTCAATAACTTGAATACGATTATCACTCAGATCCAAATGTTTTACTTTCAACCAGACGTGAGAGTCATTAGCATTATCAATACACTTATGAACTTCTTCACACATTGCCAGCTCTACAATATTTTTTAGCTGAGTGTGATGGACTTCAAGGACTTTTATTGTGTCTCGAAGATTACCCATTCCGTAAATTTTGTCAAGAGGATAATGATTTACTGTTAAATGTTCTACATTTTTAAACGTTGACAGTTCAATTGGCAAACTTGAAGGATTAATATTACTTGTTCCATATGAGTCTGTTGTACTTTCAATTATTAAACTTTTCAATTGAGAATTTACATCAAGAACGTGACTAAAATCAAACTTTTTATCTATAACTTCTAATGTTGGACACGGTTGTTTTAACCTTTCACTGATAGCGTATAGCTGAAAAAGAGAAAGTTATATTGTTTAAGAGAAACAATGACACTATTAAAAATATTTACCTGGACAGGTGAAAATTTATATTCATTTGATTCCAATATTAAACATCCTTTGGTAAAAAATTCTAATGCCATATTTTGAAGAAGGAAAAAAATGTCATAGATATGTAAATCCAAAAAGAGCACTAACTCTCTTGGCATTGTTTTTTTAAGGTAATTATACACAGAATTCAAATAAGCTTCCAATGCACTTCGACGTTTTTCAATGAAAGCTTCACTTTTGTTGCCAATAAGTTTTTTTGGAGGAAGAATGTCTTTCTCTACACAATGTTCAGACATTAAAGTTTCATGGAGCTCTGCAAATTCATTGTATCGGTGTTTTAAAGTCCAAGTGACATCTCCAATGCTAACCTGAATAAGATAATACGTTACACCATCTATTGTTTCAAATGAAGGTATTTTAATCTGAATATTTTCTTGATTCTGAAGTAAACAAGCCATTGTTTTTAAATCTTCTAGGTCCCACTGATAATAAGTTCGTCGCTTTTGATGCGTAATTATAATAACTGTATACAATTTTAATATAACTGTGATGACTGTGGGTGATTATACACTCAATTATTTATGATAAATGTCTAATTTTTATTATATGCACATAAACTTTATTTATCCTTATATCAATGGATTTTTCACCAAATATTATATAATGATATATAATTTAAATGCTAGGATATCATTTTGTTTGGATATTTAACTGGGTAAATATATAAATAAAAAATATAAAAATTAATTTAACAAACGTCACCAAACACTGAGAATGCTTGTTATGAAGTTTCTGAAGTAGTTAATATTCATATCAATTGATGGCGTTAATGACTAAATACTGGGCTTTCAAAACAGTGCACTTCTATACCGATCGTGCAACAAACGCGCGATTTTTTTTAGATATTTGACAGTTAAATTTTTGCATTAGTTAATTTTGTTATAAACTAAAATGAAAATTACAGTTATGATTAATTTAAAAATACTTACGTTAAAAAAATTTAAAGTAAAACTTTGTATAATTCATGAAGCAAATTATCATCATAAACATGTATAACCTTATGACTAACATAAATACTTCAGAAAGAACGTAGATTCTGCAGTTATAGAAAGATCACGGTACGAGAAGGATACTTTTAATATTTATTTTGTGATGATGATTATTCATTCATGTGTGTATTGTAAATAATAAACCATTCAAAAGAGTGATAATAATATCGATTAACCTGAATTGGAATATCAGTTAAATTTTAAATAAGTGACTACTGTATCAATTCAAATAAAATTATTCTTGATCCGCTATAAATATTAATTATACATTCAAGTTGTTTAAATAACAATAAATAAATTCTATCGATATTCAGTACATGTCTTTCAGTTTAAAAATATAAGTCAAAAACTGCTTGGCTTATCAACATGATGGACATATGGGTAGTATTGGTTTATTTTTTTTTTATTTTAAACATTTTCATTGGAATTTATTTATATTTTACTGCAACATTTAATTTTTGGAAAAATCTTGGAGTTCCATATAAAAAACCTACAATAATTGTGGGTAATTTTTTGAAACCTTTGTGTTTTCGACAATCACAGCAAGAAAGTATAAAAGAAATGTACAACTGGTTTGAAAGTGCTCAATATTTTGGTGTATTTCGTGTAAGAACACCAATTTTTTACATACGAGATCCAGAGTTAATTAAACATATTTGTGTAAGAGATTTTCAATGCTTCATTAATCGAGGGATTCCCACTAATTCTCAAGATCCACTGAGCAATCATTTGTTTAATCTTGAAGGTAGACAATGGAAAGCATTACGATCAAAATTATCACCAGTATTCTCATCAGCCAAAATAAAGAGAATGTTTCCATTACTTTTTGAATGTCATAAAATATTTGAGAAACTAATACACAATTCACTGAATAATGATGTCGATGTGCGTGAACTGGCTGTGAAATTTACTGTTGACGTCATTGGCACTTGTGCATTTGGCATACAAATAAATGACTTTAGTGATGAAAATTCAGAATTTCGAAAAGTCGTAAAAAAACTTTCACACCCAGGTTATAAAACTACACTTTGGAGAATGCTTCGAACAGCAGTACCTCGTTTATATAAATTACTTGGAGTACAAATAATTGATCGTGAAATCACCTCATTCTTCAAGAGCATCGTCTCACAGGTGATTGAACAAAGAGAAAAAACATCAGAATATAAAAGAAATGATTTCATTGATTTACTAATTGAATTAAAAAACCAAGAACATATTTCATTGAAAGAAAATGAGATTAACACTCAAAAATCAAATCTTATTGGTATTATATGCATCCATAAATGATAAATCAAATAAAATATTATATTTTTAATTTTTAAATTGATGACAGTAACTAATTTTTTTATCAGCAGAATTCGATGATAACTTAATAGCAGCCCAGATGTTTGTTTTTTTTGTTGCTGGATATGAAACATCTGCCAATACAATTGCATTTTGCTTATATGAGTTAGCATTAAATGGTGATATCCAAGAAAAAGCTCGACTAGAAATTTTAGAAGCTATAGAAAAAAATGATGGAGCATTGGATTATTATGTAGTTAAAGAGATGAAATATCTAGAATCGATAATATTAGGTAATGTTTATTTAGCAGATTAATTGAATGATTACTTGCGATAAAATATTTAAATTAGGTGTATGTGATGATGATATTGTTATTATATTTTTCAGAAACCCTCAGGAAGTATCCTCCAGCTCCGATAATTTCTCGTAGATGTGAGTATCCTTATACAGTACCTGGAACAAAAATTAAACTACCTACTGGTATGCGGGTGGTCATTCCAATTTATGGTATCCACCACGACCCTAATCATTATCCACAGCCAGACACATTCAATCCCGACAGGTTTGATGATAAAAACGAGTCCAGACATCACTATACATTCCTTCCTTTCGGCGAAGGCCCTCGTAATTGCATCGGTAAGAGGCAGTGGAATTATTAAGTGATTTCTTTAGCTTCTTAATAATTTTACATGCAATCCAAAACAGCCTATACTTGTTTGTTATCGTTCAGATGGAAAGTAAAGGTCGATAGCATTATTCAAGGGCTTGGGTAGTTATCATTTAAAGTATAATTTACATTTTTCAGGTACAAAATTTGCTATCCTACAAATTAAAATGGGGATTATCTCATTTCTCAAAAATCACAAGGTGGAAGTCTGTGAAAAAACAACCATACCTATAAAATTTAGCCGTCGAAGCCTTGTAACAACGAGTGAAACTGGTTTTTGGTTAAAATTAAGATCTATTTAAATAATTAAATCGCAAATCAACATGTCAATTGATCGTCAATATAGGTTTGTGATAAGAATGGAATTATACATTGACACTAATTATAGTAATAATGATAATAATAAAGCCAATGTAAATAATATTTTTTTAAATTTTAATAAAAAATCTTTTTAAATATATTTTTTACAAATTTTTATTTATCAAGAAATTTTTAAAGTGTATTAATAATGTATATCTAAACTCAGCTAAGTATATTCAAAGATTATTATATTTATTCATTGAATGAACCTTTTGAGTCACATCGTTGACTTGGTTATCAGACTGTATTCTAATTCGAAAAAATCAATCGTTAATTTTCGAAGTAATAATTAGAACTAATATAAAAGTAATTTTAAATTAATGTGATAATCAAGTCAACGACATTCAACATTATAATAACTCATATTATAGTACGTTATGATAGTTGAACATATTAACAATGGTATTTACAGATTTTAAAGTACATTATTCTTTAGTTTAAATTGATCAAATTAAATTGTCAAATGTCATTGTAAAAAAATATATAATAACCTAAAATTGATTTGTTATAGAATTAACAATAATTATTTTGAACAAATACCAAAAAATTTGTTTCTTTGAGCAATGCTACGTGATTGCCTGCTAGCTATATTTGATCTGACCTTCTACTTCTCCGTGATGAGCTTACAAAAAGTGGCCGTGGTTTATATAAATCATCACTTGTATAGCGCTGATTACTATTGCGTTGTCGACTGAAAAAAATTTTTTAAAAATTAGCAATGCTTTACTAGAAAAAATGTGAAAATAATATTCCAAAGTATATAATGAATGATATCAATACCTTTTATCATCTTTCAGATTATGTAATGATATTTTTTCACTGGTTGCTGACACATCACTTTCTGGACTCAGTGGCAATACAAAATTTTCACCACCATTAATTACACTTTGTGGGCTTGACGAACTTACACTTGGCCTCTGTTTTTTTGGTCGACCTACTCTTTTCCTTTTAGCAGCCCCTTCTTCATCAGATGTTATTATATTAAGTTTATTTGCATGTCCACTTTCATTATTATTATCTGAATTATTCAGCAGGATGTCAGATAAAGTTGGACTCGTGGAGTATTTGCGTTTTAATAGGGGTGGGGCCATCGTATGAAATTCGGAAGACTTAGATTCATCATGTATTTTTTTCATTTCTTCATCGATTGAACTTTCCTCTTCCTCAAGTGATTTTAAAAATTTATTAAATCTATTTAATTTATCATTGTCTGGTAAAAAATATAAACAATCTTCTTCATCATCGGAAAATTTACTCAATTTACTATATTCTCTAACATTTTCTTTTCTAGAAGAATGATCTATTTTTTGCAATTTATCCATCTTGGATAGACTCTCGTGATCCATATTGTTTGTTGATTGTTTCAATTTATTATCTAAGATTATTTCGTTTGATGATAGTCTTGCAGATAATTCATCTATAGATGATGCGGATTTAGAATGAATTTGTTTTGTAATTAATTCAGAATTGAAAATCGATGTTTCTTCTAATATCACACTGGATGGTTTCTCTGATTTTAAACAGTCTTCATTTGGATATGGCTCGTCTTCTTCATCAACTCTTATTTCGATAATCTGTACACGTTCTTCATCAGGAACATTAGAATAAGTTTCTATATCGAAATTTTTATCACTTGATTTCACAACTTTTTCATTATCTATACTCTTACTTTTATGTTTATTAAGTTTTTTTTCTGTTCTTACTGGTTTCTTCGTTTCTAATGAATTATCTATCGTCTTGAATTTTTTGACAGCGGGTTCATCTGACTTGTGATCAGTTTCTGATTGAAGTGGACGCTTTTTTAACGGAAGACTTATTTCATTTTGACCTACATCTAGTCGTTTAAGATTACTTTCATTATCTACATGTCCAATATTTTCGTTATTTAACGTATTAATTATCATATTTTTCTGAATGTTATTTGGATGGCTTTCTTCTGTTTGTGATTCATCTACAGTGTCAGAAGCTTCGCTATTGGTATTATTAGGCTTACCGGATTCTTTACTTAAATTGGAATCTGTTGGTTTTGTTGATGAAGAGGTTGGACTTGGTGCACTTTTACTATTCTTACTATTAGAACCACTTGATCCATCACGATCTGAAGATCTTCGATCATTTGTATTTTTTCTTAGACTTCCATGATCATCCTTCGATTTTAATTTTTTCTCATTCCTACGTTTTTTATCTTTCGAATCTGAATCGCGTTTACTTTCAGATTTTTCGGAATTCTTATCTCTCTTTGAATCTTGTGACGATTTCGATTCACTTCTTTTCTCTGATTTTTCGTCTTTTTCAGACTTGTAAGATTTTTTCGATTCTGACTGACTTCTACTTTTACCATCTCTTGAACTTGAAGAATGTCGTTCATCTGTCTTTGACTTGTCTTTATTATTATTTTTAGAATTTTTAATACCATCTGCTGACGAAGATGATGACGCCGATGAAGATGATGACGATGACGAGGATTTACTTTTATTATCATTCTGAATTGAATTATGTTTACTATCAGATGAACCTGAACTATCTTTTTTACTTTTAGATGATGATTTCTTATCCTTTGAATCACTGGTAGATTTTAAATCTTTGTTGTCTTTATTTAGTTTCTCTTTTTCTGTTAATTCTTTCTTTTCTCTCAACTCTCGTATTTTTTCCTTATAAATATCTTTCAAATCTTTTGGTTCTTTTCCACTAACATCTCTCGTCTTTTCTTCTTTATTTTTCGAAGAAATCTCTTTTTCTTGAGGCTTTTCCAGATTTTTACGTTCACTTTCTTTCTTTTCCGTTTTTGTTTTATCCGCATTATCACTTTTATTATCTGATGAACTAGATTTACTTTTATGGCTTCTATCTCGATGACTTCTGGAATCTCTAGAATCAGAACGTTCTTTTGATGATTTTGATTTAGACGATTTACGATGTCTTTCTTTATCCTTAGATTCACTTCTATCCGTATTTTTGCCATCAGTAGAATCACGTGATTGTTCTTTCGAAGATAAATTACTTTTTAAACTTTTCGTATCAAATCCGTCTTTACTGTCCGACACATTATCTTTATGCCTGTTAGAATCATTTATTTTGGTGTCCTTTTCTTTATTTTTATCAAAGTCATCATTTGATGTTTTCAAGTTATCTTTAAATAATTTATCTTTATTACCATCTTCTTTTAATGAATCCAAGATTGGCGTTGATGCTGGATTGGAAGAACCAAAATCAGTTACAATCGATAAACGAGAATCAGATGATACTTTACTAAATTGTGAATCTTGATTACTAAAATCAAAGTTATCTCTTGAAAATTCGTTACTAAAGTCCGGACTACGAGATCGGTGACTTGTTAATTCTGATATTCCAGATAAATGTGAATCATTCGAAACATTAGATTCATTGAAATTCATTATATCAATAGGTTCGAATACTGGGCTGTCTTCTTCTTCCTCTTCCGTCTTATCGTCAGATTTAGCTGAATCATTTAACAAATTAGAATCTATCGGAGGAGGAGTAGAACTTGGTATTTTATTCTCTTCCTCATCAGCTGTCTTTTCATCTGCTTCATTGTTTTCATTTTTAACCTGGACATTATCGTTGTTTTCAACTTTATCAGTTTCAGTGTTTTCTTCATTCTTTTCAATATCAGTTTTATTATTTAACGAAAGAAGGTCTGCGTCTGCTGAATCAAGGGAAATGTCTTTCAGGCTATTTTTATCAGATTCAGGTGATACTGGGTCTAAATCTATTGGTAATAGATCCTTAATACCACACGGTCCATTTTTTTCACGTTTTGGTTTTTCTAACCCTAAATACTTATAAACAACATCTTCAATTTGAGACATAAAAACTGAATAAATTTTTGGATTCACTACTTGATCCACAATTCTTTCAACACCTGCATCCAAATATGCTCCATCTGAGATGTGTTTTCTCAATGTTTCTCTTAGCTGATTTTTATTTAAATCAGCTTTCCATACTTGTTTAGCTAGGAATGAATTTACTGATCCTTCAACTCGAGTTCTTAAGTTTTGATATGCTGGCTGTATAAAATAAAAAAAATATGTAACATTAACTATTTCATTTGTTTTAATAAAATGATTGGAATAATTATACCATCTAATAAAAAGAAACACTGACGTATCTCGAAGTATTAAAAATGAATTTCATACCTTTGTATCAACATCAGCAATTGCATCTTTACGAAATTGATCGAATATTCCTTGTGATTTTACCTCACCAACAATATGATCTATCAATCGAGGATCACCAGGTAAAAGAGTAGTTCCTAGTCCTAACTCCATTTTATTTATTAATTTATCAAAACTTTTAGATTATTCCATAATGTTTATTTATTGAGTAAACTTTAGTCAGAGGAGACAAATATAGTACATGTCAAAAGTCTAATTTATATAGAGGGCCACAGCGAGTTAGAGATTCCTCAAATAAGCGGAAGATGGCGCTGCCAATACTGTAAAGCGTCGAAACAAAAATGAAACGCAATTAGAGAGAGAGATTAGTCTCTTTGAATTCATAAGTGGACGCGTGGGGTGTCTCGTCACCTCAGACGGTTTATTTTCGAAGAAAAGATGTTAACGTTGGGCTTACATCAATTTCTCTCATGAAGAATAAACTACTTCTCCATGATTTACTGAGGTGCCATCATTATAAACTAATTAAATTAAAACTTTTAGCTTTCTGTTAACATAACACTCAAAAAGGAACGATCGAGCATTACTACTCGAATAGTAATGCTAAAGAATCGGTATTTCTAGTCTACTGGCATTTGCTGTTTGGTAGTGTCTAATCAACACTACTGATGCATTTTAATTTTTTTTTATGTAATAACTTCTCCAAATCAATGGTTAGATGTTGCCTTTAGCACCTTCTTGTATTAGTTTTTTTTTCTCTTTGAAAAACAGGTTTTACACTAAGCTCTGATCGCCTTGCAACATTAGAGATCATTTTATGTAAGTTAATAAAGTTGTAGTTACAAATAATCGACATTTAACCAATAAACATTATAAAAATCGATTTATAACTGATCATAACCAATCATAAAAAAAAATCACTTCACTATGAATATGATTTTTAATTATTTTTTTAATTGAGTCTAAATGAATCAATTTTTTTTAAGAAAGTTTATAACTTGGTTCAAGCCTATTGATTTTCTAAATTAGCATTCAAGGCGTGAGTTGTTAATCATTTCTCCTTTTACCAAACCGCAATAATTTCAACATTTTTTAGCAGTTATTTTGATTCTAATTTTTAGATTCATATATTGTAATGTGTAAAGTTATCTCTACTTTTAGGTATTTAATCTTCTTCCATACCCCAAACCGAAATAAGGTATTCTGAATGTATGAATTTATTATAAAAAAAATAATAAAAGGGTCCAAGAAGGAACATGCTATCTTTATATAGCACGTGGTTGTATCTCATTATAGTTTTGCACAGCACACGCATAAATAAAAATCTAATAGATTCTAGAGGTGTGAAGGAAAGTCATATATCAGAAATCGTTTACTAGGTACTATCAAATTATCGAAAAGAGGGGTTTGAGTAAAACAGAATGTGAGGCATCTGGTTTTTTTTTTGGTGAGGGAGGTGGAGAAGATTCACTTCCACTAGCGGCAAATACTTTCTACTTTCATGCTAAACGATGAAGATTAGTCAGAACGTTTTCCCTTATAAGATCATGCCTTAAGCTCAGTTATTGAAGGGCTTCTTTAATATATGAAAAATAAAAACATATATATGGTCCTTACATAGTCGATTTATGGTTTTTGAATTTCAGTAGTGTACTGACCTCTTGAAGCATTCATTTTGTTTGATAAAATGATGCTTTGATTACATACAAAGGATATTTTTTGTCAGAATATTCATCTTAAATCATTTCTCTGAAATTATAATATTTAAGATGAGTCGAAAAAACATTTTATCTTGTATAATTATTTCAAGTTTCCTCCTACTATTCGTGAATTATTAATGAAGTGATTTGGTTAGTGAGGCTGTAGGTGAATCGTTGGATTTATAAAAACATCTGATTCAACATGGTGTTAACTATTTTCTCGGTCTGTTTTCAAAAACATGGCTGAGTGTGGAAATATATAACAAAGTAAATAAATAAATAAAAAAAATTTGAAGAAGAAGGTAGAAGGTACTAAAGTTTGGCAAAAATATACACACTGGATACAAGTTTTCAGAACAGAGGTAGAGATTCTTGAGTTGTAAACGACCAATTGTATTTAGATATGGCAGCAAAAAAAGCCACAGTCACACTTTATTCTTTACTATGTCAAAAGGATTCCGCACGTCAATATTTAAAATGTAGAAAAGAACATATACAATCGTTAGGAAATTTATAATGTTAGGTTGCACTCAATAAAGTTTTCACTGTTCTTTTAAGTAAACGAATTTATTTGTAGAAACAGATTAAAAGTTTATACAAAATAAAGTTAACAAAAAATATATTAAATATATGCAACATAAAAATACTTCAATATTTTAAAAATATTAATTTACAATAACTTTAATTTCAATATTTAAATTTTCTATATAATTATAAAATTATAATTTCATAATTAAATTTTGTGTTCTACCTGCTATATATTTGATATTTTATAGTTAACAAAACACCCATGATTTTCAATAATGTCATAAAAAATTTTAATCATCGTCTAAAATTCATTTTTAATTATAATTTATCGATTCCAGGATAAAACATTGGTGGCTAGAAATTTCCAAGGCATGTCATCGCACACAGTTCCAGCAATTGCATCAACCAGAGGCATGGTTAATATTCTAAAGTTAACATCTGAATAGTTAAGTGATGCCAGTAAGAAGTTAGGCATTCTGTCAGATATAATCCAAACGGCTCCATGTCGGATCTATTAGCATTGGTGAAATAAAAATATTTTAATCATGTTATTATATCAAGTATCAAGACATAAATGTCATTTAGATGTGATCAATAGAAGTGATACCTTAACATCAGCTGGGAATATCAAAGCTTCATCGTGTCTTGCGATCAATGCGTGATTGGCTGGTGAATAAGGTAATAAAGAGTTCCAGCAGCCTACGGCATTCTGATCAACAAGATTGAATAATTGAAGACCATTCTCGTCCATCACTGAAGCTGTAGAGTGACCCATTGGTCTTTCAGCCAATACCTAAAATAATCCATTTGGTTTTTGATTGATATTTTGGATTATACACATCATTATTATCATAATCAATCATTAAATTACCTGGAATGCATGGTAACTGTCTGCTGCAAGTTCAGGATCTCTCAAAATTTTTGTTGAAACCGCAAACTCGCGGTTGCTACTTAAAGGATGGAAAAAGAGGATTCTGTACCCATCGATTGTTAAAGGAGACAAACTCATGCCGAAAATTCCTTCTTCTCCCCATTGGAAATTAAGTCCTCCAATATTGTAATCACCAGCTAAAGGATCTGGCATGAAGTAACTGTGGGTTACTCTATAAGATGTATTATTCATCCAAGAGTAGACAATTAAACCATAACCCAGTTCATCTGACATGTAGGCAAAAGCATCATCACAACCTCCAGGTCCCAAGTCAACAGCAATATTGGCAATAAAGGTATTCTGAGAAAAATATCAAGTATAAAAAATCAAATATCTTAATGTTGAAATATTATGTTTTCTATTTTTCTGGTAGTTAAATTTAAGTGCATAGAGTATTATTCACTTAAGACATATTATCAATTATCAAATCCATTCTGGTTATTCTTCATGTTTATGCAAATGATTAATTCAAGTATTAGAATAATAAATGAATGTAAGAGTTAGTTAATACAGATCAAGTATTAGATATCAATCGAACTTTATAAAATAAACTCGAAGTATCACAAAAATAGTTGATTTTAAATGTCAAACCTGATTTATGTCGTCGGGTTTCAGTGGGTATTTACGAATAATTTTGTCAGTTGTTAGATCAAAAATATTAAGAGTGTAGGGACACGCTTGAATTGTTGTGTTGCCAATGCCAATGGTTCCGGTATCAAGTACCCACAATCTATCGCATTCGTCTGCATGAATTCTAACATGAAATCATTTCAATATGAATATGTAAAAATTTAGTTAGTTTACTTTTTTGAGTAAATAAATTCGTATTGATACTAATATAATATTTATTTACCTGTAGGCTGTGGTGAGACCAATTTCACAATCACCAGCTTTGTTCTGAGCCCAGTTAGGATATGGATTCAACTTGGGTGAACCTCCTCGGTGAGTATCCAAAGAAATATAATTCAATGTTGCTGGAATGCCTATTAAATGGAAATGCGATCAAGGTTATTAATTTCTTCGTCATTTAGATTTAATTATGATTGGTACACAATAAACAACTTTCTTTAGATTGTGAAACATATTTTTTATTGAATTTGGGAATTTCTTTATACAATCACACCTAGATACAAGTTATAATTACAAGTTTTTATAACATATATTATCTAATTGGTAGTGAATTAAATTAATAAAAACAGATAAAATTTTCTAATGATTTTCTAATGCAATAATTATTCTTTCATCGAGATGGTTTAAAACTGGTTTAGGTTCAGTTATTGATAAATATTTCTCGCACGTCCACAATTAATAGCTAGTTAATCAATATCGAATTATTCATTTTCCGGATTAATTTTTTATCCACGTAATTAAAATAGAGTACTTTTTAATTTAAGCAAATAAGACATTAATTTTTAAAAATTAAAATTTCATTAAAAGAAATTACAGGTTGGAATAATTAATAAATACAGAGTATCCATTACATTTTTATCATAAAGTGATCTCTTATCTTTAATTATTCCATGTGAAGAAGTTATAGGAATGTTCCTTGATAAAAGAAAGTTTTTAATACTTATTTTCAAGAAGTGTATCAAACATATTTTCTACGGTACTTGTCATTACAATGACATTTCTTGTTATGTTACATCTTTAATAATCATACTTTTATTTTTAATTTCCCGTGAAATTATTTGAGATTAAATAAGAGCTACAAGCATAGATATTGGGTGATTGTAGTTATGAAGATAAACTTTCTTCCAAGTGAAGTTGAATCATAGCTGTAATTAGTTGCAGTACGGAGTTAGATATATTCTAGATTTCCGCATGTTGAAGTAGAGTTGGTATGTGTAGTAGGATTATTTCACTCATGGTGGATAGAATCGTTAAGTAGGATTGTGAGATAGTAAAATGTGTTATTTTCAATAATGCTACATCAGATGATTATTGTTAATAATAATATAAATGATAAAATGTATCTGATAAGGAAATTTATAATCATGAAGTAGAAGGATTCCAACCTACGCTTTTTCTCACAAATAATTTGAGTAAAAAAGTCGTTTGTGAAGATTTTACTTGGCGGTATTATGTATAAAGTAAAGACCAGCTTCTTCAGTATATGAGGAGTTGAAAAAACTGCTGCAGTTTTGGTTGGTCGTAAAGGGCGGAGCACAGGTGAAAAAAAGTGTTTCATGTAATCTCAACACACAAAACTCGTTTTTGTATATTTATAACGTCAGTATTCGTTATCGCCCATTATAAAAATCCATTCTTACGGATCATTTTTATTATAACATTTGCATACATATACATATAAGCTTTCTTATTGACTTGATCAGCAGGTGTAATTCTACTCTATTGTTATATTATAGAAATATTTTCATCTTTTTCACTACATATTTATCAACAATCAATTAACTTTATCATCAACTTAGTTTAATTTTATTATTGACAGATGCTTTAATTTTATTGTCAAATTCAGTTCAGAATAATTTTGAAAAAAATGAACAGTGATAAAAAAAAATTCACACAAGAATGGAAGTTTAAAAAAAGTGAAAGAGTGAATAAGAGCCTTATTCATGATGATTGTAGAATTTACTGGGCATTCATCCGTTCGCGACAAGATTTTTTTGTCGCGAACCGGAAGTCGTCCAGACTAGATTTTTAAGAGAATAACGCAGTAAAAGCAATACTAGGTAAGAAAGAAATTTCCGCTTTATGATTATCTCCATCCCCTATATATTTTTTCAAGTTTTATAAGATGAATAATTATGAAGGACCACATCTAACAACATCCTACACGCGGATTACACTTGAAGCTTTTGCTTTTTAAAATCATGATGCAAAAGAAAAAATGACTAACCGTCCTTCCAACGTGGTACGGTAACGAAAAGTTTATTCTGCCAGATTTCGATGCCAACCGGAAGTCCATTCTCGGGCATGTACTCGCCACTTGCGATCGCTGCGTTTCGACTCATCAAATCCGGATATGCCCAGTCGAGCATTTGCCACGAGAACCTCTCAAGAATTGGTGATCGTCCGAAATGGGATCCTGCCCATCCTTTTAAACCACTCACACTTCCGCTGTTAGTTATAACTAATGACGTTGATAATAAAATGAAAAATCTTAGTGATATTATATTGAATTCCATCTTATCCAAAGTTAATCAAACATGAAGAGTCTCGAGAAAACTGAGCTGTCTATGGGGACTCTAACTTTATATATTTCAACCCCGCCCCATAGTTGCGCTTGTTTCCTGCCCAGTTATCTGAAAGTAATTGCACAGCAAAATGTTTTCGCGAATAGGTACTAGGCAAATTGGATACGAGAAATAAGCTCGAGCCGTATCTGTCACTTATGTATTTCACTATAAACTCTCTCACCAGACATAACTTAATGAAAAAGAGAGTGTGTTTCTATTACCCTACTGGCATGTAATCATCATTTAGTGATATATCCTGTATATTTCAACTTTAATTTCAAGGTTGCTCTAGGAAGTTTTCAAATGTCTGCTATTAGATTGTATAAATCATTATTATTCTTTGATTATCTCTGAAAATGTCACTCATGATTTTAATCAACCATTTTCAAAAATAAGTTTCCTTAAAAAATAATGATAGTTTTCATTACCAGCATCATAGACTATTTCTTCCAACTGTTAATTTTTTTTTTTTTTTTAGAGAGGAAACACTAACCAGATGTATTCATTCGGATTAATCCAATTACTGATAAATGAGTTGAAAATCAGAAAGTGCACATTTATTCAATTAGGAATCTGAAGGCATCATGAGTTTTGTTATGTAAAATCAAATGAGACTATTCAGTGTTTTAAGAGATTCGTGATTTATTTAGTAGTTTTTATGTAACTTTTATGGTTCATTTTATATTTTATTGAAAAAGACCAACTTTTATGTTGATTACTTTTTAAAAATAATTTATATTGAGGTTGTTTTTTTTCATTTTTTAGTTCCTTTTAAACTTTCATTCTCGAAAATGTAATATTCCATAGATTGATGTTCCATACATGGTATTGTATTAGATTCAAGGCGTATATCATTTTTGTAGTATCTTTAAGAAAGTAGGGCACCATACAGCAACCGTGCTACAGAGAAGTAATTTATCTTCTAATACTTGAAATGTTGTTTTCTTGTTTACTCTTGGTCAATTAAAATTAGATGTCTAACATGAAGTGTAGATTTTTGTGAAATTAGACTAGTCTTCAATTGGTTTCATTATCGAATTATAAAATATTATAAAAGAATTATTATTAATTTCATTATAGACGAAGATTATTTTATTTGCATGACAGAATTTTATACAAGTAAATTATAGGGAGTGTATTTTGATTGCAATACAAAATGTAACAAAAAATTAGCAAAACTTTCATCGCGTGAGACGAATAGAATTCCTTTAAAGTTCTAACGTAATAATATTTGCGTGTGTAAACGTATTAACAATATGCAGATAGCATAACTAAAACAGTTTTTGTGCCCAGAGTAAAACAAATATCAGTAGAAAATGGATTTTAATAGCTAAATGCAATAGTTAAATAGATATTGTTAGTATTTGTGTATATGATACTTTAATTATTTCAATTACTACAATCAGAATTCATGATTAGTACTGTAATGAAAGATGATCCTTATCTAGATGATAACAAAATGAGTTTATAAAAAAAATTTCCGTATTCCGAGAAAGTTGATACTACTTCTTTTGTTGATATATCATATAATTAAAGTAACAAGCACACTACAACTGATTTTTGTGCTAGCAAAAAAATAAATTGAATAGTTTAATGAAAGTGAATATTTTTCTTTCAATAAATATAGTTGATCCATTAAGACATACCGGTAACTAGCTCAAAATCATTATTCACATGCTGAGTTAATCGTAATGTGTCCGATCGAATGTTCATAGTGAATTCTATGGCTAAATAATTTTAATGGATTCATTCATGTAGGTGTAAATCACCTTTATGTATGTACTGAGTCGCAAGGAATGCCTCCGATGAAACGAAAGTTACAATACTGTTTATGTAGAAAGAGATTATTCATGCTTGATAGAATTATAAACATAATTTATTATTGAATTGTTTATTTTATTATTGATAAAATGATAATAAGTTGATAAAAAATTAATTTTATTCAAGTAACGACTGTATTCATGAAGTAAATAACCAGGATAGTTTTTATCTGTAAGTAGACAGTTGATTAATCAATTTATTTTCATACCTGTCAATAATTTGCAAAAAATTGTCCCAGTGGAGATACAACATGAAAAAAAAAATCCTTATTTGTCGTAAATTACTAAAAAATGGAGTAATAAATCATTTGATATAAAGTCATAAATTTTTTTTTTTTGACTTAAAGTGAAATTGTTAGAAATGTTGATAAATTTCCATTTTTATTTTTTATTGAAACATCGACATTTAAGTGCAGTACTATAGTTGTAATGAGAAATGTTTGATGGGAATTAGACTTATCAGGTAATACGTTAATAGCTACTGTGTTAATTAATCGAAAGTGCGTGAAAACCGGCTTTTTCTTCAAACTTAGATTTTACATTTATACAAATATAATGCTTGAACAGTTTAATAACTAGCTTGGAGATTTAATAGATATTCGTAGGTATCGATATATCAATATATGTCGATTCGACTACAAAAAAATACGTGTAGCTTTATAATAATTATTATTATTAATATTTCATTCAATTAGATGATCTTGTAAGCTTTTACAATCTTTTTACATATTTCAAAACATTATTTTTTAACAATAAATCAGTAAAAATCACTGAAAAAAATTATTTACTCACTGATTTGTAGTTTTAATATTATCACTGTTTACATTAATTCTAATGCAGCAACAATCACTAGATTAATTAGGGCTAGCTACTCCAAACAATAAACATTCACTGATTCATTTTGAAAAGTAAATTCTGACAACTGTCATACTGAAATATTTACATATTTTTTTTTTATCAATATTCCCACTTAGTAAAGTTATAGTAGTAGGTTTTCTTAACTCTTCTTCCCCCTTTCTGTTGGATCAAATCTCAGCATAAGTAGCAATATTATTTTATTGGCATGTTATAGTTTTATTTTTAGAATAAATAAAATATTTATAACAATCTAAAATGATTTGGAAAGTCAAATCATGTTGCTTTGGTGTAGCAATTAAAATTTATCACGATATAGTTCGAATAAAAACTACACATGGTCGCGATAAAATTAATATATGTAGTTTTGTAATATGAGATAATGTTTATTGCACTGTAACCGAAGTGTATATTTAGAGAGGATAAAATTGAATAACGTAGCACACAAATCATTAATATTCTGACTAAGTAATGAAGGAATAAATTTGGAAAAATCTCTGATTGAGATAAATTATTATAAAAAAAGTAAAAATAATGATATTGCATAATTTATTATGCTGCTACGGATTAAGTAGGATGCATTTTTCTCGTTGGAATTCGCGCGCGCGCCTCTGCATTAGTGGCACGCGTATGAAAGTGATCTTAAGTGGGGGGAAGCCATCGTGGATGGGCCTTGAAGACACATTTGTTGTTTTTTTTCTTTTTCGGATGATACTCTCTTTTCTCAAACTCAGATGAAATGTTACGCGATTCAAGAGAAGTTTTAGGGGCTTCATTGCTTGGCTATATTTTATTTGGCATCGAACACATTTTGGTGTAAGAGAAAGAATGAGATGAAGAAGAGGGAACAGAAGAAGACAAGCAGCGATATAAAAAAGACAGAAAGTCATGATAAAATGAGGGAATGCAGAGACGTGGAGAAGGGTAAGGACCACGAGAGTAGAGAACAGGGCAGGTGCAAAAGTTCCATTTTGTGTTCCATAGGCCCTTCACTCCCAACATTGCTCTTCAACTGTTTGCCATTCTAAAAGCCACGCGTCCAACTTGCACTTACGTATTCACTATTGTTTTTATCAGCAAAAATACTATTATTATTATTTAATGATATTTTTACTATTATTAAAGGTAGCAAATAATTCATTTATTTTTTCGAATTATTAAAATAATCTTATCAAAAAATTATCTTCTCCTTAGAAATTTAATTACCTATTTTACTAGGAAATTAATAATTAATTTCTTTTTTGTTGAAATATACTTTGTATAAGTCTAGAAGACTTTGGGAAAAAAATTTTTCTTTAAATAAATATCTTTTGTTATCAGTTGAGGTTTTGCGGTTAGCTATAATGATAGCGTGAATAATTTAATGAGTGGAAACTAATATGAAAATAAAAAAAAGTACACAATAAACCATTTTAAATCGTAAAATATAGCTTAATTTAAATTATTTATCGTGTTTCTTTCCACTTAGGTTGAAAACATCTTGTTTTTCACGGATTTATCTTAATTTTATTGAAATTGATTAAAATGATTATTTAATATGTAAAAAATAACACATGTTATTAATTTATTATATTTTCTAAAAAATTATTTACATCATTTTCAATCACAGTGCAATCTAGAAAAATGACCTAATTATTAGGTAACAATATATTCACAAAATATGCTATTAATTATAATAAATTTTATGATTAATAATTTAATGGTAAAGGAAGTAATTCGTTGTGGGGAGTGAACCGTTTGTAAATATTTTTGGAATAAAGAGATATGTGAATAAAGTCGTCTAGAAAAGTACAGTTTAAGTAATTAAGGCTCGATAAAATCATCTCTTGGCAATGGGTGGCAAGTTTTGGAACGACTTCATTAGACTAGCTATAAAGTTTATCGTTGAGTTGTGAAACTGGTCGAGTCTTAGTTTTAAAGAAGGGACAGGTGCCGCGTGCTCATCGTAGATCAACAGACTTTTTTTCATTCGCAAGTTTTGGAATATTTTGGAAAAAGCATATTAATATCATCATGATCAATATCATCTTTCTTTGTTGATAAAAATATCTTTAGCAATCATGAATGATGATTTCTCATGACTTACATCATTTTATTAAGAAAATTTTTTATTTGCGTCCAGTTGTTTTTTTTTGGAGCCTTATTATAACCATTTATAAAATATGAAGGAAATAAAAAGAATGTAGTGAAAATTGTAATTGTAGAGTTTTGTTGAAGCATAGCTTTTTTTCATCGGTATATAATTTGGTTCTTGCTTTATTTAAAGACCACCAAGTTTTAAATATAAATCATAGTTTCTCACGATACTTAAAATTATTCTATTCTCTT